TCAAAAGTTATATTTAGCATTTTTTCATTACTTTGAATAATGTGAAATGATTAACTTTTTAAAATAAACCATATTTAAGATACTTTAGAGGTAGACGTATATGAACATTGGGTATTTAAGCCCTGTAAAGTGACATCAATGGGGATAAGACCTAATTGATATTAAAGATCACTTAATTATACAATGATACACCGAGTTTAATCAAAATCGTTAGAGCCGTTTTTGAGAAAATTGTGAAAATGTGTTCCAGCGTTCATATAAAGTGGCACTTCCGGTTAGCCGATTTTAAGGGAAAAGTTACTGTCACATCTAAGGTATATACCTATCTTAAATACGTGATATCAGTTTCTTAGGACTTTTTGTTTTTGACCTAGACTGTTAACATACAAACACATAGACACACAGACCATGTTTCGGACTTGGTCATTTCGACTCAGGGCACCTCAAAACGTGTATTTCCGTTGAAAACTCAGATTCAAAAATTTTCTCGATGGCAATACTTACCCTTAATATATATTACATATATACGTAAATGAAAGTAAAAATTTATAACATTTTTTTTTATCTACAACATTTGAATCGATCTTTTCAGAAACGAAATATCACTACTGTTAGTGCAAAAGGTCGTAAGTAACAATTTCACATACCTGTTATATTTGTGTTAAAGGTGACATTTTGTAGTCTGCTATTATGTAAAATAGCATAGGGAAATAAAATATGAAATTATATTTTTTTTTTTTTGGTTTTTATTTTAATGAAATTTACAACTGTATTACATGGAAAATACAACAAGTAAATGTGACATTGGTAACATAACATGTACAATATGAAGAGAAACTACCCATTGGTAGAACTCAAAGAAATTATATTAATAAATCATAAAGAAGTAATAAGTTTTTATTCTCTTTTTATCCATCAATTCTTAGGAAAACAGTGAAAATCTAAAAATGCCTATATTGTATAGTGACATATTATTTACGCCAGATTTTGTTTTAGCAATGCATTTAACATTGGATGACCAACAAATTTTTTTTGTTGAAAATTTACTCTTCTCTCATTTCTACAAAAAAATAAACAAATATATTTCCGTCCTTTTTCTTAAACTATAATCACATAAGCAAACATAGGGCGATTGCCCATTTCCCTCCCGCAATAAAAATGTTGATGGGGCGAGAATAACATTTCTCCCTCTTCCCCCAAATAAGTTAGGTAAAAAAAAAATTAAAATCAATAATAAATAAGGTATATGAATGAATAAACTGTGTCAATTAAAATCTATCAAGAAAAGTCGACTAGTTGTAGGTATGTAACTATTTTTACTTTCACTTATCTATTAATGTAATATATATTGAGGGAAAATATTGCGATCGTGAAAATTTTGGAATCTGAGTTTTCAACAGAAATACGTTTTGAGGTTCCCTGAGTCCAAATAACCAAGTCCCATACAATGGCCTGTGTGTCTGCATTTGTTTGTTCTTACATTTTATTTTTTTTAATAATTTAGAAAATCCTATGATCGAGGCTTTATTTTGTCTTTATTACCTTTCTAGTCTGTGTCTAAAAATAGGCCCTAGCAAAGCAATTTGCACAAATATTTTGGTCTATTATGTTAAGTGGAATATTGTAATTGACTAAGGAAAAAATATTAATTCCTTCCTTACATAATACATAGGATCGACTTATTTTCATATTGTTATGCTATTTCTTCACTAAACAAATGTTTCTGCGAATAATTCGCACGGGCCAACTAGTTATTGTTATTATTATGCAAGAGAAGTTACAACAACTTTTTCCTGGAAATTGGTTAAACTTGAAGTGGCACTTCATGTCAACGATTTTACCCATTTTTTTTTTTTTACCTAAATATTGTTTTTATTTAAATTGCCATTTTTAATCAAATATAAGTAATATATATCAACATATCTCAGAGTTTTATCAATCAATCACTCCTCCATTTTCATGTGATATTCTTATCACATTTTCCGGGACAAGCTAGTCGGACTGTAAAACGTTTTATTTTTATCTGATGTTGTATACACTGGGAAATCAAAGATATTTCTCACTATTAATTTTTTGCTGAAAAAGTTCTAGAAATGTGCCAATACTATGAGGGCTGTTTCTACTCATTCATGTGTCTAATCTAAACAAATATATTATATATTCCATTGTATTTTTATTTTGTTATTTTCCAGTATATATAATAAGTAAAACAAAAAAAAGATCCTTACAACTATACAAACATATTAACAAATTAATTTTATATATTCAATATTATATTTGTTCCTTTGACAATAATTATGTTGAATGTTTACATATAATAAAAACTCATCGAAAATCTGCACCTATATGAGTGACAATTTTAAAGTAGAATATTGCTTCTGGAATAAATAAGCTTTATTTCATTCAACTTAAAAGGTAGTGAAGTCATTTAATAGATCAATTTGTTTAAAAACAGAAAATGATTTTTTTTTATTTAATTTGTCTTTTTTACTTTCCCTCTATGAAACGTAAAACCTCAAATTTTAGAGTATTTTATATTCTTTATCTTGGCTAATTCAAGATAAAACTAAATTTAAAAAAAAAAATTAACATAAAAACAGAGTAAGGTGAACGAAGGATTTTTCTATTATATTTTTAATTCAATGTATGTTGTTATATGAGCCTTTCAGGTGATATAATGTCTAACTCCAAATTCAACATTTTTTATTATTAATTTTAGTGATATTTTTAGTGGGAAAATGTATACCTTTATTCAAAGTTCTTTCTATTCTAATTCTATATTTCCCCACTGCAATCACCTATTCTAAAATCAACTTACTGTATGTACAGATATTATAAATTTTCCAACTACAAATATCATTAAAATTACTTAAGTTAGTCATTCTGTCAAATGAAAAGCTCATTTGTATATTCTATGTATTCATTAGAAGTTGAATCCCAAATTTCAGGAGGTTTTTTTCTTGGATGATCACAAAATTTATTATTGAAAATAAATTTGGATTTATTTTTAAATTTTTTATTTATTTACTTATGGACTCCCCCGCTCCTAAATAGTAAAATATAACTGTTTTATGAAAAAAATATTTTAATTAAAAAATTAGTATTGTTCGTCTGATTCCATTTAATTCATAATAAATCCATTTCATATAGGTAGTTTTTTTATTTTTCTTCCAAAGTAATTATCATAATATATTTTTTAAAAAAATTTTCGGGCTGAAACCTCTCCCCTCAAAATTAAATCCTGGATCTGCTTTGGGACAGACAGTGAAGAAACTAAATGAGCTGTATTACGAAATTCTTCCACAACCACCTTATTCGACAGACTTATTTTTTTAAAGGTTACATTTTTTAAATGATTCTCAAGTTAAAAACATTCAGCCGGATGTTAATAATTTGATGAAAAGGGGTCTGTACCATGGACTACAACCTTTGCTGAGAAAACTGACATTTCATATGGAACAAACTAATATTATAAACTCTTTTCAATTATTTTATTTTTTTTATCTGTGATTGTCACCTCAAAACAACTTTTCAACCATATTATCTTCAGTCAGCTATTTCACCACCATATCATTACATTTCATACCATTTGTAATTGTTTTAATTTTCCAGGAAATCGTAGGCGCTCCTGGGCATATCCTCTACCTTAAGGCCGGAAATGGTCACCATAGATTGTTAACTACAAAATTTAATTAAAACCAGTGTAACAATAATTTTGAATAATTTAACAGACTACTTGCGAACCGGAGGTGAGGTGCCTTGTCTTCTTACAATCCACACGACGGCCATTCTGTTTGATCTACAGAAAAAAGGTAAACAGGACCTTCTTCATCAGCTTTTAATGCTCTTTGATTTTAAAAATATATATTGAAAGTTTACTCCCAACTTAGTACTAAGCAACAAGTAAAAGATTTAGATTTATTAAAGTAAAATTTTGTTATATCTGAACTGTGGCCGGAAGACCAGAATCAATAATGTCATTTTTATGAATTTATAGCTTTTAGTTCGGAAGCCCTTGGCAAAAAAGTTGTCTTATTTCATATTAAGAAAAAAAAAAATTCCCTCTGAAGGTATGTCCACAAATGCTTTGTTTACGAGATATTCACACCTAAAGATTTTCGTTGTTATGAATTATTTACGTTATATGAAATAAATAAAACCTATTTATTTGTTCCAATTACTTTATTAATTAAATATAGACACTAAAATTCATATTAAATGTTGTTCAAAGTGATTTCCTTGAGCATTGAGACAGACTCGGCATCTTTCTTCAACATCAGCAGTGGCAGAACGGCACTGAATATGTTTCATTGTTTCACAAGATTCAATTATCCTTCTTCGTAAGGAATTAAGGTCATTGACCAGACTTGCATAGACTTTTTGTTTAATGTCATCCCCAAACAAAACAATCCAGTGGTGTCAGGTCTGGAGAGAGTGCAGGTCAAGCCACTGGTCCATTAACATTTAGCCATTGTCGTGGCTACCTTCAATTTGAACAACATTTAATATGAATTTAAAGTTTATGTTTAATTAATAAAGTAGTTGGAACAAATAAATAAGTTTTGTTTACTCAATATAATGTAAATAATTCATAACAATGAAAATCTTTAGGTGTGAATATCTCCTAAACAAAGCGTTTGCAGACATACCTTCATAGAAATTTTTTTTTTGTTTTGAGGTCCTTAATTCATATTTTCAATTTGGCCATTTAACCCTGAAATACTGCCGCATTTCTGAGATTTTTCGTAGATAAAAAATTTGTAGGTTACGATAAGATGAAGTTTGAGATGGATGTTAATAATTAGATAAAAAGGGGTCTGTAGCATGGAAAAATATGTCCATGTTGTAGTAACGAATAATCTAATAGAATGTTTACATTGGACAAATTAAGATTGGTTACTTTAACATGGTGGCAAGGATATCATGTGTTTGGTATAAATTTGAATGCTGTCAACATAAATAAAGATGGACTGTTCTCTCTATTGCAGAGCTGGTCCAGGATGGCTGCCTGGTTGCTGGTGAGCACGCTGGTGGCCTCAGCAGTGGCGGATTGCAGCAACTACCTCAGCAACGAGGAGCTAGGGGAGTACCTCGCCACCACCGCCAGTCTGGAGCCAGCGCTGGCCTCCATCTACTCCATAGGCTACACCGAGCAGCGTAATACCTTATATAATAACTAATTATATATTTTGCATTGATAATATATGATAAGATAAGAGCTGTGTAATCTCTATAATGATCTGACACGGAGTTCTCCAAACTCCTTACCCACATTGATACCTCCACTAACAAGAGAAGTTCACAGCCAGTGACTTGACCCAAATTCATTTAGCGAATCTAACTCGAAAAATCTGATATGGTGCGAGCATCTAATAACTTGTACCTAATACCATACTTAGAACCTTTATGAACTAGAACTTTTACTTGAGTAATGGAATCGATGGTGGATCACTATTCGTAAAGGCTCTACCTTGAGTAAATACTTTCCTGCCGTCTATTCAAGGTAGGAAGCAAAATGGGTCATGGCTAATTATTGGGTGCCACAGTTCCTCACAGAGTATATGTGGTTTCATGTCTTAGGGAAAGAACTTTTGATCGAGTCTGGCACCCAGGACTGCTTTACAAACTCCATAAATTCCTACACCCTATATACTTCCTCATTATCCGTTCCGATCTAACTGATAGATCCTTCAAAGTAAATCATAATAATGCCTATTCATCCCTTTTTTCCCAGTCTGCTGGTGTTCCTCAAGGTAGTATCCTAGGTCCTATCCTTTACACAGTTTATACAGCTGATATCCCAACCCATCCTAACACTGTCATTACTACGTATGCCGATGATACATGTGTCCTATCAGTTAATAACGACCCACCAATTGCATCCCAAACCCTTCAATCACACATCACAAACCTTGAAGAATGGTTTCAAAACTGGAAGATCAAAATAAATTCCAATAAATCCCATCAAATCACCTTTACTCTTCGTCGTAAACCTATGTCCTCTTGTCCTACAGTATCCTTTAATAATACCCCACTTATCCCTGTTGAACAAATCCGATACCTTGGACTCCACTTAGACAAACGTCTAACTTGGAATCCTCATACCAGAATGAAATGGACAAGAAACAGCTCGACGTTTCCGACTACTCCAGCCCTTACTAGACAAACGCTCTGAGCTCCCATTCAATTACAAAAGACTCATTTAAATGACTACAATAAGACCTATTTGGACTTACGGAATTGAGCTCTGGGGCTCCACTAAGCCATCGAATTCCTCTCGTATCCAATCCTTACAATCCAAAATCCTTCCTAAAATCCTCACAGCTCCTTACTTTGTCACAAACAAAATCATCCATAACGACGTTAATGTTCCTTATGTTTCTGACGTGGCCCAATCCAGATACCTTTCCTTCCATAACAAACTTCAGAACCATCCTAACCCTCTCGTTTCGAACCTTGCTTCCTTTTCGATCCCTGACAACCCTCCGAGGCGTCTGAAAAGAAGATGGCCTCGAGATCTCCTTTTGTAAATACATTTTTAGAGTGCTACCAGTGGGTAGTTTCTCAACAAGTGATTTCATGCTATTATATTCTTTTGTTCACATTTACTGAATGTATTTTTACTTGTAATACAGTTGTAAATATCATCAATAAAAAAAATAATAAAAAAAAGGGAAAGAAATTAACCCTCTATGTCCCTGTTGTGGTGTTCTGGAAAGTCGCCACCACCTGCACTGCTTTTGGATCAATAAGAGAAGAACAGAATTAGAAGAGAGAACAAGTGATAGAAGTAGCATGATACTTCTACAAAAAATGCGTGTTGCAGGGAGGCAATGGATGAAAAAAGACTCCTTCTCCTCCCCTCTTCCATCCTCCTCCCCACAAATGGTAAAATACAACTATGTCATATGAAAAAAAAAAATTAATAACTACCTTTAAAAGTATTAATGTTCATTTAATTACATTTAATAGTACTTAAAGAATCACTTAAACTCAATTTCATATAGGTAGTTAGTTCCTTCCTTTTTCGTCCTAAATAATTATCGTATAATTAAAAAAAACCTTTCAGCTGAAGCCCCCCACAACTAAATCCTGGATCCGCAAGTGAATCTCCCTAAAGTCGATGGAGCGTGAATCTGCCTTGCTCTCTCCCAAGAGATTGTATTACTCATTACTTCTTAAAAACATGCAAACAAAAGCAAAATTGGAAAAATCATAAACCACATATAATTAAATTTGCTGCAGTCTGGTCCATGTTTTTTCTCTTGTCTCCTGAGTTAAAACTTTTCATATCCAAAATTTCTCAAAGAGCCTCAAGCCACTTCGACCATACAACCCTGCCTCTCGCCAATTCCTTCATCTGACCTAGGGTTTTCTCTCTTTCCTCACCTAGTCGCTGGATATGTTCCAGATATATTCTTCTAGGCCTACTCCCTGGTCTCCCGCCAGTTGACCTCGCTTCCATGCATTTCCTTGGTACTCTGCTTTCTTCCATTCTACCATCAAAGTTGCTGGCATTCCATAGTTGCTTTCAATGAGGGTAACAGGAGTCCATATCGTATTCTTTCATTCCTCACTCTGTCTCTCCGTTTTTTTCTCAGAATTCTATGCAAAAATTTCATTTCAGCAGCTGTAATGCTGCTTAAGTGCTTGTCTTGGCTGACCCAGCTTTTGCTGCAATATAATAATGTAGGGAGATAGACTGCTTTATAGATGTGGAATTTGACATATCTTCCTAACTCTCTCTTTCCCACAATTGTATTGCAAATCTGGTAATATATACTGTTTGCTTTCTTTATCCTGTTGGAGATTTCTTGTTCTATTTTCCCAGATTTGTTAAAAATTGTTCCAAGGTAGGTGTAGTAGTCTACATTCTCCAGCTCTTCTCCATTGCATGTCATTCTTATATCTCCCATACTCCCTCATCTCTTGTTACAGTCATGACCTTACCCTTGCGGCTGTTGATATTCATTCCTCTATTAGCGAGTTCTTCCTGCCATTCTATAATGGCCTGTTGCAGTTTTTCTTGGAAGTTGGTCACCAGCACAATATCGTCTGCAAATAGGAACACCTGCACTTGAACTAACTATTTTCATGTTCCACATACCGACTGCAGTCCAAGCTGTTCTTCTTCTGCATATTTTGTGGATTTCGTTCATAAAGGTGATAAACAATAATGGACTCAAGCTGTCTCTTTGTTTCACACCTCGCTCCATCGGAAACGGCTTGGACTCTCGGCCACATATACGTACTATTCCTTTGGGGCTTCTGTATGTTGATTTTATCGCTGCCGAAAGGTCCTCGGGAATACCTCTTTTAATTGTTCTCCATATTTCGCATCAGGTTACTTCAACTCAACGTTAAACCAAGAATAATTAATACAAATATTTTTTACTCTAGGTTGGGACATTCCAGTTTTGGAGTTGAGTGCAGCAGAATCAACAGAGCAGGTGCCCAATGTTAAATTCATCGGTGGGGTTCACGGTGATGAAGCCATTGGAACTCAAGTTCTTATATCATTCATAGAGGTAAATATCTACAATCTCAAGATCTCACTGTATATATTAAGTCTGTTCTAACATGAGTTTTGTCCCTCAGCAAAACGGTTCCAAAACTTGTACTCCGCTTATGCCTAAAATGAAAAAAACCTTACAGTTTTTGCGGCAGGTTTGCTAATGATCAAAACTAGTTTTAGAACAGACCAATTATAGTTGACATAATTGGCTTTGTAACTAAATGAACTAAACATCAATGAATTTATAATTGGAAAATCTAAAAATAAAGGAGACTATAAGAAATAATAGTGGGTCGATCCATTTAAAATCATCCGGTTTGAATTAATTTTTTTTTTATTTTGCTTAAAATTTTTGATTTTCACTATTATTTGGTGAATTCTCAAGTATTATTAAAATTTATTTAAGGTTCAACAAGTTTTTTTCTTGGAGTCCATATTGCTTTGACGTTTCGACCACAGGCAGATCTACGGAATAGGAAAGGGTTTTAAAAAATTCATGAAACAAAATGAGAATTTTACTGATCATTAATGTTTATGATCTGAGGATGAATGAAAGAAAACATCTATACATGAAAATCTCAATATATATATACCACTTTATAAAACCATTATAAGGCCATTTGTTACAAACAGAGGTCCCCAGACTTTTTGGCCCACATTGAACCTCCAATAAATCCCATGGGTCGCAATGTGGTCATCAGTAAGTCCCGAAGGCCATATTGCGGCCTCCACTACGTCCCACCACGGGCCTTGGCTTGTGATAAATAAATGACGCTTCAGCTGTGACAACCCATGCAATAAAGGTGTAGAAACCTCCCATTTGAGTGATTTACTTCATTGCACTATATTTTTTAAATAGTTTTAAAATTTTACCAAGCAATCAAAGAAACTTTCATGGGCAGGACTGGAGTTGGAAACCCCTGTTCTGGAACATGTAGAGAGAATGGAGATGTTGCCATGAAAACCTCTCCATAGCAGCTCAGGAGGAACAAACCTAATGAGAAGTCTCCATCGACAACGTAGAATACTCTAACCTCGTTGGTAACAAGATGAAGAAATCCCCAAATTAATAAACAATCATCAAAAACAATTAGGTCTACAACCTCAGAACCAAAGTATTAAAAAAAGTAATAACATGATTGGTATAGTGTAAAAATTTTAAAAAGTATTTTACTGCGATTTTTTTTTTTTTTTATAAACCTCACAAATTTAATGGCTAACTTTTCTTAAATATATTTTGTAGTATTTGATGGATGCCTACAGGAGGGAAGAAAGGTTTGTTACCTGGTTACTCAACAATACTAGGATTCATATCCTGCCAAGGTTGAACCTGGACGGCTATCAGTTGGCCATTGAAGGTGTGTGCGCTTTGGGACCAGGAAGGTAAATTATGAAAGATCAATATTCAAAAGAAAAAAAAGAAAATTACTTTATAGTTGAGGTGTGCTAGCTATTCATGAAACATTTTCACAGTCTATTTCTATAATATCCAATCGCTTAATGAATAAATTTACGAATGCTTGTATCTCTTACACCAAAATTCTGTTTGGTCACCTTCTCTTCTTTCTAAGATAAACTAATCTAAAAGTCGCTATTCTATAAATTGTACATGTCCTGAGCTCAGTTTAATCAAATTTAGTTTTCAAGTCATCTAAAAATAATATTCATAATTGGCAAATGGTTGACTGTCATGGATAATGAAGAGAAGAATAGTTGGGATGATCAGTCAAATAAGAAGTCAAAAATAAATGATAATATTTATTTTTACATATGCCGACGTTTCGACCTGAAGTTCAGGTCTTCATCAGGGCTAAGAAAATAACCAGATAACAAGGTATGAGAAACATAAGTAGTGTAGGTAAAAAAATAAAAAAATATAAAGAAAAAAATAAATAAATAAAATAAAAATTTCTTTCTTATTTCAGCTTTCTCATTTTCTTCCCTCCTTCCTTTCATTCTTTTTCTCTGTTTTTAACTCTTTATTATATTATACATTGTCTGTACATCTTGATAGACTTTACAATATCTCAATTTTCTATCTAACTACTCCATTCTCAATGTCTTAATTTTACTATTTATTTTCATTTCTTGTATAACTTCATATTTCTTTTTTATGTTTCACATTTTATTCTAAGATTCCCATTTTAATACTTATGTCACCCTTTTTGATTATGCTTACTTCATCATTCCACACTTTGTAACGGTTATTATTTATCTCTTAGTTCTTACTATTGTCATTATTCTAACAATTTCATTTTACTTTATTTTTTTTATTTTTTTTTATTTATTTTTTTACCATCACTACTTTTGTTTCTCATACCTTGTTATCTGGTTATTTTCTTAGCCCTGATGAAGACCTGAACTTCAGGTCGAAACGTCGGCATATGTAAAAATAAATATTATCATTTATTTTTGCCTTCTTATTTGACTGATCACCCCAACTATTCTTCTCTTCTTTAAAAATAATATTGTATCATTAGCTAAGATATTTAAAAAAAAAAGAAAAAAAAAAGAAGTTGAATATCATTTATAAAAATACAAACTAGGAATAGGAAAAACTATTTATTTTAAATGAAAATCAGGAATGTATAATAGTTATGAGGCATAGTTAAACTAACATACCTAATAGTAAGGTTAATCCAGTATCACTTTTACCTCAGTCTCCTCTCCACTTCTCTTGATAGAAGATTTGATTCCAGGATTTTTGGAAATCTCTCAGTCCTGTCCCTCAATCTTAACCTTACATGATCAATCATTCTTCAGAATGTCATTCCGACTGACTGGGTGGCATGAATCAATGAACATTTCAATGTTTAATAGTTAAAAAGAATCATTTTTCTATAAAATTATTAAGTAAAATCAGAATGTGAAGATATACTTAAAAATTAATAAAATAAATTTTTTTTTTTCATTCAATTCCAAATTCTTTATGATTTTGTAATAGCTATTGAATATATTTCTCGATTATGTACCTCAATATAATGTAGCAATCCAATTTGTTACAGAAATAACACTGCAGGCTATGATCTAAATCGAGCTTTTTTACCCAAAGGAGATTTTGTTTCTGAAGCGGATGCGGTGATGACCTGGTTGAGAAGTGAGAGTGATGTATTTGTCCTTTCTGCAACAGTTAACGCTGGGGAGATGGTAGTAGTGTATCCACCAGATAATATGGAGGGTAGGTAGCAACAATAAAATTTTAAAGGCGTTGGTTGCTAGGGAAACGGAAGATGTAAACAGGATATAGACCCTGGTTGCCGATTACAGGCTATTTAAGTAAAATTTTTATTATTTTAAATTAATTAGTTTTTTTTTTTACAAAAAATACAACAACAAAACAATGGATGTTTTAAGTGAGAATAAATTTTGGAATAGATCTAAAATATTGAATTTTGACCCAGGTACCAATTGACCTTGCTACATCACTTAATATTCTATTAATTTGCTAATTAGATGATGTCACTGAAAGCCTCATACTTGAGATTTTTAACATTTATTTCAAACCATTTTTCAAAGCACGAGTTATTTTTTCCTCTAACTATATAACAAGAATCTCATGCCTTTTATGTCACCTCGTCTATTTATCTTATTATTATTTTTCTCATATACAATTTAAATTTTACTGTCTAGAACTAATAAATCTCAATGTCCTTCATTTGATATACGTGCATGCCATACAGCAAATCCATCTATATGCTCTCTATATCAGCGCTCCTTTTAATTGATCATCATATTTTTCTCTCTCTCTGTTTACTGTTAATTTATTTTCATTATTTATCACCTATTCAAAAATGTTTTAAATAATAGATGAAGTTTTCTGTTTTTTTTTTAAATTTTTGAATTGTTAATTATCTATTAAATTGTTTTTCCTTTCTCTTTATTTTTTCTTAGTAATGAATAAATCATTTCACTATTCTTATGTATATAGATAGTTTCATGTGTTCTGTATACTGTTAATTTACTTAATTATTTATTTATTTAAAGTAACAGATCTATTAGCCAGAACTATTTTTTTATTTTCTGTACAACATGATTAAACTTAAGGATCTTTGTCCCATATTAGTTTGTTTTTTTACTCTATCCTATTCTACTGATCTACAAGACAATCCTGAGACCTATGTGGACCTACGGACTTGAACTTTGGGGAACAGCAAAATTTTCTAATATCAAACGCATCCAATCCTTTCAGTACAAAGTCCTCCGAACAATAGTCGATGCCCCATTCTATGTAACAAACAAAATACTACATCATGACCTCAATATCCCATTTATCCCTAAAATTTTTTTCAAATTCCATCAGAACCTTGTCAATGATCCAAATCCCCTAGCACAATCTCTATCTAGTTCCACTCATCCCTACAACCCTCCTCGAAGGTTGAAGTGGCAGTGGCCCAGAGATCTTTTGTAGTATATATCTTGGAGTTCTGGCAATGGCCAGATTCTCCACTCAAGACATGAGTGTATGTGGCTAAAGCGCTCTCGCTCTGGCTCTGGCTCCACTGGCTTTAGCACCAGTGAGGTGGTTGAGAGAGTAGCGCAGGGATTTGGGTTCCCTGCCTGATTGTATATAGGTATGACTGTGTTTTTATGTCTTTAATTTACTTATATTTAGGTTATTATTTTTTTTATTGTATATAGTGTTTATTTATTATTATTTAGTTATTATTTTACTTTTGTTAATTTTGCATTTTCTGTATATATGGTGTGAATGTATTCATTTATCACTATAATTATTGTCCACGAGACAGAACATTATATATCTAAATAAATAAAAAATAAAAAAAAATTCTATTCTAGTTACTGTTAGACAACTGAACTCACTTTAATCATGTTATCAGTTAATTTATTACTATTATTATTATTTTTTTTAATCAGGGGAGCCCATCCCCCCCCAAGGTCAATGGGCATCTATCCTCTCCCCCATGATATTTTATTGCTCACCTCTTAAAAACAATGCAAGCGAAAGTAGAATTACAAAAATTATAGATATTATATTATTGAGATTATATACAATTACAGTTCGTGCAGTCTATTCCATGCTTCCTTTTCTTTTGGCTTGAATCTTTTCATTCCAAAATTCATGAACCCGTTGAAATGTGCCGCCCTCAAAAATTAAAAACACCGTCAAAATGTGACCGCCTCAAAAACTTTGATAGCACAACTTTGCGCCATGAAATCACCTCCTAGGCACCTCAGGTGTTAATGATCTTTCAGAATGAAATTCTCTTGTTCGCAAAATTTCTTATCCCAGTTTATCATCACAAGTTATTGGACAATATGGAAGTTAGTCGACTGTTCTACAGATCATCGGTAATAGATAGTCAGAGACAGTCATAAGATGGCACTTGAACATCTTTAGTGCTGGTAACATACTCTGATGATGACTCACAAGCTTGGGTTAAAACGTTGCCAATAAAAATCATAAAAATTAACTGCGTCTTGACTATCTATCACTCATGTTATAAGACAATAGTTGAATAAAATGTAAAGGAGTACAATAATAATTTTTATTTTATTTTATTGTTATTTAATTTTAAGGTACAATGTTAAAACTCAAATACAGATAACTTTATGATACTTTCTAATGATAAAGTATTTATTTTTTAGATTTTGGTGGTAAGAATACTACATTAGACGATGATGTGTTCAAACACCTTGCATCTGTTTATGCAAGAAACCACAAAAGTATGTCCACAAGTAATGGATGTAAAAATGGCATTTTCAACAATGGAACCATTAATGGAGTAGATTGGTACCCAGTCAAAGGTTAGTCATTAATTCTCACAAAATTAAAAAATCTTTCTTTTTTTTTTAAATTACATATATCCATTAATAGTAGTATAATTTATTCATACATTATATATTATATTTCTCTAATAATTCATAGCTGAAGGGTCTAACAGGCCCAAATGATTAATATTAATTGTGTATTACATACTAGAAAAAAAAAAGTCAATTTTGCATGATAATAGAAACAATAGAAAATTTATTTTTTATTATAAAAAATTATAAATAAACTAAAATGATCCCCATTAATTATATGTAGATCTTCTTGTATGAGATCAACATTTAATTTATCAAATGTTAATGTAGATATAATTAAATTTAATGACTGAGGTAAACTCTGAAAAATTCGACTCAACCAAGACAAATCACAATATATGACTTTTACTCTTTGTTATGAAACTTGCCCTCCAATTTACCTTGACAATGTCCAAATTCGTCAGACAGATAAAGTTGAATATTTTGGACTGATAAAAGAACGACATGAGGCCCACATATCAAGAACAAAAACACTAAACCTAAGACGACTGCTATATTCACTCCTTTCAAGACATTTGAAATTAAAACTTAGTCAAAAATTAAATACATATACTTATTTACTTAAGCTCATTTGGACCTATGCTTTACAGATATGCAGCCAAAAAAGACTCATATAAGTAAACTACGGACTTTTCAATCAAAAACCTTTAGGAATATAACTAAAGCTCCCTGTTACGTTAGTAACATTACATTACAGAAGACTAGAGATGTCAACAGTTAACGACCACATATTATAAAAGATTTCACAATAACTTACTTGCATGCCCAATAGCACACGTAGGAGGCTCAAAAGAAGCTGGATGAGGTATCTCCTCCACTAACTATAAATATAAAATCAAGTTGGGTAGGAATGCGGTGGGGCATTCCTTTCCCTCACATCTACCAATATCTTACTCCATTCTCTTCTTCCTGACAGCACAAGTTACATTAAATTAAAATTATAGTACTAGTTGATAGTTCACTGCTTTTTTGATAAAATCAAAATATAATTCAGAAAATGATAGAGCTAGTATATAAGATTTAATTTATATGAGATAGGTTTAAGACATATGAGATTTAATATAAATTTAAGATATACAAGATAGTTTAGAAGATAACGCAGTTCGACTTTATTATTACAGGTTCGATGCAGGACTACAATTACAAATCTGGTACAATGGAACTGACATTGGAAATCAGCTGTTGCAAATACCCACCTAGTGATCAAATGTGCAGTATTTGGGATGAAAATAAACTTGTTTGTACTTCACATAATTTCAAAAATAATCTGTTAAGTTTTTTCATAAAAATTTCCTTTAAAATTCTCTGACACCACCTTCTCAGGCCCTTTTGAAGCTGGCTGCTGAATCTTGCAGAGGCGTAAGGGGGAGGGTGATAGACGCTTCAGAGAAACCAATTGCAGGAGCTAAAATATCTATTCTTGGCAGGAACATGACAGTGAGGACTAATGATCAAGGATACTACTTCAGGATATTGTTGCCAGGGAGATATTTTATAAAGGTATATCTTTCTGCGAAGCAGATACCTAAGTTCATTATACTATACCGTTACATAATTCATTATGTATAAGTTTTATTATAATTTTATCATGAAACCTACACATTCAAATTCTTCGTATGATTAACTTTGCTAACTAGACTTCCTTTAAATATATTTCCTTGGTCAAAAAAACAAATTATATCATTTGGTTAACTTATTGGTGGAACTAGAGGAACTACATCCTTTAAATCAAAATGCAACATTTATCTACATACAAATACGAGATCTCAACAACTTGATTTATATACAAGTTGTGTAAAACTGGAATTTTCATATAGAAAATGCACGTTTCTTTCATTAAAATTTTAGTCTACTGTTCTACATACCATGGGTGGTAGATATTCAGTAAACAGCTTGTGTGGGTTATCATCAGGGCATATTACCAGCACTATATTATAACCCACAAGGTTTGCTTAAAACATCAGCAAATAAAAATTTTAAAGAACTGACTTTTTCCTGAATATCAAACACCCATCAAAATGTTATAAAATATTTACAAATAAATAGTATTCAGAAAGAGCCAAGTCTGGTAAATAAGCCGCAAGTGCTAATATTACCAACTGAATGCCTCTATTATTTCCTTCACTGGTTTTGCTATGTGCGATGGTGCATTATCATGGAGCAAAATCACTTTGTGTTGTCTTTTTTGAAATTCTGATCATTTTTCACACAACCTTTGATTCAAACCATTTATTGTCAACAGAGTTCAGTATTAAAAGTTTCGCTAGATTTTAGCAGCTCATAATACATCACACACACTTCCATGTTCTTTATTTCTCATGTCAAAATCATCACTTTTGAATTTTTTAAAGCACTCCAAACACTGCGATTTATCAAGAGCAAGCTTACCGTAAGTATTCGATGCAATTCTGCAACAGTTTCCATACAACTCGACATTTTAAACACTATTAAAACAACGCTGTTATATAAAACTTATATTTTTGCGAGTTGAAATTCTTTGCCAGCTGTTGAAGGAACAAAATGGTGCCAATAATGTGATTTAATGGTGTCTACATTAACAATTAAAACCAATCCATTGACAAATTCCAGTTTTACATACCTAGTATACCCTCTTATAAAACTGCTTCCTTTAGTAAATTTTTCATTTTAATTATTTATCCATTTCTATTCAGCAACCTTTGTCCACATATTGTTTTAAAAAACAATTACAACTAATAGGACAATGGCAAGTAGCCTTTTCTAAATGTTTAGTCAAAATACATATACATTATGATAATTTTGAGAGGAACTTTGTCTCAGATTAAAATTATTATCTTTAATATAAAATAACATATTTTTAGGTTGAAGCAGAAACAATGAAGACGTTTATCAAGGAATTTTTCGTACCCAATTCAGATACAGCATTCCTAAAGTGGGAAGTTCTAAACGTCACACTAGTGGTCGACACTACTCTGTACCCAGCAAGTCATGATAATGCTCCTGAAGAGCGTACCATAAGTTATGATGAAGGAGGTTTGGACCCTAACACTACTTCGACCTACGATGACTCCTATTCATCATCTCCGGATGACAGCTACCCTAAGGCTGGACTCATCACAGGAGCAGCCAGTACAAAATATCACAATAACTTCTATTCAATTTTCATAGTTATCTTTTGTAAATATCTAATAGATAGTATTTTAACTGGCTTAGTACATACAAATTGTATACTTTTTTGATAATTAAATAATTTAAAATTATGCAAGTAATATTCAATACAATTCCTACATACAGAATGTCCCGTAGAGGGAAATTTTTATAGGAGTGATAGGAGACTTTAAGAGCTACAAAAAAGCTCATAAAAGTAATGGGCCAATTTTCAGAAGAAAAGAAGGAAATTCAAGTTTTGTGGATTTTGAAGGGAGTCGTGTTTTTTGTTGAGTCGAAAGCAATAACTAAATAAATATTTAATTTAAGTAATTAATAATCGAGGCCTCGATGAAATTTCCCCGGAAATGATTAAGTACATGGGCAGCAAAGGCCAAGAGATGTTCCTCCATCTTTAAAACCTGTGCTGGAAGAAAAAGAAGAAGATTTCCAAAGACTGAGAAGTAGCGGTGATTCCATAGGGGAATATCCCTTCCCAGTGTGCCTGAAAAAGTCTACTCTAGAATTCTAGAAACAAGAGTGAAGAAAATTGTCGATTGCCAACTAGGAGAAGAACAGTATGGCTTCAGGAACCAAAGAAGCACGCAGGATCTCATCTTCATGATGAGACAAATAACAGAAAAGACTGTTGAGAAGGATAAAAAAATCTCCATCTGCTTCGTGGACCTCCAGAAGGCTTTTGACAGAGTGAAGAAAGAGGACATAGAGAGGGCACTGTCTGAGCAGGGTGTAGACCATGGAACAACTTTGCGGTGATGAGTCTCTATAAAAAGATGAGGAATGTGATCAGAACCAGAAACATTTCAAAAGAATTTGAGACTACATTAGGCATCCGACAGGGCTGTAGCCTGAGTCCGTTGCTCTTCATCATGATTCTGGACTTGGCACTAAGGAGGACCAATCCTATCATGAGGAAATTTCAGCTAAGGCACAGAAATTTGCACCTTAACAGATATTCTCTGTTGACTTTCGCTGATGACATCGTCTTACTACCTGCCAATGATCGAGACCTCCAACACAACATAAATGTCCTCCAAGAGAAATTATTCACAGTAAATATGAAGATTAATCCAGTGAAGACTAAATGCATAAGAATTGGAAAGAAAGGGTTGGAGATTAGAGCAAGTCAAGAGCTTTAAATATCTGGAAGCTCATCTCAATGAGAGTGGCTACATAGACGAAGAAGTGGCCCAAAGAATTGGAGCAGGAGGGAGGATGTTCAGTATGGTCAGACAGGGTTTCCTGGGAAGAAGAGAGGTGTCAAAGCGGACCAAACTAGCCGTCTATAAATCGACATTCCTCCTTATCGTGTCGTACTCTTCAGAATCGTGGACCCTCACCACAAAACACAAAAGCCATATACAAGCCATGGAAATGAGGTATCTGGTAAAATATTGTGCCATTTGTCCTATGTAATCTTGTTATTTTGAAAATTTGGGGGTGTAGGTCACGCCAAATGGCTCAATATTTTTGAAGGCCACCTTTTTTCTCGATTTTGTGATCAAATTATCTTACAATCTAAGTAAAAACAAATGAGTATTTATGAATTTTTAGTATCTAATTAAATAGACATAGTTTGCCCCCCTCCAGATTGAAAACGCCCCAATTCCAAGAGTTTTCGTAAATAAAATAGTTGTAGGTTACGATGAGATGAAACTATTTATGAAGTTTCAGGCTGATGTTAACAATTCGATAAAAAAAGGGTCTGTACCATGGACTAAATTGCTTCATTGCAGTAAACTAGATAAACTTTGCTTTAAACGAAAAGAGAGTTTATTATTGTTAAAACCATTTAAAGATGACTTTTGAGCGGCTAAACTAAGCTAAGTACTGTTTTTAGAAAAATTATTTGCGATTTTATTTTATAATCAACCAACTCTACTCTAGATACGCCACTTTTAAAAAAACTTGTTCGTTTGATAAGCTTTAAATCTCTATTAATTAAATTGAGGTTTATTAGGGAAAAATTTGCGATTGAGCTCAAGTTGTGTAATGATATTTTTAAGTACACCTATTTTCAGCAAAAATGACTATAATTAACGGTTGCAAAGCTTTTATTTCTTGTTTTGACATGATCTGGGATGTATTAAAATAAACCCAATTGCCTAAACACACATTAACTGCTCAAAAGTCGTCTCTAAATTATTTTAACAATAATAAACTCTCTTTTCATTTAAAGTAAATTTTATCTAGTTTACTACAATGAAGCAATTATTAATTACTTAAATTAAATATTTATTTATTGGAAGAAGAGAGGTAATTCGACTAAAAAAAAAACACGACTCCCTTAAAAAAACACAAAACTTGGATTTCCTACTTTTCTGCTGATAATCGGCCCTTTTTATAAGAACTTTTTTGTAGCGCTCAAGGTTTGCCATAAGTAGCCAAAACCCTACAAAATAAAAAAAGAAGCAATAAAATCGGTTCAGTAGTTTCCGAGAAAATCTTGGCACAGACAGACAGAGCAATGGCTAAAAATGTGTTTTTCAGACTCAGGAGGCTCTGAAACGTATAGATCCATCGAAGACCGCATGTCGGAAATTTTACTCGATTGCAATACTTTCCTTGCCTAGTATAGGTAGGAAAGTAAAAATATATATCAAATCAAACATGGTGAGTTCTTTCCCAACTAATATATATATATATTACAACTTATCCTTAATCGACCTTTGAGTATTAAATTTAAACTTAACTATTTATTGGGAATAGTTAATATATGTGCTAGTGGACGGTGCTGAGACTGTCGGTATGTCCCTGGCCTGATCGAAGCTCTATTTTTTAAAATTCTAGCTTTGAAGAGGATCCCATGGTTGACTAATAAAAAGAAAATACTGGGATCGAAACGTCAATAAACAGAAGAAATGAACATTCAATAGTTTTTTAAATAATAATTAAATGACCTTATTCCCAATAAATAGTTAAGTTTAAATATATATATATATATATATATATATATATATATATATATATATATATATATATATATATATATATATATATATATATATATATGTATATATTTATATATTTATAAAACAAGGTAAGGTACAGAGTGCTTAATGGTGGGTTACAGACATACACTGGCTTATCGTAAGCTCCCGTATTGTCTTTAATTTTTCCTTATAGAGAGCAGCACAGGACGGACTAACTCTTAGAGGAAAAAGTCATTACAATATATGAATTGGTGATGCTGCTTGGGGAATGGGAGATGTCGAGTTGAAAACAAAGAGACATGAGTAGAAATGAGTGAAGAGTAACTGAGTTAATTTATCTCAGTCAATTTATTTATTGAGTTAATCCTCAATGCTCTCTACTTTGTTACAAATAAAACCATCCATAATGACCTTAATGTTTCTCATGTTTCAGATCTGGCTCATTCCAGATAATAAACTTCCATAATAAACTTCAGAATCATCCCAATCCTCTCGTTTCTAACCTTGCTTCCTCTTCAATTCCTGATAACCCTACAAGGCTTCTGAAAAGAAGATGTCCTCGTGATCTCCTAATATAGACATATCATTAGAGTGCTACCATTGGGTAGTTTCTCAACAAGTGTTTTCACGTCATTATATCCAGATGTTCAAATTTACTAAATGTATTTCTTTATTACAGTTGTAAATACCATTAAGAAATAAATAAAAAAATATATATGTATTGAATTGTAAAAAATAATGTAGATGGAAATAAAGTATAACCCATCAAAGTCCCAGGTTAGAAGAAATGTCATCTAATGTTGTCAATATTAGAGTTGATTTTTTAGAAGAAACAGCAATATTAGATTATTAGTTAATTTTTTAAATTGTACTTATGTCAGCAATTAAAATGATGAATAAATATTTTTTGATATAGTATTAAGAGAAATATGGTAAAGAGGAAAATAAACACTCTTAAGAAATAATATATAGCTATAATTACACATATAACAAACATCACAGACTTAAAACTTGAAGATATATTAAAAATATTTTTATAAATAGATGAAAATATTTATAAAATTACTTCTTTAATATGTAGGTTAATATTACCTAGCTATATGGTACAAAAATAATTGGTTATGAACAACTTTGGTCAAAATTAAAATATTTCACAATTCCTTAATTGCATTAATATTAAAATTCAAAGGGTCATTTGCCAAAAATAATTGCTTTTTGATTTTGAATTATATACAAAGAAACTACGTGTTCTTCAACACAGAATATAAAGAATAAAAATACTCAATTGTATTCAAAGTACTACACAAATTTTACAAATAAAATATTTCCTATAGCATAAATTATAGTTATAAAATTTATCAAATAAGAATAAAATTTAAAATAAACAAAGATAACTAATTATTTATGGCAGTAAATTAACATAAAAATCAATACATCCATAAAAATACAGCTGATACATTATCTATAAAACAACTCAATGTGCCAATTTTTATTTTTAAAAAAATATTTATAAACTCAAATATCTGTATATTAAATTTTAAAAACCTAGATACTAGGTATATAAATTATACTCCTTATAATGTTCATTTCTTGAACAAATATATTTTAAAAAGGAGATAAAAGTGATCTATTGATATTTTTGCGAAGATAGTGTTTTTCCTATCTACCTGTCCCTGAGCCAAATTTATGCTTCTGTGTGGGAAAAATTATGAGATTATAAATAATTATTTGAGAATTTTTTTTTTTAAATACAGAAGTATTGATTTGATACAGACACAGGCAAGCAACAAATGAACTTCCATTTCACAGAAATAACATTTGATCAATATTATATCTAACTTGAAGAATATGTATTGTATGTAATGTTGATATCAAAATCTACAACTGAATATATAACTTGTATAATATAAAAATAAAATTTTATCATTTTTTGACTAGGAAAATATTTCCTCAAGCTTTAAAGAAATGACTTATCATTCATTATAACATGAACTGATAAGTATCACAGTCATGTAATTTTTTTTTAAGCGTGATTTTTATTATATACCTTTTAATAATCTTATACCATGTTAAAGATTAGACTATAAAAACTTAATAATAAAAAAATATCAATTACAAAAGTATCATGAGGCAAAAGCATAACTAATTTAACATAAACACTAATCAAACCTGATGAGATAAATATTGTGTTCAGATCCAGCAGCTATTATTGGCTTAAAAATAGATTCTCTAACATCAATTGCTAAAATTGGCTCTGAGCAAATATCTAAATAACATTCATAATTTGAAAGATTTAGACTCAATAAATCTAAATCACAGCTCACACGATAAATGTATATTATACCTACAAAGATAAGAAGAATAAAAGTATAACATGATTTATCAAACATAAATATAACACAGGTACAAACAAAAAGTAAATATTTTTTTGGTGCTTGCGATTTTAGAGTCAATATTAACTATATTGGGAGCATTCTTAATATAAAATATTTTTTTTAATCAGCTGTACTTTTTAGATGGATTTGCTAATCTCTCAGGTTTTTCTAGTGCAATACATTCAAGTAGCTTTGGGGGGAGGGAGGGAGGAAGAGGTGGCCAAAAAGGCTAACATGTGTGCACAGCACCGCGAGTTGCCAGGCACCCAGATAACCAAGATTTAAGATTGAAGAAAAGTACGAGTTCGTGTCCCGGTGGCATAGGGGATTTTAAATTCCCCGCCCTCACCCTCCGACCATGGAAAATCTCTTATAGCCTCTAAATGGCAAAGTAGGGAAGAACAGAAAAAAAAAACATTCAAGTAGCTGTGATTTAATTATACTTACTAAACATAAATATGCAATAAATATAATTGTCTATCCTTTTTTTTTTTTTTTTTCCACTTCCTCGCATTTTCAGCCTTACCGAGTTTTCCCAGGTCAGGGGAAAGGGTGGAGAATTAATTCCTGAGTTAAAAACCTACCCAGCACTGGGACGCGAACTAATTATTTTATCATGTTTTCTTCGGTTTATCAGGTTGCCAAGCAACCTTTTATTTTTTAAACTTGTTAGCCTGCTCGGCCACCCTGCCCTAAGCATTGTCTATCCTTTAACTGTTGTGACCTTTCTTGTTTAATATTTCCAGAATTGAGGTTCTTTTGTAAGTTCTCATTTTGATGAGAACTATGGACCATAAATACTGTTTGCAGTAGAGATCAAATTAGGCCTGACATAATTCTTCACTTTATATAACAACTTTTTAATAAAGGGAAATGTTATAAAGTAAATAACACTTTTTCTTATATTTAAGTCAGGGCAATAATAATAATAAATAAAAGGCTTAGAGAACCCAAAGATTCGATGCCGACACCACCAATCGCTTATTACACACCTCCCTCCACAGTTCGCCGTCCACATCCAGTCCCGTCACATCGGCTTTAACACAATCTTCCCTTCGGTCTATCCCTCGGATGCTTACCATTCGGTACAGCAAATATCAACCTTTTAGGAATTCTTTCGTTACTAAATCCAACAATTTTACAAGCCCATTTGATTCACCGTGATGTAATCAACTCAATTATATTAACTGGATATAGTTCATACAATTTTTTACAAGCCCATTTGATTCGCCGTGATGTAATCAACTCAATTATATTAACTGGATATAGTTCATACAATTCGGCATTGTGTAACCTTCTGAACTCTCTGGTTAACTCATCCTTCTTCAGTCTGAATATTCTATGCAATATTTTATTTTCAAAAACCTTAAGACATTGTTCATCCCTTAATGTAAGCGACCATGTTTCGCATCCATAAAGAACTGTAGGTAGGATAATGGTTTTATAGATTCTAGTCTTTAAATTTTGGGACAAAATGTGCGAGCTAAGTAGTTTTGTCACAGAAAAATAATAAGCATTTCCCGACTTCAGCGTAACCTTAATCTCCTCTTCAATTCCCTTTTTTCTAGTTATCATAGACTCTAGATACTTGACCTTCTCTACCTGTTCAAATATGTTACCTTCTATATCAATATAACTGTCAATATCGCCATTTTTGCAGCTAACCATATATTTTGTCTTATCCGTGTTTAATTTGAGCCCTAGTTCATTCTACCGGCTTTCATTAACGTTGTCGTCTTTAGTTTTATAGTTTCCGCGTCTTCACTTAGCAGGACCAGATCATCCGCATAGCCAAGCACAGGTGTTATCCCACCTAGATCCAACTCTTTTTCGATAAGTATTATCTCCCTAATGGCATGTTCTAATACCCAATTGAACAGGACAGGTGAAAGAGAATCACCCTGTTTTAAATCTGAATGAACCTTAAACTTTTCAGATAAAATATTACCGATTATAACTTTAGTGAATGTTTCTGTCAAGCACATCCTGACTAGGTTTATTAATTTTTTTGGAATCTCCAGCTGAATTAGAATATAATACAGTTTCTGACGGTCAATAGAATTGTAAGCCTTTTTGAAATCGATATACAGCTGGTAAAAAACACTGTTGTACTCTAATTTTTTCTCTAATATTTGCCATAAAGGAAATATTTGATCAATAGTTGAACTATTCCGTCTAAATCCGCATTGGTAGTCACAGATAATTTCCTCAGAGTATTCTGTGATTTGACTTGTTAAGATTAAAGTGAATATTTTATAACATACAGGAAGGAGTGATTCCTCGATAGTTATTACAATGAGTCCTCGGACTGTTTTTGTGAATCGGAATAAGAATAGATTCTTTCCATTCTAAATCAGGCAGCTCTGGCTTGCAGATTTGAAGTTTAAATCCTTCGTTGTTAGATTTATTACATTAGTGATGATGATGATATATATTAACTTGAGTCCAACTGAGTTAAAAGTTAGTATTTGCCAATTATCTTCTCACTTCAAAATTCTAAAAACATAGGTTTGGAACATTTATAAGAAAAAGACAATTTTCTAAAACTTCAAACCATTGTTTGTTAAAGTCACACAGGGAAAAATGCGCAAGCCAAGCAAAACTAATATTTATTACAAATATTTTTTAAATATTTGTGCTCACCGTGTTTTGAGTAATTTTTAAATACGGCTAAAAAAAGAATTATAGACAAATGCTTCATGTCTATAATAATAATAGTGAACTTATTTAATCTTCTGCATTTGTTAATACAGATATATAACATTTTAAGTTAATTTATGCTCATACTAGACCATAAATACATGGGACCATTCAAAATATTTGTGGGGATGAATGGGATCATTTAAAACATTGAGGGAATGAGCCCCCACCGTCTTATAGAAATCAATGCCTATATATACAATAGTATGATATCTTATTGTACTACATCGTAAGATAATTATTGAATGCATAATCCAAATCTTATTCAGAACAAGTATATAATATTAAATATAATAAATACCAGTAGATGAACCAAGAAAGAGTTGACCTGCATAGTAGTGAGTACACAAGATCTGACAATCCAAGAAGAATGTTTGATACTTCCTTGTTCTACCATCCACAATGATTTGCAATTCAGCTAACAGATCCAATAAATAGAATAATTAATTTACTCTGTATAGATAGCAAGGAAATTTAATATTGTTGTTAAATATATATATAACAAATTTTAATTGAAGAGAAGATTGGTCAGTGTTCAGTAAAAAAAAAAATGTAAAAATAAATAAGTGTATTTATTTTTATTTTTGCTGACGTTTTAGGCCCCAAATTCAGGCCTAAGAAAAAAACAGATAACAATACGTAGATAGGTGAATGGTATAGTCTAAAAAATGTAGGTGAAATAAACTTAAAATAAATAAATAATAATAAAATAATAAATATATAAATAATAAATAAAGTAGGAGAATAAACATAAAATAAAATAAAGTAGGTAGAATAAACTTAAATGAAATATAAAATAACGATAACAAAGTTAGGGATAGAAAGTAGCGGAAGCAGTGTTAGGATATATAACATAACGGTAACAAAGTTAGGAAATTATGAATAAAATAATAACATTAAAAAAGACCTATAAAATAAGTAATAACGGCAACGAAGTAAAAACTAATGAAATAGGGTAACATAAGAAATGAAAAATTAATTAACAACAAAATGCACAAGATTAAAAACGTAAGTGTTGACATAAATTAAAAGAGGTAACATAGTTGCTAAAATACGATGTTTTAGTATGCTAAAAGGGAGTGAAATATTCATAGAATTAAATGTAAAACAGAGAAAAGGAATATGAAGTAATATAAAGAAAATAATATATGAAATAGAAAAATTAAGATATTGTCAAAACATATTGACGATGTATAAGATAATAAAAAATCTGGTCCGGTGCGCGCATCACACAACTTTTACCTACCATCCTCTTCTTAGCAGAAATAATTATTTTCAGACAAAGCAAAGTGAAAGTAAAAATAAGCTTGTTACTATTTCTGCGAATTTTAACATTATATATCAATATAAAAAATTATTCATTATATCAAAACGACACAAACCCTATAAGTTATTAAAAATAGTTACATGAAGTATATAATGTTAAGATATCACAGAAGAAAAATTCATCTACTAATTTCATATTATGAAATGTTATTTAGTAAGTTTTTGCAATAAACCAACAATATGAAAAATTTAGACAAAATTATAACCGATGAGGTATAATCTGAAGAGTTAAATACTAGGTCATTATAAGCGAGACTATCATTTCACCCTCCCCTCCCCTCCCGTCCCCTAACAATTTGAAGTAAAAAAAAATTAAAATTGATAACAAATAAGCTACATGAATGAATAAAATATGTAAACTAAAATCAATTAAGAAAAGTCGACTAGCTGGTTATAAAGTTAAGGCCTACAAGTAGGCACGTAACTATTTTATCACGATCTAAATATTTATATTATTTAAATTTTCATTCATATTCAGGAATAATAATATAGAAACATATCATTGGATTTTATGATTCATTCACTTTTCATGTGGACACTTCCATTTTCATGAGATTTTCTTATAAATTTTCTTCAATAAAGTTGGAAAAGATATGTTTAATAAGTGCAAGTATAAATATATTTTATAGAGAATCATTTGACAAAATGAATTTATAGACATTTATACATAGTCGGACATTAAAAACATTTTATTTTTATTTGGGGGTTGTACAAACTAAGAAATCAAAAGTATTTTTCAGTTTTTAACATAATTTATTTTTAGCTGAATGTATACAAGCTGTAATACATCCAATTGTTTTGTTCAGATATTTTTAAGTATATCCAAAGGAACATAAAAAAAAAAAAAAATAAATAAATCCTACAGCTGTCTAAAAATATATATAAATTTATTTTTAAATATCCAATATATATATTTTTTTTATTTGCCTCTACCCTAGAGGGTCATTGGCAGTGATTCTTAATTTTTATATTCTGTTATAATAGTTTGTTTCAATTAAATATTGGAAGAGAATGACAACATCTTCTTCCCTGTCTCCTACAATATCTTTCAATGTCGTGGACAACTTATTGGCGGTTACTCGTATAGGTTTTAGCATGCCACTATCTCTAAGGAGACTTTTACGATTTATAAAACATTTTACGATTTGGTATTCTCCAGTTAGGAAATTTTTCACAATATCTTCGAACCGCAGCAGCACCGTTTCTATGTAACTCCGCATAAGTTAAAAGAATATCTGTTTGTTCTGCAAAAGTGAATAAATTTATATGGTGTCCCACATGATAATCATAAATTGAACTATGTCATAGTATTCATTCACACCAAAACATACAGAACTAGACAAACAGATGAGCAACTACTATCATTGTTTATCGTTCATTTGTTTATTAGGTGATTAAAACATGTTATTTAGTATTAAACAAATTGTACTTCATACAGTCAGTCTTAATGTAGTAAATAAATAATAAATCTTTAACTTTTGATATCTGTTTAAATAAATGAGTTTGAGATATATGTTCATATGAACTTTTTTGTTTATTTATTGTTAGTGAACACATATCTAAAATAGTGTCGTGCAATTACGAAACACACTGTATAAACTATTCCTTATATATAAATTATAAACACAATTCCTTACTATAATTTTTTAAAAAATCCAATTAAAAATAATAATTACCTCCCTTGAGAATAATCATAACTCCTAAATGGTAATTTTTCATTGAATAGTGCAAAAATTCAAACATATGAACCTTGTAATGTGTTAGCGGATGGTCGACAGTTTTAAAGTTATAGTCGGTAACTTCAAAGGTTGCTATTTTGTCTGACCTCTCATTATAGTCTAAAAGTAAGATCTGAAAACAGAAATAATTTTAAATCTTAAATTACATTCTGTATCACATATTAACAATTAAAAATGTAAAATAGGTTTCAAAAGCATTACTGACAAGTTTATTTCATTGAAATCTACATTCCAGAAGTAACCTCAAATATTATGATAAACATAAGTTGTCTTCTATTCTTTTTTATATCTCAATGTTATTCTTACAATATTAGACATTACATAAACTAGGAACTTTATTTTAAATTTTTATATTTGATTACCCTCCAACCCACCATTTCTGACATATGGGAGGGTTGCTCTAGAAGTACAACCAAACCTATTCTATCCAGAGTGGGAGGGTCGAGTTTCATTCTGTGGATCTGCCATAAAATAAAAGACGAACTCCTCCCAGACCAGATTCTAACCGATGTTGCTAGATATGACCCTGGTATTAGGGGCGGGGTGCCCGAATAGGCTAAAGCGTGTGCACAGCACCGCTAGTTGCCTGGCAACCGGATAACAGAGATTTGAGATGATATAAAAAGTACGAGTTCGCGTCCCGGTGCCGGAGGGGATTTTAAATTCCCCGCCCTCACCCCCCGGCCCGGGAAAATCCCGTATAGCCTAAAAGGCGAGGTAGGGAAGAACAAAAAAAAAAAAAAAAAATGACCCTGGTATTACAACTAGGGATGGATCGTTCCAGGCAGAACGGTTCGCGGAATGAATTTCACCACCAGAACGGTTCAGAACGGAACGAGACACTAGGAAACTTTGTTCCGTTGGAACATAATCTAGTGCAGAATATAAACGTCTTTAGGTTTTGATGGGTAAATGTTTGGCAGAAAATGGTCATCCAAAAGTTGAGGAATCTCTTTATATGTGGTTTTTGTAGCAGAGATATTGAAAGTGTCCAATTTCCAGGGATATATTAGCTGAAATTATCAAGACTGTCCTGTACAAGTAAAAATTAATAATAAGCACATTGTATTTATTCATATTTTCAAATTCATAAACAAAAACAATTAAAAAATAAAATTAATGATCCTCTATATATCAAACTTTAGATCTCTCCATAAACTTTAGGTCTCATGTGTCCCAACTTTACGATGAGTTAAAGTGGCTCTTCCCTTCTTTCCGCAGACAATATTTCCTCGGATCTTTCCTATTCCAAACAATCAACACCAGACACCCTTCCTACATCTACATTCTCCTACATTTCAAACCCGTTGTCCACTCCCAGAAAACAAGATTCCGTGTTTCTGACCTTTATACCCTTCCCATAGAACTAAGACATTTGAATATTCCTTTATTGCCCGATCCACTGCCTTCTGGAATTCCTTGCCATCTGATATCCGCCATGCCTCTTCCTTGTCCTCATTTAAATATCATCTCTACCAACCAATTCCTTCTCACATCCCAAAATGACATTATACAATGAAATAAATATTGCGAAACAGATTTTGACTGAGGTGAATGGTTGTTAAAATTGATTGAGTTTTAATTTTAAAAATCAACCCATGCTTATTTTGTTTTATTTTTTCATTTAAATAATATTTTTATTTTTTTCAAAATGGCGTTATTTTTACTTGTTTTAATATACTTTTACTGAGATACTGTATATTTTCTTTAATATTGATTAATGCAATTTATGGCCAGATGTAGTTTTTATTTTTTTGTTCATAACTGTTATTCATAAGGGACCTCGTCCAAGAAAAGAAAAAAAAAAAAAAAAAATCTAAAAATTGTCTTTGATTATGACAGAATAAGCCTGATTCCTTATGGGATAACTTGTTTTTTTTTTTCTTTTAAAATAGATAAGGCTTAAATGATCAAGGATGGTCTCAGTTGTACTGAAATACATTTTTACTAGTATATCAGCCTTTCCATTGCCTGGTACTCTTTCATGACCGAGTACCCTATCGACTTGTGGAATCATGGAAAATTTATCTTTTAAATACTAAAAAATGATTATTCCTCGTTCATTCAATCCATAGTTGTGCTTTTTTTATACAAGAATCCATCGCTGGCAATAAACTTGATGATGTTTACTCTTACGATAAAACTACTAAATTAAAAGTAAACCATATAGTGATACTTACATTGCCGTTCCAAACTTGTACAACATTAGAAATCACCCATTCCTTCCTTTTTACTACAATCTTCTTATCATTGGATACATTTAAATTGCGTACAATGGAAGGGGAGCTCATGTTAGTCACTGAAACTTCCTGTGATTCAAAGTGCCTAGAGATATCAAAAATATTTTAATAATAATTGAGTCTGATAATAATTTAAAATATTTATTTTTATATAAGGATAAAAAACACCCTTGCGTTGAGACTAAAGTGGAATCTTGCTAATCCGAAATAATTAAACAAAGACAGTAAATATAAAACCTCAAATTTTGAGAGAGGGTTAACTTCTTCTTTTTTTTTTTTTTTTGATGAATTACAAATGTTCATTATTGAAAATAATAAACCAAAATCAACTTATTTATGAAGAAAAAATCATTTTTAAAAAATAACTTACTTAAGAGTTAAAAATTTGTATAACTTAGGTAATATTCTCGTCTGCCCCGTATGGAGATCAAAAAATATATAATGGTGCAAAAGCTGCATTACTACTTCATCATGTTCCACATTTTCCATAATTAAATTATCTAGAAAATTACATTTTTAGTAAGAACCTACTTAACTTAGAAAGAACCATCAATATGATTTATCTATAATACCAAATTTATAAAGTAAATATATTAATAATAATCGTGAAATTAGAAATAATATAATAAAAGGATCAGTAGAAAAAGACCCTTTTCAGTCTCGATAAATAATTACTTTATAGCAAATTTATCCAAATTTTCGCCTCTTCATGGATAATCTGATTTTACATATAATTTAAATTTTCATTCGCTTATATCAGTGCACCTAGTCAAAGAACACAACTGAATATCAGTGTGCAAGTGGATGCACTGCTAGCGAATGAAGCGAATGAAAATCTATATAAATCTATTACATGTAAAATCAGATTATCCATGAAGAGGCAAAAATTTGGATAAATTTGCAATAAAGTAATTATTTATCGAGACTGAAAAGGCCTTTTTCTACTGATACATATCATAGTCTCTTTCCCAAGATCATCTTTTATAATAAAAGAATATATATATATATATATATATATATATATATATATATATATATATATATATATATATATATATATATATATATATATATATCTTTACAACTTTTCTTTAATTGATCTTTGAGTATTAAATTTAAACATAACTATTTAATTGGGAATAAGGTCACTTATTAATTATTTAATAAACTACTGAATGTTCAGTTTCTCTATCTTTATTGACGTTTCGATCCCGGTATTTTTCTTTTTATAAGTTAACGATGGGATCCTCTTCAAAGTTTTAAAATTAGAGCTTCGATACTTCAGGCCAGGGACACACCGACAGTCCACCGTCCACTAGCAGATATATTAAGATACTAATGACAGGAAATGAACATTCAGTAGTTTATTAAATAATTAATAAATGACCTTATTCCCAATTAAATAGTTATATTTAAATATATATATAATTTTGATAATAAATAAAACTAAATAAATACCACTTTCTTCTTTCTTGATATGACACCTCATATATATGTCTTCTATTGAGTTACATTGATAAAGAAGGAGCTTTTCCCGAGTAATGTAATTTACAGCTTCTAAAACTCCCTCATTCTTAGTAGCAATAAAAATCCAATTGCCTGAAAAGAACAGGTTATCAGGATGTCATTATTATATCAACTGAAGTTATAGGGAAAAAATACCACTTGAGCTTTTTAATTGATAATTCATATATTCAGAAATATAAGCTCATAAATTTTCAGCCTTCGAAAGAAGGAAAGGTGAAAGAAAAAACTCAAATGGTTTTTCAATATATTCTCCTATATATATATTCTTCTAAGTTCTACACATTTAATACAATGCTTAGGCAACATTTCTATATCATGGAATAAATAATTTTCTACTTTGCTAGAAAAATGTTCTACAACTGCTGCTTGGAGCTCTTCATCAGTGTTAAATCTCCTGAAGCTAAGGTCAGAGGGGGGAGGGCAAATGGGCAGGACAAAGGGAGATCTAGAGAGGGAGATGGGTGGGGGAATCTCTCCCGCTCTTTGTGGAACGATCAAGCAATAGTGCCCTCCCCACTGAAAGTGAGTTCCTAGATCTCCTTAATCCTGTTAGGCACCCAAGCTAGGTTCGAGAGCTCGAGCTGTGGCTGAATGGCAGAGGGGTGATGTCTCTTATTGACCCCCTTGGAACACCAGGAGACACCCCATTATAAGTAGCTCAGCTGTAGGGAGAAGGGGTAGTACCAGGAGTCTATTTGAACACATACTCGTGGGAACAAAATTTCAGAAGACTATAAAAATAAAACATCAATTAATTCACTCGTATTTGAAGAAGACTTATCTTCATATATTAGAAGGATGAAGGATGAAAATTTAATGAAGGTAGCTAGTGCTATGACACACACCAATGGACAGTATGGACATGGAAGTAACAGACATGACTAACACAGATACTGTAAGAGGTAGCCCCTCACAATCTAGTCTGGACCAGATGGTAGGTTGGGACCACGCATCCAAGGATCCAAGGCCTGCCACGTCGAGGTCAAGCAAGAACATGAAGAGGCATAACAGGAGAAAGGCGAAACCCCAACAACTGTTAAACACACTTGAAGTGATGAGGCCAGGTTTAGAGCACTTAGCTGAGGATGCAAGGGCCACAAAAGGCCTGGCTGACGAGGCAGAGTTGCTTGAAAGGGAATCCTCTGAACACGGGCAGATAGACAGGACAATAGAGCTTTCACAAGGGCGGGCAGTTGAGGATGCAAGGGCCCCACCAGGCCTGGCAAACGAAGTTGCCTTGCCGGAGGAGAAAGCTTCAAAACCACAGACAGCCGGAGAGATGGTACCTCCCTAATGGCCAGCAAGTAAGACTCCGAGGCCTCAAAGTGGAGACCAAGGTCATCCTTGGGAACCTTAGCACCAGTTGCCAAGAAACTAAGTCAGGCTGAAAGACCAAAAAATTATGTCACGGTCACAAGAGGTCAGCCGGTTGCGGTAGTTCCTAGCAACTAGCCACAAACCCAACTAAGCTACGACTAGTGTGAAATATAAAGGAAGCCATTGCCGGCAAGATAGATGAATTACAAATAGGACAAGACATTCATCCTGAAGTTTGACAGAGCAATCTTCATACTGTAAATAATGTGTCTAAATAAAACTTAATTAGCTTTATGAAAGAAACATTGTATACATTATTAAACATTTATGTTAGTCATAGGATTAATGATGAAATCAAGATCAAGAACTATACAGAGCTTTAACATGAAATTACCAATATCTAACTGTCTTTCAAAGAATTAAAAAATTATATTTCATTCAAATAAAAAAGATTACCTGAAAACTTTATTGATGAGACACAATTTCTAGTTTTTTTCAAGAATGTGCTGACAGTAGGTGTCCAGTAATTTATTCTGTTCCATTTCCTCCAACATGTATAAACTGCTTTCCAACTTATTTCCTCGTCTAGCCAATATTTCGGATATAGATTTTGTAAAATATCAATAATGAAATCTTGTTTCATTTCATGCATACATACTGAGCTCCATTTCTAAAAATAATTCAATCATATTCTGCATCCAACGATTATAAATTTATACAATACTCTTATTCTCCTATGTTTTACCTTTGAGGTAAATTTATTAGAAGTTTCAATCAATTCTTTCCATCTTTTACTGGTTTTAATGAGGTTTCCTAAAGACGTACCATCACAATAAATCATTATTTTTTCCTTTACCTCAGAAGGAAGATTGTCCAAATGACATGACATGATGAACTAAACTAAATACAACAGACAACAATGATTTATCTACTAATTATTATATCTCCACAGCAAAAATATATCCTTCTCTTTCAGAAATATCAGTGAAAATAGAATGATAAATAAAAATCACCTACAACGCCCAGAAAACATTCAACAACATTTAGTTAACCTTCTCCTATTCTCACCGTTATCAACCCCAGTTAAGTAGAAAGGAAAATTATTTAATTTTCCTCGTTACTCGCAAGCGATACTAAAACGAACCAAGAATAACATACGAAATTCCATCAATGATTGAATTATTTAATAGAAAAAAAGAATTGAAAACTCAAAATCAGTCAAATTCAAAAATACACCAAAAGCGCGCGCGTACATATTACTGGAAATCAAGGTACTACTGACCTTGATATTACTGACCTTGCAAGAAATGAACTTTATCATTTATTATGAGAAGGAGTTAGTTGAGGGTGCGGTCAAATAAATAAAAAAATAAAATATATTAATTTTTGCCGAGGTTTCAACCCACTTTGCAGGTCGTCTTCAGGGCTACAAAAGATAAAAAACATGTTGAAAATAAAAAATAAATATAAGTATATATAAAATAAGAAGAAGTTGTCAGATATAGAAATAAAAGATGGTATCAGAGATATAGTGGGTGACAATGTAGTTAAATATTAAGAATTATATATGTAGAAGATACAAATAAATGGAAAATAAGTAGGAATAAAAATAAAAATAAAGGAGAATATAGCATGTACTTAAGTTAAAAAACTTAACTTAACTTTTAACTTACATTCTATATTCTCCTTTATTTTTATTTTTATTCCTACTTATTTTCCATTTATTTGTATCTTCTACATATATAATTCTTAATATATAACTACATTGTCACCCACTATATCTCTGATACCATCTTTTATTTCTATATCTGACAACTTCTTCTTATTTTATATATACTTATATTTATTTTTTATTTTCAACATGTTTTGTATCTTTTGTAGCCCTGAAGACGACCTGCAAAGTGGGTCGAAACGTCGGCAAAAATTAAAATAATTAATATATTTTAATTTTTTATTTATTTGACCGCACTAACTCCTCATATTATATCAACGGTCAACCATCTCTACATCATTATATCATTTATTATTAATACAAAAGTATGACCTTTATTGTAGTTGTTAGTTTTATTATTTTAACAAGTTATTTAGTTTTAATAATAATCCATTTATGTAATGCTTACAGTAATTATTGAATTTCTACTTCATATTTCTCTTTAATTATACAAAATATTTCTATTTTTAATGCTTAAGCTAAAAATAAATTAAACGGAATGTAACTAATGCAAAGTTGGTTATTACTTGATATAGAAAAAATTTAATTTAATTGGTTTTCATTATTCATGCATTTCCAATATAGACTAATTCTTATTCAGATAAGTATATAACATAGAAAAGAAACTTCGGTAATAATTCGTCAGATAATCCTAGTTCTTTATTATTATTTCTAATGCGTATAAAATAATAAGAACTCTTCTTCTCCCCCCTCCCCCGTCTTGGGCTGACGCGTGAAAAACGATTATTGATGATTTCAATTTAATCTATTCACTTTGCTATCTCAGTTCCTCTATTAAATGAGATTGAAATAAGCTTTTAGCTTAAGGTCCATACTAGATTGTAACCGCGTATATTGCTTTAATATGGTTGTGTTTAAAAAACAAGTGGGTCCTCCCAGATCACAAGCTTAAGAGTTCATACTCTAAAGAGTATAGGGGCTTTCAGACCGTTTGATTTCCAAAGAACCTTGAGAAGGACATTGACTTCATTTGCTGTAGCAGTGGCATCCCCATATATTGTGGTACATATCATCATGAACTGCACCACCTCTAAGCCATTGTGGCCAGATAGCTGAAGGAAAGCCATCTCTCTGTCCACATAGAGAATGAAATTCTTCTGCCAGGCGCTGGAAGAAATTCCCTATCTCGACTTACTAAGACTTAATTTAAGAGGGCTCACTAGTTCTTTTTTTTTATGGATTTTTTTTTTTTTTTTTTTTTAGCATGCTAGGGGATAACTAAAAAATAAATAATAAATTCTAACTCCAAATCATCTACATAATTACTGGGAGGGGCTACAGTTGACTGAAATCTTAGTTCCAATCCTAAAATCAACACTACACTTAGTTAAAGTGGCTCTTCCCTTCCATTCGAAGAAAATATTTCCTAGGTACAATATTTACTTACAATAAGTATGTAAATATTTAATACAATATAATTGTACTTTATAATACAAGGTACAATATTTCCTCTATCAAATCATCAACAATCATCGTCCTTCTTACGCCTACAACCTTCTCCAATTTAAATCCTCAGTCCACTCCCTTTTCACAAGATCTCAACCTTCCGGTTGTTACATTCCTTCTCACAGATTCGCCTTGTTCCAAAACTCCTTTATTGCTCGCTCTGTTAGTTTTTGGAATTCTCTTCCTATCAAAATTCGAAATTCTTCTTCCCTATCTACATTCAAAACCCTCCTATTCCAATTCCTTTCCCAAAAACAGTCAGATACCCGCTAACATTTTATGTAAAATTACATATTATTCATAATAATGTATTTACATATAGCTCATCACTTAAATACTTACTATCAGATTCGACTTTCTTTTTTCTTTTTTTTTTCTCAACAGAAACAGAGTTTACTGCTAAGAAGAATGTAATGTATTTTTTATTTTTTCTAAAAGTGTATATTTATATTTTACCATTGTACATAATTTTAAGTGTCTTAGCATGGTTTCAAGTTTTGTATATAGATTTTTATTTTGTATATAATATGTATAACTAATATTTTCTTTACTGATTTATTTTTACTTTTTATGTTCGTTTTTATTTGGCCAGATATAATATTTTAATTTTGTACTTTTTTGTTATTCTAAAGGGACTTCGTCCCAGAATAAAATTATTTTCTATTCTATTCTAAAATAAATCCTGTCTTGTCGAGCCATTTAGTCGACCAACAGTCATCCAATGCATACTTACCTTAATTATATATTTCTACTTACTTTAAGTGAAAATTTGTAATTTCATTAATTGAAAATGTGATATATTAATTCAAAATGGTTACCATATAATATTGTATTTAAAAAAAAGAAACTTCTGCGAAACCGGGTGTAATTTAAAGTATTGTATTAGACCTCAATTTTCCACTTTTGAATACCTTCAAACAATTGACCAAATTATAGAAAAAAGTAAGGTGTACAACATTCCGATCTACACAGCCTTTATTGATTTCAGGAAAGCATTTTACTCTGTATTCCACCACCAGTTATGGTAAATTTTGGAAGAACAGAGTATTAATAGTATCTATCTTAATATTTTAAAAAACATGAACAGTAGATTCTATATAGCCATGGAAGGAAATAATAAAATGCTAAAAATTGAAACAGATGTTAAACAGGACTGCTCAGTATCTTCTACTCTATTCAACTGCATTCTAAATTATGTGTTTAAGAAGCTGAACTGGGATGAGAATAGTATCTCAATAAATGGGTTCAAGCTGTCAAATCTGAGATTCACAGACAACATTGTTAATTTCACCAACTCAGTATCGGAAATTAATGAAATGTCAATGAACTTCTAATACAATGTGAATTGGTGAATTACATATCAGTGCAAAAAAAACTAAGTTAATGACCAATTCCCAAAAAGGAGGTGAAAGTGAGGTATAAAGAAATCGGCTCTGTGGAGCTGTATATTTACCTAGGACATACCATATCAATAAAAAATAGACCAGAAGAAATAAATAAAAGGATTAACTTGGGGTGGAAAAAATACTGGAGCCTAACATATTCAAAAATCAAATATCTCCAGCTATCATGGCTAAAGTATTAGAAGTGTGTTTATCCTTTAATTTTGTATGGAATTCAAACATTGTCTACAACTTTTAAAAACTATGACATGCTCAATGAGACACAACTTCAATTTTCCCGAAGCATGTTAGGAATTAAGAGAAAATATCGGATGAGCAACAGAAAAGTTCCAAGACAGGTAGAGCTCGCCGAAGAAAGCATTTTTATTAAAACGGAGATGGGTTGGTCATGTAGTCAGATTCGACTCAAGAAGGTGGTCAAAAATTACTACAGAATGGATTTCAAGGAATTACAAGAGAAGATGAAGAAGACGTTTTACAAGATGGAGAGACGAAATAGTGCAGAGTGGGTGACGGCTGTTCAACAGTGGCAAGAAATAGAGATAGTTGGAGTAAAATAATGAACACCAATTAAATTCAAAACTTGTATTAATCTTTATTTTGAAAGCTAACAATGTTTTATTGAGTTTGAATAATTCTGAAGAAGAAATTTGTAAATTATTTTATTTTGTGTTAAAACCAGACTCTTACCTCCTTAAATGGAGAGGTTTTATGTTCTATTAAGGATGTACATTAAAGATTATATTATTATTACTCATGTAGAAAAATAGGTATTTTCAACTTAATAGATAGGTGATTTTATTTTGGATATCAGCAGCATTGTTGTGGGTATACAAAACAGCAGGCCTATGAGTCTATTAAGACTAATTGGTAAGAACATCTGAGTTTGTCTATTATTCAAAATTTCGCAGAATAGGAATTCTATCTGAAGGACTTACAGCTCTGACGATGGCATTGAACCAGAAGATTCCTTTGCCTGTCTGTTCTTCAATATTGATCAGAAAGCTATCAGAAAATCAATAAGCAATGGCCCATACCAGTGGAATGATTATTAATAAATTAAATCATATTTGTTTTATAATAAACAATTTTCAAGATCTTTTGTCTTCAGCTGCCAACTCCACTTATTACATAGACAACAATACAAATAATACGATGAAACTTAAATTTTTAACAATCTCAAGTCCCAGAAAGAATTATATAAAACTAAAATACATTGTAAAGAATCGCCAAAGTTACAAAAATCTCTCTCCTTTATCATTGTGTTTATCAATGCGCTTTTGTTCAAAGTACTTACTTAATTCAGGAATGAGGTAAAACATTAATAGAAAAAATACATAAAACATAATTGCTACTTCCACAAAAACATTGATGATAAATTCGCCTTTTGTTTGTAATATCTAGTTACAATGGTTCAACTCATCTACAAAATATCTTCATGTAATTCCAGGAGGTATTAACAGGAAATTGGAAGGTGCTTCATTAATTTCTTACTATTGTGTAATCTCTGCTGCCAGATTTCAGACTAATACCTCCATTTTGTCTAATCACAGAACTAGTAGTTTCTGATAAGAGAACTGCAACTTTCAAATAAATCTTAATCATTCAAGTGTTCCACTTTAATCTCTAATTCCAATTATCAATCTACGATTTTAATTATCAAATCACAAAATGTGGGTTTAAAAAAAAAAAAGATTAATTTGGCCATAGCTTTTTATTGTATAAAAAAATAACTTATAATAAAGAGACTTTTTGACGAAGACATAACAAACTAGAGACCCTAAACAGGGAATACATAAAGACTAGATAACACTTGGAAAAGAAATATAGCATTTTAGCACAGTGTATAAAAATTTAGAACATGTTAACGATGGTAACTAAACATACGTCAAATGTATTTAAATACAAGCAACACAGTTTAGAGGGAAGAACAGAAATTTATATCAAATTTATGCTAATTAAAAAAAAAATTATTCAGTCAATAATTATTATTAAATAATCGAGAAAGACAATGAAAGGGCACATAATTTGAAACATTAATGAGTTGAAAAATCGCAATTAAAGCTAAATGGAAAACATGGTTTGTTTTTTAAATATTGACAAAACAATCACATACAGAGAGCAATAAACCATTATGGTTCAGTGTGAGCGTTCAGCAGTCATTTATGTCAACATTTTTGCTCCAAATATATTCGTCAAGGTGCATGTTAATGTTACATTATATAAGTCAAGCCCTAATATAGGGCTCAATAGGTTGTACAGGCTAAATGTCAAGCTAAACATAATTTGAACTTATCAGTAAGTGGATTACAAGCACTTTTTAAAAAAATAATAGATAATTTCAATCATAAAAAATACAATAAACATGAAATGAACTTACACATCTTCATAAATAAAAAATTAAATAAATACATATGTTTAGGATATTATATACACTTTTTTTTTTTTACCCGTTAATATCATGGCATCAACTCACTTTCACGGGAAAAAAGAAAAAAAAAAATCACATTATCACTTTGAAATATTTTCCCTGCTCAGTATTACTCAACAAACTGTATATTAACGGGTCATGTACTGTTCGAAAAAGAACATTTCTATATTCATCTGACTTTCATGTGTTCATCGGTGGGAGTTTTTGGAACCTGTCGGTAGTCAGAGTTGAGGAGGCGTTGAAGAAGGATAATATTCATTCCCATCACAATAGTCAGAGCTACAAACAAAGTAAAGTTCATTAAATATATAAAAAGGAAAAATAAATACATTTTTTTTTTTTTTTTTATAAATTAAGGTCATATTTTCATTTATTTACTGATTAAACACTGGCCGAAGAATAAATTAATAATAAAATAATAACAATGAAAAACCAAAATGTAATATAACTCAATATATTTTTTTTAAACTTTGAAAAATCTCATGATGTCCATTGGGAGCTAAAATAAGTAAAATAAAAATAAATCTGCTATGACGAATTTCATTTTCACAATAAAACCACATATTTATCATTGGTCTTAATTTAATAAAATTTGATTTATTTTAATAGTTTCTTTGAATCTTGCCATTTTAGTTAAGATTTTTAAAATTTGCAAATTGCTATCTTAAAATCATGGTTACGATCTTATTATATTTTAATTTAATTGGGTTTATTTATATTTAATCAAACACTAAATTAAATTTAGTCATTATGGTTCAAATATATAAGAAACTAGTATTAAAAATTAAGGAATAGTCAATTTATTTGAACTCACTAGAACCAGCTACGTAGATATCAAAACTGCTCATATCCATGCGGTGGTGAACGAGCCACCTCGTCATCCAACCCAAAGTAAGTATCCTGAATACAACAAATGTACCTGAAAAAAGAAATCATAATGAAATGAAATTTTAAAAAATTAGCAAATATTTTATGTAAGTATATTTCTCTAAATACATAGTTTAAATAAGAAGGTTGAGAAATAACTAAAACTATTTATGTTAAATTTCCATTTAGCTTAATTTGGTGCTCGAACCACGGTTAGTAAGAGAAAATATTTAAAAAATTTTAAATGGAATATATAAATTTTTTTTAGTTTGTATAAGTTTTTTCATATTTCATTTCATATTTTAATATTTCATTTGTAATATTATGTATTTTAATATTACTTAAAATTCATGTACCATCAATCACTATAGTTTATTATTACCCGTTATCAGTCGTATAATATTATAACTTTGATTGTATTTAAAAAATTTTCAGCCCTGATGATGACCCACATGTTTGGGTTGAAACATCGGCACTAATAAAAACTTTATAATGACTGTGTCCTGAATATTTATCACCCATAAAATTTTTAAAAAAATTAACTATCAAGAAATTTTCATTTTTTTCACATTACAATTAATCTAATTACATTAAATTTTATACAAGTATATATTAAAACTACACTATTTATTCCTTTTCAAATGTTGTGAGAGCAGTTGTTAGTTGTAGAACAATTAATTCTTTACAAAGAAGATTGTAAGTTTGTTATGCTTTTTAGTGTTAAGGTTAATTTGTAAAAACAAGTGTATTTATATTTGCATTTATGTTAAATACAATGCTTCTGATAAGAATCGTAATTTTAATTGTAAATTATTAATAACAATATTTGATTTTTTTTTTTATTTATTGTTGTTCTTTTAATCTAAATCATTTAAAATTTTAAGATTTGGAACCAGATCACAGACAAATGAAAAACATAAGATGAGAGATTAATGTACTGGTAATTTAAATAATAAATAATGAAGTATAATTTTTTAATATTACAAATAAATAAATGCATAAAAGCAAAATAAATTAAATTGATTTTGATAAGTGTAAAAAATGAAAATTTGTTGATAAAAATTTTTATAAAACATTTATACTAAAAAAATGGGTGCAACTTTTAAAACATTTACAGAATGTTTTAAACAAATAAAAATTTTGAAAAGATTATTATTATTTTGGAATTCTCAAAATATTAAACCAAATTTTTAAAGATCTAAAAATATAACACAAAAGAATAAAAACATACCAAGATTAAAAGAATTGTTGATGCGGTAGACTGTAGAAGACTTATTCCACTGATTTAAAAGCAGCAGTTGTCGAGAGTGGAGGAAGACACTATTAACTTCAACTAGCAGAGCCATCAGCGTGTAACCGATGTACTTACGCTGGCTCATAGCAGTCATAAATGAAAGAATCACCTGAATTAAACCATCCATGGCACCATTAACATATGAATTATCAAATGAAATGTAAGTTTTATAATTCTGCAATTGTTACAATTATTAGCAATATTTTCAATTAATCAAAATTTTTTCATTTATCAACTCTCCCAATTCATGAAAAGACAACATATAACTGTCCAGATTAGAGGAATGGACTTTCGAAATTTAATCCGCACACTTAAAGCATGGTAAGCGTGGCAACAGTATGTCTTAAAAGGAATTTAAACATTTTTCTTACATCTATAACAAATCATTGAATTATCTGTCAAAAGAGTACTGATAAATATCAAGCAGATATACAGTTTTCAAAATATTTTTTAATGATGTAGAGATGGTTGGCCGTGATATAATATGAGAAGGAGTTGGACAGGGGGTGCGGACAAATAAAGACTAAATTTAAAAAAAATAGTATTTTTAATTGTTTCGCCGACATTTCGACCCACCTTACAGGTCTTCATCAGGGCTACAAAAGGTACACAATATAAAAGGCATATAGTGAAAATAAAATAAAATGAATTATAAGTAGATATTAAATAAGAAACAGTTGTCTGATAAAGAAATAATAAGATGACACAGAGATATAGTGGGTGATAGTGTAGTTAAAATATCAAATATTATATATATAAAAGATACAAACAAAAATAGAAAATAAGTATAAATAAAAATAGAAAACAGAGGAGAATATAGCATGTAAGTTAAAAGTAAACAAACTGATAAAAGATAAGAAATGAATGTATAACAAACTGGTAAAGATTATATTTGATAACTGTAGGTTAACAAATGTAATCTTTACCAGTTTGTTATACATTCATTTCTTATCTTTTATCACAATTCGTTTACTTTTATCTTACACGCTATATTCTCCTCTGTTTTCTATTTTTATTCATACTTATTTTCTATTTTTGTTTTTATCTTCTATATAATGTATATTACTTAATATTTTAACTAAACTGCCATCCCCTATATCTCTGATTTCATCTTATTATTTCTTAATCAGACAACTGTTTCTTATTTAATATCTACTTATAATTCATTAATTTTATTTTCACCAAGTACCTTTTATATTTTTTATCTTTTGTAGCCTTGATGAAGACGTGCAAGGTGGGTCGAAACGTCAGCGTAGCAACTAAAAATTTATTTGACCGCAACCCCCGACCAACTCCTCAAGTAATTTTTTATTTAACCACTTAAGAGCAAAAACTTTTTTTTTTTCTTATCAAGCCTTATTACCCATCTATATCATAAGGGAAACTATTTGAGAAGGAGCTAGTTGGGAATGCGGTCCAATTAAATATTATATACTACAATAGTATTTTATTAGGGAAACTATAATTCAAAATTTCAATTTCAATACATAGTCACTTTTAATTTATAGTGATCACTTCCTCAATGAGTGGAGTGGTATCTTTCATTCATGTTTATTTTTAAATTGCTATTTGTTACATTTTTTACTACTATTTACCAAGCACTTTTTATTACTAGATACTGTCTTAGTAATTTAATTTGGTAAAATTTATTTAATTAACAGTAGAAACAATGAACATTTAGTTTGAGAATTTATTCTTTATCTTATATATGAAGAATCCCATAATTCTTCCAAATAAAATCATCATTAAGGATGTGGAAAATAAAAAGTTGTATGTTGTCCAAATTAAGGATAATTGGTAATGTTATAAGAATCTCTGTGCCTAGCATTATGTTAATTATATTATAATTATCAGTGCCTAAAGAATAACAATTAACTTTACAATAAGCAATAAAAAAATCTAAACAAAAACTGACTCACCATAAAGTGATGAAGAAGAAGCTCATAAGTTTTAGATTTTGGATCATTCATTGCCATATCAATTAAGTCATAAATAAAGTAGCCTACGAAAATAAAAATGAAATCAATTTTGTTAATAAATAAATAAATATTTAATCGCTATCACTTTGTGTTATCAGTTTAAGACAGAGATCTCTAAACTAGGACCCACAACCTTCTCCCATTGGGCCTGTGAAAGTTCATTTGATTATAGGGTAAACTTTTATAAAATATGAAATCTAATAGATCATTCTAACACAGGCTTATTACATTTATTGTATGAATTGTTTTTCTTAGAAAGCTCATTTCACAACTGAAGCGTGATTCATATCACAAGATTTCTTTTTTTTATCACAAGACAATGTGTGGGGGACAAAAAGATTGGAGACTCCTGGTTTAAGATACAATAATTTTCTCAAAAGCAAAATTTCTAGTAATAATACTGTAAAGTTAATCATCTCGCCAAATAAATAAAACTTATCCCAATTTTTTTTTAAAATATTTTATTTACAATACTTAATTAAAAATTCTTTGAAGTGAATAAAACAAAACATATTGATTTACAAATCAAATTAGTCGATAATTATAGACCATAAAATGAAATCATTTTTATCAGTACGGAAAATTAACAATATAATTGAACATAGCCTAGTGATTGTGAGATAATTCTCCTTTTGAAGAGTGAGTTGATAGCACTCCCTTCACTAAAAATAATGACATATTTATAAGGAGTTTAAAAGTTACATGACATGAAGACTTATCAAATATTTATATTAACTCTTAAAACATTAAATAATAGTGAATTTGATTGCAGAATAGAATTTGGTTGTATACAAGGTCTAAAGTACTTTAAACTTTGTTTAAACACTGTGATTAATATGATAATTCCATAAGCAGCTTGTCACCTTAAAGAGCTACGATTCTATTACTAATTAATAAACATGAATTACACAGTATAATATACTTACATAATTCATGATTGAATTTGAATACTTACCTGGGATTAGTAGGCAATAATCAACACAACCATTGTTTTCAATATTCCAGAACTTGAGTATTAATCAAGTTTAATATAATAATGATGTACTGAATTATTTTTTTATATCCATATATATTTTACTTATTTAAAATTTGTTTGAATTATCAGAGATGAAGAACATTCTAAATCAATAGGCAATTGTAGATGAGGCAAGTTGCTCACACTGAGGCTGTGAAATCTTAGCATGTAGTAATACTTTTAGATAAAATAAATTTAACTGTTCAGCCACGAGTACCATTCTAGAATTAAAGTATTGCATAATTAAATTCTCAGTTGGCATCTTAGTATGAAAGGCTAATTTCCAAGGGCATACATAGCTCAAATACCAATGAAATGAATATTTAATGATCATCAGTTCATGTGTTGATCTTAGATAAATGTGGCATGATTCGATCGAACTGAACTATTATTTCTAGCATTAGTCATCCAATAGATGACTAAACTATAACATAATTGTTATTAATAAAATATTTTAAAATAAAACTTAATAATTTAATTTTGAATCAATAATTAGAAAAAAAAATGAGTGAAGAATTAATTAATTTAGAATTTAAGATATGTGATTTACAAATAGTCGAGCTGAACGATTCACTTAATTAGATAATAATAACTAAATCAAATAGAAATAAACATACCAATTGAAATTGAGATAAGAGTATAAGAGGCTGGGGTCCATTCTGAAATGAGATCTCTGCGCATATCAGGTGCTGACCAAAAGCTAAACCATAAAATAAAATATGAATTAAGTATAATTTAATATTTAATATCTACTAATATTAAAACACTTCCAAACTTGTCATACCATAAACAAGCTCCACAGCCAGTAATAAATGAATGTATAAGGGAATTCGCTGTATTTCGCCATTTCCATTGTTTCTTGGGGTTTTTCTGAAGCGAGGATGGAGTGAGAGCTTTTAAAATCCAATAGTTGTTCAAATAAAACAGACCAGAACTAATTACCACGGTTGGGTATCCGAAATTAGAGCTGAACACATCCATAACGAGAGTACTACGTTAAAATATAAATGTAAGGAATAGAATTAAAAACTTCTTTTAAAAAAGGTGGGTAATAGAGAGCGAGAGATAAATATCTACAAACTGATAAACACACCCTACCCTCACGATCTATACCCACACACTCATAGGAACACCCCAACCGAAACACCAAGCTGTAGACTATTGAAGTTTTCAAAATCAGTGTTGCAATTACCAAAACTCAGCAATTCATATGAATAAGCAATATATTACTTGATAACTCAAATTATAATTTATTCATTAAATAATATTAAATAGTTTATTAATCAATGCAAAATTAATATCATCGAAAAAGTTTTGGTTTAGATACAACACATTGTTTTTGACCAACACTGTTTAGACACTTGCTTATGTTCAATGGTGTCGTTGGTCCGTATTTTTCTGTTTGTATTTTAAAATGCGGCTTGTTTTGTAATCTAAGAAATAATCAAAACTATTGAAGAATTAGTGCAATTTATTATGAAAGTGTTTGTAATTATAACGCACTAATAGTAAGTATTTTATTTTCCCGTTAGATGTTATTTCACATTGTAGTTCCTTGTATACAAGTGAACTAAATAACAAACCTATATTTTTATTTTATTTCTGCTTGTGTTTAATGTTAGTTTTATTAATTTGTTTACTACTATGCTAATGAAAACAATAGTTTGACGCCTACTTGGTAATTGATTTCAATTCATGAACATTAAATTATACATTGCATTTGTTTTAAGCTATACACATTTTCTCCCGTAAACAATAAATTTACATGCAAGTATTTTTTAAACTCAACTTTATCTAAACATTGGTGCCTTTTTTCATAGAAAGTTATCTCTTAATTTATTTAGTTGGTCCAGAAAATATAATTTGTTATCATGGATCAGTTATAATGAAAACGTTAAATACCTTTTATTTTGTAGATATAGTTATAGTGCTTATTTACTCCTTGGGCTAATGGATATTTTTTTATAAACATTAACAACTGTTTATAAAGAGTTTTGTTGGACTGGTGGATACAATCGTATTCCAGATTTTATTTTGTATGGCAAATTTGAAAAATTATATTTGGTTCTATTGTACTCCATTTTCATGGGTGGCACAAGATCACATCTCAATCTCGAGATTGGCCGAGTGTGTCTGAAAGTAGATAGAAATAACTAAATCGTCTGGTAATGCCAGAGCTTTATCAGAATCTCGAAACAGAAATCAGAAATTCAACTGAAAAGGACTTGTTGAGAGTTTTTTTTTCTATTTGAGCTAGCAGAAGTTGAAAGCAGGAATGTAATTAAAGCCCCGATCTTGACTAAAAAGGACCAGTTGAAAGTTTACTACATTTGTGGATGGTCTCAGTGCTAGTTCACTAGTGCCATTTCTATGTGACTCGTAGGCGAACATCACATTGATCCCCTGCAATAACACTAATGTTTATATTAGTTTAGGTTACATATAATGGACTTTTATTTTACAACATGCTTATTTTTGCATTCGGAACGGTTGTATTTTTTATGATTGAAAGGGATCGGAAGGTCAAAGTAGGAGTGTTATTAAAGCTGTTTGAGGCCCTGATTTTAAAAGGAAAGAATCAGTTGGGGATTTGCTGAAGTTGTCAATGGTGATTTATATACAAAGGTAGGTTATACTGTGAATTTATGAATTCCATTTTCCATTTCAAATTATCTAATATTGAAATTAACATAGACGCTGACTGAAGACTAGGATGATCACTACCCTGCATACCGTTTTAGTATTTAAGCACAACAAATGTAGCCTGGACAGGTTAAAAAAATTTTGTGGGAGAGCAACAGAATGAATCTCGACCTTCTCATTCTAGTTAGTAGAATAGGTTATACCTCTAGAATAAACCCATAGGTAGGGGTATCAAGAAAAATATCAATAAATCAAGATCTAGACCCACTCATTAAAGTGAAGTCATATTTGTAAAGGAGTACTTAAATAAATCATTAAGTTATGCACTTTCTTTGTTATAGTTTCTTATACACTTTTAATTCTTTGATGTTAACATTTCTACTTACCTGAAATGAATAACATATACTCGAGTAATTTTAAATATATAGAATTGATAGCATTGGTGTATTACTTTTATTTAATCTTGTTAATATTATTTAATAATTTATGTTGTTACATTATTGAGTTGTATTTCGTTTATAAGTTTTCATTTGTTTTCCCAATTTAATCACTTTTGTTTTAATTGAATTTCTTATTTTTTAATTAATATATTTCTGTGTTGTGCCTAAATACTAAAATGGTATGCAGGGTAGTGATCATCCTAGTCTTCAGTCAGCATCTATGTTAATTTCAATATTTGATTATTGGCACGTAATATAATCTGTAGGTGATTGAGAAAATATGTCTCTTAAAATAGCACGACATTGGTATCTAGAGATTAGTCACTTCTCTACACTTTTCATGTACTACTTTCGGCATTCCATGTAGAGTATGATGAAGTGACCTCAGTTTACCTTTCAGACATGGCTTTTGTGAAACTAGACCAAGTTCTTTATCTATATCTCGTATTTTTCCAAACACAACTAATAATAATCTTGCAGTAGTAGCCCAACTCCCTTGCAATTACAAATAGCTCAGTGTATATTAAAAAAATAAATTAAGTTGACTAGGATTATTTAGCAACAATCAGATAGCAGTTTGTAACCTGTCTTGATAGTTATAATATCAACAGCTACTTTTCAATATTTTTATTGTATTTATTAAGTGTGGTATGTCCTGCCAACTTTTTAAAATAACTAACTTGATCTAATATTGTGCTCTAATCTACTGTGTAAGTGCATTAATAACTTAATTGAAACTATTTTTCTCATCATATATTTTAAACATTGTAATATAATAGGTTTTTTATAACATTGATTGAATTTGATTATTTTTGTTTGGCCTAGATACGAAAGTAAAACGATGGCACTGCCACCTTACTTAGTTCCCCACCCATGGGCCTCCGCTGCAATGATGGTCCAGGCGCAGCAGCAACAACAGGCGGCGGCAGCACAGCAGCTGGCCGCCCAGGCAGCTGCCCATGCTCACGCACACGCCCACCAGCTCGCAGCCCTGCAGCACCAGCAGATGGTGGCAGCCGCGGTAGCTCAGCAGCCTCAGCCGGTCTTACCTAAACCTCCTGAACCGATAACAGATGATAAATTGCAAGAAAAAGGTAAATATTAATCTGAAATACGCCTTTATAATAGTTATGTTGAAGTTATAAATATAAGTGGGAAATGAATTAGATTTGATAATTTGTATAACTTGGCCAACTAATGGATAGAAGCCATTTTCTGGATTCTCTCTGTGAACTTAATAGACTATTTTTTTAATTACTAACTGAGAAACAGTGTGTCATTTAATATATCCGCTCCCTATCTGGAACAGGTTTCATCAACCATCTCTCAACTAACCTTAAAATATTTTTTTAATCAGAAGCGCCTTGTAATGTTTCTAGTAATCAATGGAAGTTTTTTATTTTAATCCTATTAGCCTTGTCCAGGTATTGTACAAAGGCTAAGTTACCAGAAGGCCTCGACAGAGCGTTGCTCAATTTATGTGTAAGATGATTAAGTGGATGAAGGAAGATGAATAGAAGGATGACCTTAAGTGTCAGGCGGATAAGCACCGGAACCACTCTTGGTCTGTGGTGTAAGGGATCAGCCTTAACAATCCGCAAGGATGGTAACCACAACCAGAGAGCAGAGGGATCAATCTCCAGACTTGTGGGAGGATGAAATACTAATGGAGCGATCAATCTCCTGACTTAGTATGTAGGACTACAAGCGGATGGATCAGCGTCCAAACTTGCATGGATTAAGAGATGAGAATAAAAGGTTAATGGATAGTGTGAAATAGAAAAGCAGATAGCTGAGACCTAGAATCATATACTGATCATCTGTGTGATGGTCTACATCCTGAAGGAGTGGAGATCCTAAGACCTAACAATTCCAGATATGACCACGGTATTCATTCCGCCAAGACTAAACTGGCTATCAAGAACCGTTACAATTACAGTTATTTTTAAGATTTGATCAGTATATGTTATCACCATCGAACTTTATTAGTAAAAAGTATTTACAATATATATATACATATTTCAATTTACAATTTGAGCATTTTATCATATAACAATAAAAAATAAAAATGCATCTTTAAGGTACATTGCACGGGTGAGCTTTTATGGTGCTGCCAGGTAGAGGGTAGGTAAACTATCTGTCTCCTGTAGCAAGAGATGGGAATCCGTTGCCGCCACAGTCTCTTGATTATTAATAAGGAGCTTTGTTAAATTTATTGGTCAGTCATGTTTTATTCAGTATGTTTCTTCCTTTCCTTGTCTCTGTTACTCTCCAAACCCAATCAAGGACCTATTTTCGTTAATGCTGTTTTGAGATAAATAATTACATTCTGGTCCCTAAAGAGGAAATTCAGCCAGCATCTTGTCTCTGCCCGTTAATTAACTTAACACATTGTACATTTAACTATTTTAATTGTAAACAATCCTGTTTGGCGGCAACTGAAAATAGCCTTCAGCTTTATCAGGGAACTAGGTTATTTACACTCATGAATTTAATTTTCTTACTGGATATAGACTATTTGAGGGTGTTAACTGTTATTGGGAATTCGGGAACCTAATGCTTTTGTGACACCGAGTAACAAGAAACAATAAGAACATATATATATATATATATATATATATATATATATATCTGAAATATGGGACTTAATAAACACACTTTGAATGAATTGACTCACCTGGTTTGTTATTCTTCAATTGTGAGGCTTATAGGACAACTAAATAAAATGACTTTCACTCCTGTACAATAAAACAATTTATTTTAACAACTGTAATAAATGAATCTATTAAAGTGTTATAACTGTAGGCTTGATATTCTTAACCTTCAGTTTAGTAGGCCTCTCTTCTCAGATGACGTCGTACCGCCTTCGTGCCGCAGCCTCAGGTGCCTTCTTTTCTCTCCTGCGTCCTTCTCCAGCTGCTGCTACCTGCTCGGTCCTTTTCCAACCTTCTTCCTTCTTCTTGTTTATCGATATGAGACTTTTCAATGAATAATTTGTTCACTGTACAATTGAGTACAATTCATAGTGCAACCTCCTCATATTCCCATATATTCCTTCTTATTCCCTCACACAATGTCACATAAAGGAGTAAATACTGTGTGTTATCTACTACATAATGTTTTAATAAATACTGGAATTGCTTTAAGAAATTTAGTATAATGAGTATATTAATTCTCATAAATAACTTAATAACTTGAAATACAACTATTGTTAAAATAAAATAAACTTAATGCGTTTTATAATTTTGTTGCCAATTTAAAATTGTTTATTTTTTCAAATTTTAGTAAAAATACAACTACTTTAAGATACTTAAGGATAAAGTAATCTGTTATATCAAATAAATATTCTTAAGCATTATTCCTACAGTTATAGCCGCTACTGTCATGTTAACTGCTACATGTAGACATGTATTAGTGAACTTTTGCACCTTATCAACTATATTGGTGATAGTGCAGGAAAACATCTTCTTATATGATTGTTTTGATAATTTCTAAACTTGAAATTTATTCGATTCAACATTTGTATGGTATTCAATGCTTGGAAGAGGAATAGCAAACTGTATAATTCATTTTTTTTAAACAATGTTATTAATTTATTTAATTTTATATTTAGATTTATTTTTATTCATTTAATTTATTGTAATGTATTTCTTTTATTAACTGGATTGTTTCATTCATATGATTAATTGATAAATTTTGGCTTTCAGCTCAAAAATGGCAACAGCTTCAGACTAAACGTTTCTCCGAAAAAAGGAAATTTGGCTTTGTAGATGCACAGAAAGAAGATATGCCTCCAGAACATATTAGAAAAATCATCCGAGATCATGGAGATATGAGTAATAGAAAATATAGGCATGATAAAAGAGTTTATTTAGGGTAAATATACAATTTTATAAGTATTGAGGTTTATATTAATTCGAATTTTAATTTATTTATTGTACACCATAGTAATTGCCTCTATAGAGTATCTTTCAACTTCTGTTTTTAAACTTTGTTTTAAGGGCATTGAAGTACATGCCACACGCTGTGATGAAGCTTCTCGAAAACATGCCGATGCCCTGGGAACAGATCAGGGATGTTGAAGCTCTGTACCACATTACAGGAGCGATTACATTTGTCAATGAAATACCTTGGATTATAGAACCTGTCTATATAGCGCAATGGGGGTGAGTCTCTAATCATTAAATTGTTTAACAATATTGTAATATTATTTTATATTTGTGCTTTAGTTTTATTTATTACTTCTAGTATACAGTGTGCCATAATTGGTTTTACTATTTAATGTTATTTGTTTTAACTTTGCATCGAAATTTTTCAACTATATAACTAGAATAAATATCGGAGTAAACTACTGATAGTTTTTAAGTGTCGCTATAATCGCTAATTTTTGTTTTGTTTTTAATCTGAAATAGAACGATGTGGATCATGATGAGGAGAGAGAAAAGAGACAGGCGTCACTTTAAGAGAATGAGATTTCCACCATTTGACGACGAAGAGCCTCCTCTAGATTATGCTGACAATGTGTTGGATGTTGAGCCTCTAGAAGCCATACAGATAGACCTCGATCCTGATGAGGACTCGTCTGTTACCAAGTGGTTTTATGACCATAAACCACTCGTTGGCACCAAGTAAGGATTAAAAGATAACATTTAAATTTTTTTAAAAATTATATGTAAATCAAATTGAGTATATCAAGAATAATAGACTTAAATAACCTCTATATTTTATTTACAATCTCTCTTTCAATCATTATCCCATTCAGCTTCCCCCCTTATTTATTTTTTTAATTAAATCATATTCATAAAAACCAACAATTTTCATGGTTTTGTCTCTAAGAATGTTTATTTCCTACAAAGACAATATTCACTTTCATTTAAAAAAATTAACTTAAATTTTCATTATAAATTAAAAATTTCATACATTTTTTTAAATCTATTGAGAACATCCTAATTTTTGAGCGGGGTAAAAACTTTACTAAATCAAATCCTCTAAAAGTTCATTTTATACTTCTGTAGAATTCATTAATAAATACATGATTAGGTTTTATGTGAATTGTGATTTACCAGGGTTTGAAACAGGAGATTAAAACTTTTATATTTAAAAAGTTTCGGTATCACCTTAATTTTTATTGTCGATAGTTTTTAGTTATTTTCAAAATGAAACTTTTCCCTTAAGTAACTTTTCAAGTAAAGGTTTTACTTACAGATCTTATATTTAAAATTTAGCTTAAAAGCCTATCCTAAAAAATTATCTTTATTCAAGCCAGTGACACGTTAGAATCATGCGTGATTCATTTATGACAAATTATAACTCTAATCTAAGCCCAATTACTGTTTATTTTAGGTTTAATGGAACTGTTTCTTAAAACTGAAAATAAATATAAGTTAAACTCATACCATAAATCTGGAACTTTTTTAACAAATAAGTTCTAAGACTTTTATTTTATAAAGTTTCACAGAAACTGTTTAAATGGAACTTTAAAAAAAAATCCATAAAAGTTTCAACCCTTGCAATTTACTGTTTTATTATTTCCTATAACTTAATATTAGATTTATAATTGTTAGGTTATATTGTAAGATAAGAATATTAAAATTATATTATTGTCCCGTCTTAGGCATGTTAACGGACCTACCTATAGAAAATGGAATCTGAGCTTACCCCAGATGGCTACATTATACAGGCTAGCCAACCAGCTGCTTACAGATTTGGTCGATGAAAATTATTTTTATCTTTTTGATCAGAAATCGTTCTTCACCGCAAAAGCCCTTAACATGGCGATTCCTGGTGGTCCAAAGTTTGAGCCACTTATTAAAGATTCTAATGCTGCGTGAGTATTTTTTTTTTTTTTTCATTTTCTTTGTTGTTTCTGTATTTGAGTGATTTTATTGTAAATTAATTTTGTATTGATTTTCTAATTTTTGTTTTTTTTTAATTCAGTGACGAGGACTGGAACGAATTCAACGATATTAACAAAATCATCATCCGCCAACCTGTTAGAACTGAATACAGGATAGCGTTCCCTTATTTGTACAACAATCTTCCACATTATGTACAACTTTCGTGGTATGATATTTAATATCAATTGAAAAGTATTAATAAGTGATTTTAAGAATATGAACTGTTGTGTAATTATATTATCAATGCAACAGATATGATTTAATTAAATATGCCTTTATTTATTTATTCTTTTAATGAATTATTGAAGGAAGTTAGTCGACTGTTCTACATATCATGAGTGATAAATATTCAGGAAGCAGTCATTATAAGGTTTTGATAAAACTTTATAATGACTATGTCCTGAATATTTATCACCCATTTATTCTTTTAAATAAGGTGATTCTTATTTTTATAAATTTTTTTTTTTACATATTAATTTCTCCACTTGCTACAAGGAGTCGTTTTAAAGAGTTTTCTAAAGTGTGTCCTATTAACAAAAGTGGTATATTATTGGAGGTTTGTGATTGGTCGTTAATGTTGACATCATCTAAGGACTGCTGATGCCTCCTACATTATTACTTGTTGTTTTTACTTTTTTTTTATCAATAATTATTATTAAAAATAAGATAAGGCTATGAATATTTTTCATGTGGTGTTGGAATAAATTATCTTGGTTAAAAACTTGTTTAATGTTCCAGTGAGCTCGCCTTTATTTGTAACATCAGCAGGCACACAAAGTGCGCTATAACTTTTTAGTAGCGATTTATTAATTTTATTTTATCTTATTTTTAAATTATAAATTCAGTATTTTGTATGTTAAAATGTATTTAAATAATATCTAACTGTATTTATTTACATTCATTTTTTGTTTTCCATTGTTTCTGATTTCATTTTATGTTATGGGAATAAACATATTTATTTTTTGTATATTGAATATAAGGCAGGACATATTCAATAAACAAAGTTAGATAAGCTTGATAACATAAAACATAATTTTGATTATAAAATAACATACGTTTACTAAAAAAAAATCGGAAAAAAGAAATGTAAAAATCAAAAATATTAAAATGAACAAATTAATCACTCATTGTAATCAGATTCATATTTCCAAGGACGAAAAATTCAGCCAGGATCTTCCCTTTATATAATATTAAAAAAAACTATCACTACAACCCATAAAGGGTCTTGGGTTCACTACTATTTAGGGAAATTACTGTTTCAAGACCAACGGTTGTGCAAGGAGGGGTCCACTCAACCGTTAAGTTTTTCCCTTAATCAATTATTTAATTAAGTGTACCCACTTTGTAGAGGCTGGGTGTGCCCCAAGAGGGTTTCCCTACCCCAGGGTCGCCCCACGGCCGATGAAACGGAGTAAATAATTTTTCTGCCATGAGCCACGATTCGAACCTGGGATCTTGGGCATTGGAAGCTTAGTGCCCTACCGCTGGGCTATCCCGCTCCCCTTTTATATACTTGCATGTTCCAATTTCTGTAACGAAAATGGCTCCAACACAAACAGTTAGTAGATTAAAAAAAAAACTAAGGTGTCTGTGCTTCATATCACACGAGTGAAAACATCAGCAAGGCGAGATTACTAATATGAAATATAAATTATAAATAATATCCCATTATAAAGAGGATGAAATGCTGAACAATTTCCTCGCTAACGGTATGGAAATCTGTTTTTTAGTTTCTGAGATATTTTAATCCGTATGCAAAAATACTGTGAATTAGTTGTAGAAATTTGTAATTTCATAATTTAATTTTGTTTTAAAAGATGAAAAAAAAAAAAAGAAATAGATTATATAACACATAAGTAGGAATAAAATCCAAATTGAATATGTATTTTTCTTGATTGCAGGTATCATACTCCAAACGTGGTTTTCATTAAAACAGAAGATCCTGATTTGCCAGCGTTCTACTTTGATCCTCTCATCAATCCTATATCTCACCGTCACTCAGTTAAGGTAATCCTTTTGATAATATTGTTTTTTCCCTGATTTGTTTCTCACTTTGAGATAAATTCATTGGAAAAAATGACTATTTATTAACAAACTATCCTCCATTATTATAACAATGTAATATATTGCATTGAATTTAAGATTACTTTCTTTTTGTTAAAAATTAAAATTTTAAAAGAGGGTATAAATAAATTTGATAGCATCTTAAATTTGAAGTCTAAAATTCGATTTCTACAGTTTTGCTATTAGGATTCTTAAAATAATATTATGTCAGCTTCCATAATCGGGTTGGCAACTGACCTGGAAAAATGGGGAAAGTCAAAGAATTTTCAAAACCGGTAGAAGTCGGAGTGTTTTTTAGGTACATAAATATATTTTTTAAGATGGAAATAAATATACACTGGATGTAACTTTTAATGACAATGAAGGGGTAAACTTCATCGTTATAAACAACTACAGTATCCATATTCATCCACCTTTGTCAATAATGGCACTAGTCGTTAAATTGAAATCAAACAAGGGTAATGAATAAAATTTAAGCAAACTGTACTTAAAACAGTGCTTTTTTAAAAGAAAAATTCGTGCAGCATATTGTTAAGTGATCAAATGAAAAATTAATAAGAAATTTTTTTTTTTTTTATCTTATTTATTGAAAAATATTACAATCTGTCTCAAGGACATTTATAATAGTGTTCACATATCACATTCACACTCTATGTACAGTAAATAAAATAAATTATACAGAAAAATAATATATATACATTAAATAAGAATAAAATAACCTAAAAATAAATGAATAAAAAGAACACATACATACCTATAATAAGAAAATAAAATAATACAACGTATCATATGCTAAAGATATCAATTGTTATATCAATACAATTGTTATTATTATAGACATATCAATTGTTACTTTCTCGATAAATATAACCTACAAAGGAAACATAAATTAATTTAAGACTTCATTAATGTTTGGAACCAACATATTTAGTAATCTTTTATTTAACCATAGACATAACCAAGCAAGGGAAAAGTATGTAATTTTTGAGTTATTCGCAAATAAAGTTTCTTTTCTTTCATAACTTTTTTACCTGAATTTTTGGGGTGATTGGACTATTTTGTACACCTGAAGGAGAAGGAAGCCTTCAAAATTGTTAGCTCAATCTTGGAATTTGGTGAAGAATTAATGATGATGTGGCTAACCGACAAAAAACACCTTCGATAAATAATATAAACTCCTCCTCTCTCGATCATAGGAGGCCTTTAAGTTGACGAAATGAGACATAGTTTCTTCGGTTCTTGCTGTACGCATCAAAATCTTCAAAGCCCAATTTGTCCCCTATCGATCTACACACTTAACACCATTCCAGTATTGAAGGCTATCAAAATGTTTGTATCGACTTTATTTATTTTATAAAGAAAAACAAAAGCAGATAGTGTGATTTGCTAATAAAGGAACTAAATTACTTATAAGAAACCACATTAATATTAGAATCTCTGTAGTTCTCTTTATTTTATATTAGAGAAAATCAGAGCTTTATATTTCAAGTATCAACTTTTATCTGTTATGAGTTAATGAAAATAAAATAAAAGCAATAAAAATAAATTACTTATAATTTAGTTTTTTATAATAAAAAATCCTTATCTAGTTTTAAAAAATGCTTCCTCTAAAACATTATATTTGTTATTTAAAAGACTGATTTTTTTATTCAAATCATTTTGTAGTAAATTTTCTTTCATGTATAATAAATAAATTTAATTATAAATTATACAGTTTTAATATTTATGTCCCCAGACATATTGGTCAGGCAAAACTATCATTAAATAGGGAAAAGTCAGTGAATTTTATTTTAACTGTCTGGTAACACCCTTTTTAAATTTAAACCAAATTATTTATTAAATGCATTTTTAATAATTTTTTTATAAACTTGATACATTTCTGCCTACTATCACTATGTGTAATAAATTAAAAATATATAAACATATAATAATAATAATAAGGCTTAGTGAACCCGAAGGTTCGATGCCGACACCACCAATCGCTTGTTACACACCTCCCTCCACCGTTCGCCGTCCAAACCCAGTCCCTTCAGATCGGCTTTAATGCAATCTTCCCACCTTCGCTTCGGTCTTCCCCTCGGACGCTTACCATTCGGCACAGCAAATATTAACCTTTTAGGAATTCTCTCGTTACTAAGCCCAACAACTTTACAAGCCCATTTGATTCGCCGCGATGAATTTACCTCAATTATATTACCCGGATACATCTCACGCAATTCGGCGTTGTGTAACCGTCTGAACTCTCCGGTTAACTCATCCTTCTTCGGTCCGAATATTCTACGCAATACTTTATTTTCAAAAACCTTAAGACGCTGCTCATCCCTTAATGTAAGCGGCCAAGTTTCGCATCCATAAAGAACTGTAGGCAAGATAATTGTTTGATAGATTCTAATTTTTAAGTTTCGGGACAAGAGGCGCGAACTAAGTAGTTTTGTCACAGAAAAATAACAAGCATTCCCCGCCTTCAGTCTAACCTTAATCTCCTCTTCAATTTCGTTTTTTCTAGTTATCGTAGAACCTAGATACCTAAATTTATCTACCTGTTCAAACATATTACCATCTATATCGATATCACCAGTAGTATCGCCATTTTTGCAGCTAACCATATATTTTGTTTTATCCACGTTTATTTCGAGTCCTAGTTCTTTACCGGCTTTCATTAACGTTGTCGTATTTAGTTTTATAGTTTCAACGTCTTCGCTTAACAGTACCAGATCATCAGCATAGCCCAGCACGGATGTTGTCCCGCCCAGATGCAACCCTTTCTCGGTTTGCATTACTTCCCTAATGGCATGTTCTAATGCCAAATTGAACAGGACAGGCGAAAGAGAATCCCCCTGTTTTAAGCCCGAACGAACCTCAAATTTTTCGGACAAATTATTACCGATTCTAACTTTATTGAGTGTCTCCGTCAAGCACATCCTGACTAGATTTACTAGTTTTTTTGGAATCCCCTGCTCGATTAGAATATTATACAGTTTCTGGCGGTCAATAGAATCGTAAGCCTTTTTAAAATCTATATACAGCTGGTGAACAATACCGTTATACTCCAATTTTTTCTCTAATATTTGCCGTAAAGAAAATATTTGATCAATTGTCGAACGATTCCGTCTAAATCCGCATTGGTAGTCTCCGATAATTTCCTCGGCGTATTCCGTGATTCGACTGGTTAAGATTAAAGTGAATATTTTATAACATACCGGAAGGAGTGAAATTCCTCGATAGTTATTACAATCCGTCCTCGGACCCTTTTTGTGAATCGGAATAAGAATAGATTCTTTCCATTCTTCAGGTAATTTCTCGTTCACCCAGATCTTTTTAACCAACCGATGTATTTTAGAAACTCCAGCTTCTCCGCATGCCTTAATTAGTTCAGTAGGAATATTATCGATTCCCGCTGCTTTATATGATTTTAATTTTCCGATAGCTACTTCAACTTCCTCTTTACTTGGTCCTTCTATTAACGGTTCAGCACTCTGGTACTCAGAAGGAGGACACAGATCATAATTTCCCGTATTTAAAATATTGTCAAAGTGGTCCTTAAACTTATTCAATATGTCAACCGGATCGGTCAGAATATTGTTATTATCATCCCTAATTCCAGACGTTACGGGCCCTACATATTTACGTGATCTGTTTATACCTTTGTACATGTCTCTTACGTTATTTTCGATTCTATTAGTTTCTATTTCAATTATTTTATTTTTAAGATACTCCCTTTTTTTATTTTTGAGCAATTTTGTCGTTTCGTTCTTTGAGATTCGGAAGTATTCCAGATTGTCTTCGCTAGGATTATTTAGAGCTTTTAATTTAGCGGCTTTTCTTTTTTCACACATGTTTAAGCAATCTTCATCAAACCACGGTTTGTTATTCTTATTTTCCTTTTTTCCTAGACACGAGTTACCGACCGCTTTAATATTATCCCTGATCTCTATCCATAACTTGTCAATATCCTCGTGGTCCTCGTCAGGAAGCTCTAAAGCTTCAAACCTATTCTTAACATCTAGCTCGAATTGGTTTCTAATTGATGGATTTTTTAATTTTTCCAAATTAAAATTCTCAAAATCGAAACGGTTTTCTTTTCTCTTTTTTATATTAAGTTTTTGTCGAAGTTTCGCGATTACTAATTCATGATCCGACCCACATTCTGCTCCGCGATAAGACCGTACATTAATTATACTGCTTTGCCAGCTGTGTTGTATCAAGACATGATCGATTTGATTTCGTGTTTGCGAATCCGGTGATGTCCAAGTATATTTATGAATATCCTTATGTTTAAACGTCGTACTTTTAATTATCAGGTTTTTCGAGATGGCAAAGTTTATCAGACGGATCCCATTATCATTACTATATTCGTGCAAACTTTCTTTACCAATCGTCGGAATATAAACTTCTTCCCTTCCTACCTTTGCGTTCGCGTCACCTACAATTATTTTCATGTAGTTTCGCGGTAGTTTATCATAAACCCATTCGAGTTTATCGTAAAATTCACTTTTGACTTCATCGTCACTGTCTTCGGTCGGACAATGTATGTTTATTAATGCGATTTTAAACCAACGTCCCTGAAATGTAGCTACCGAAATTCTATCACTAAAGAATTGTACGTCCCTCAAAGCGGATAGTAATCTACGCCTAATTAGAAACCCGGTACCTAAACAATGATTCCCGCTTCCTCCGTACCAAATAGTGTACTTCCCTTCCCTCATCGAGCCCTCCCCTGGCCAGCGAACCTCTTGCAGAGCCACGACATCCAAATTGTACCCATTTACCTCATTCGCGACCGATTTTAGCCCCCCTGCTGTGTTTAAACTCCTTACGTTCCACGTACCAATATTTAAATCCCTATATTTCAACTTGCACCATGAATCCCCTAAAGCAGTCCCCACCCGGAGACCCGAACGGGGGACTAGTTTACCTCCGGATAATGAGCGTTTTACCTTAGGGAGATCCATGACTTTTTGTGGTGTTTGGTGAACTAAAGATATGTGAGTAGGGCGTTCAATCCTACGTCACACCCTCCAGCAAGTCTGGTGGGCCCCTACCTCCAGCAAGTCTGGAGGTCCCCTACCTCCAGCAAGTCTGGAGGGCCCCTCTCATTGTTGGTCAGCGAGTCCATCGGACTTAGCCGGTAGGAACTTCCAAGGAATTTCCACCGACCATCCCCACATCCGCCACCCGTGGGACGCTCCCCATACGCGGTAATGAGCCGCGCGAGGAAAAATATATAAACATATATAAATAAATTAAATATGGTTTAATGTGACAGTTAATTTTTATATTTAAAAATAAGGTTACATTTTTATTCTGTGAGGGTTCATTAAATGCTCGGAATACTATGGTATGTCATTTTTTATTATTATTTTTTTCTTATTCTTTTACACACTACCTGGTCATCGCTTCCATATGAAGGGAAGGTATTCTAAAGGTATAACCTATTTAATAATAACTACTTTTTATTTATTTTAATCTAATTATTAATTTGGTATTTGTAGATAACTGAACAGCTACCAGAGGACGAAGAGGATTTCGAACTTGGCCCAGAAATTCAGCCGTTCTTGCAGGAAACACCTTTATACACGGACAATACTGCCAATGGCATATCTCTCCTTTGGGCTCCTCGGCCATTCAATCTGAGATCTGGCCGTTGTAGGCGAGCCATGGATGTCCCGTTAGTCAAGAACTGGTATAGGGAGCATGTGCCTCCAGGCCAGCCTGTCAAAGTGCGGTAAGTGTTTTCTCATTTATTTATTAATCAAACAGTTTTTTGTTTTATTTTTTTATTTTAATAAAAATACAAGATTTGGAGGAAGAAAAAACAGATCTGCAAAAGGAAATGTTGGACAATTTTTAATGATGTAGAGATGGTTGACCGTTGATATAATATGAGAAGGAGTTTGTCGGGGGTGCGGTCAAATAAATACTAAATTAAAACATAGTAATTATTTTAATTTTGCTGACGTTTCGACCCACTTGGCAGGTCGTCTTCAGGGCTAAAAAAGATACAAAACATGTTGAGAATAAAAATTAAATATAAGTAGATATAAAATAATAATAATAATAATATTCTTATTTTATATCTACTTATATTTAATTTTTATTCTCAACATGTTTTGTATCTTTTTTAGACCTGAAGACAACCTGCCAAGTGGGTCGAAACGTCAGCAAAATTAAAATAATTACTATGTTTTAATTTAGTATTTATTTGACCGCACCTTTTTTATTTTTTTTTTTTTTTTTTTTTGGTTCTTCCCTTCCTCGCCGTTAAGGCTATACGGGATTTTCCCGGGCCAGGGAGTGTGGGCGGGGATTTAAAAGACTCCCCCGGCACCGGGACGCGAACTCGTGCCTATTTTTATATCTTTAATTCATATGTCAGGTTGCCAGGCAACGGCGGTGCAGTGCACACGCTTTAGCCCATTCGGCTACCCCGTCCACCGAATTATTTGACCGCACCCCCGACTAACTCATTCTCATGTTGGAAAATTTTATTTGATTATATCTTATATTTTTTCATTATGCTTAAAACAAAAATGAACTCCATTTTCTACCATCACCTACAGATTACCTTCAATATTGAGATCTTGAGTAGACACAGTAATGAAAATTAATGATTATGGGGAATAGAATCAACCAGTAGATGTAAGTCCACCAGAAAAAAAAAAAAATTATATGTATTTATAAATAACGGTTACTTGTTTTTATAAAAACTTGTGTTCTTATTTTGGAAACTTCTCCATGTGCACCTCCAGTGACTTTCTAGATAATGCATATCCGCATTTAGTAATATTCCAATATCATATTCATTCACTACTTCCCCTGATGTAACCTTTTCGAATCCTTGAAGTCCTAGCGGGACCTTTTCCTTTGTTTTCACTTATCTTATCTTAATTTTCTGGAAAAATATAAATGAATCTTCACTTTTTTAGTAAGTTTGTTATGTTTCGTTGGTACTTTTTGATTGTAACGAATCAAAAAAGTTTTTTATTCATTTTCACACGAGTAAATAACCAAAGTGGATGCATTCTCTATGAATAAAATTAGAAGTACTGAATATGCATTGATTTTTTATAAGATATACAAATACCAGTACCACTACAATCGATGAAGGTTCTTTGGTTCAGTTCTATTTAGGGAAAGTACTGTTTCAAGGCCAACGGTTGTGCAGGGAGGAGATCGGACGAGGATCATGATCAACCACCAGATTTTCCCCTTAATTATTTTTATTAAGGGTGCCCACTTTGTGCAGGATTGGTGTGCCCTAGGTTAGCACCATAGATCAAACAGAATAAATAACTTTTCTGCCGTAAGCCGGGTTTTGAACCTTGGACCTTGAGCATTGGAAGTTCAGTGTCTTACCACTCAGTGGAGCCACCCCATTCACTTTTTTTGTTATGAGAGATAACAAATTCATGCTGGTTCAGCGTCAGAAGGTGATTACCGAGACCAGAAAAGTATGTTCTTGTCAGAAGTTCTCCTTGAAGACGTATGCTTACATTCAGAATTGAACCATGCAGATAATAATAAGTCTTTAGAATCATAAAAAACGTTATAGGTTTTATGTCAAAGTTGTTAATATGCGAAAAATATGTTTGAATTGGGAAAAACAGAGTTCATTTTTAATTTCAGCTCACCAAATTAAGTAAAGATCAGCCAATATTATCAAATTAAATTTTTGGTTTTAGACCTGTGAAAATTAATTATATTGATGATGTAGAGATGGTTGACCGTTGATATAATATGAGAAGGAGTTGATCGGGGGTTGTGGTCAAATTAATACTAAACTCCTTATCTTTTATCTCAATCTGTTCACCTTTAACTTACATGCTATATTCTCCTTTATTTTCTATTTTTATTCATACTTATTTTCCATTTTCGTTTGTATCTTCTACATATAATACTTGATATTTTAACTACATTGTCACCCACTATATCTCTCATATCATCTTTTAGTTCTGTAACAGACAACTTATTCTTATTTTATATCAACTTATATATAAACCATTCATTTATTTTCACCATGTTTTGTATCTTTTGTAGCCCTGATGAAGACCTACAAAGTGGGTCCAAACGTCGGCAAAAATTAAATAATTCTACTTATTTAATTTAGTATTAATTTGACCACACCCCCCCGATCAACTCCTTCTCATAATTATATTGATATTTATTTTTACTTTTTCTTTTTTTATATTCTAAAAATTAATCTCTGGTCTGATTTTCATGTTTTCAGAGTTTCTTATCAAAAGCTGTTAAAATATTTTGTCCTGAATGCGTTGAAGCACCGGCCACCAAAACCTCAGAAGAAACGTTACCTGTTCAGATCGTTCAAGGGAACCAAGTTCTTCCAGACGACCACTCTGGATTGGGTCGAGGCTGGGCTCCAGGTGTGCCGTCAGGGTTATAACATGCTCAACCTCCTCATCCACAGAAAGAACCTCAACTATCTCCATCTTGATTACAATTTTAACCTGAAACCTGTCAAAACCCTTACTACCAAGGAAAGAAAGAAATCTCGTTTCGGAAATGGTATGTTTACTTTTTCATTATTTTTTATCTAGCAATGAACTGATATTGATTTATGTACTTTTCAATGAAGTTTATGTACTTGTATTTCAATTAATTAATATTTTATTATTTAAGTTACAAAAATTTGAAAATTAAATTGAATATATAGGCAGCCAAACTGCAAAAGCCCTGTAAGAACAAAAACTTATATTTAAAAAAAAAAATAGAGACGAAAAGAGCAGCTTAATTTTTGTTCTACAAGCACTATATTTTTGGTTCAATTTTTTATTTTTGCATGCCTAAGACATAGATGTAATGCTCTATATAACTTTTTTGATCATATTTCTGCCAAATAATCATTTAGAGCCCTCATATCTAACTTATTACATTTTAGTTATTTTGAAAAACAGGTATTAGTATTGTAAAATCAATCAACTTTATTGTATTAATACCCATGACTTTGTTAATAATGATCAAATCATGACAGGAACAAGGTCAGTTTGCATAATGTTGAGAAACGATAATTCAAATAAAAATTTGTAAAATATTTGAGTGTAAAAAGCCAAATCAAAGCCTCTCCTGGAAACCACACATCTCCCGAATTTCTCGCCGTACTATATCCACCCTGAAACAGTTTAACCATCTACGTTATCTTCTTCCGTTCAAAACCCGTCAACTCTTGGTCTCCTCTCTTGTTTTTCCCCACTTCGACTATGGCTGCATGGTGTATGGTGGACTCTCGGGAGAACTCGAAGCTAAATTTAAACGTCTAATGAATTGCTCAATCCGCTTTATCTTCGGGATCTCAAGGGATACGCATATTACCCAGTTCTACACCAAGTTGAAGTGGCTTTATCCGTCCTACCGCCGTCAATGTTTCCTTGCTACCTGCCTATATTCTACAGATCCTACAATTCAAACACTCCTTTCAGTCCCGTCCCACCATCCCGTGTATCCAACCTCTATCCTCCTCACCGAACTGCTGCGTTTGATAAATCTTTTTTAATACAAGTTGTCTTCCTCTGGAACTCTATACCTTCAGATATTCGACACACGAAATCAATATCTTTCAAATCTCTCCTCTTCAAACACCTACTCCATTCCCAATCCGATTGATCACGAAATGCACTTAAAAATCTAAGCTGTAAAAACCTCAAAGTATTCCCAGACACTCTTGATTATTTTGTGATAATCTTTTAAGTAATTTTCGTTTACTTAATTACTTTCTCTGTATACTTTATATTCACACGTTTTTATATCTTTTTATTATTTATAACTTTCTTGTATTCCTAATCAACCTGTAAATATTAAATTGTATTTTATGGACACACCAAAGTATTTATATATATATATATTCTGTATTTGTAACTTTTTCTAAAGGGACACTAGTTCCAGAGTAATACAATTATTTTCATTCATTCATTATAATGAGTATTTGATCACAGGTTAGCCAAAAAAGCTCAAAACCTCGTTTTTCAAATAAATTGTCCTTAGACAACTTCACTGAGTTTTCAGTTGAGTCGATATGTATATGAGTGTGTATTTAACGATAAACAATCATAGCAAGAGTAAAATATTTAAAATTGTTGTGGCCTCCGTTAGCAACTAATCTTACTGCGCCCTCTAATGATAAAAAAGTTTCCTACCAATAGGAAGGGGAAACATTACATATAATGTTTTGGTTTTTTAAATTTTCACTTTGGGAAAGCTCCACCATATAAATATTGACAACTTAATAAAGGTATAAATCACTAATAAGTATGGATGTTGTGTTAGTTATAGAGATATGGTGCTCGATTGGGCATTGTGCTAACAAAAACACTAATAGATTTTTTTTTTTTCCTATTATAAATTATTAAATCCTATAAATTAAATTTTTATTTAATTTTATTTTTTAGCGTTTCACTTGTGTCGAGAGATCCTTCGATTGACGAAGTTGATCATCGACTCACATGTTCAGTACAGGCTGAACAACATTGATGCATTCCAGCTGGCAGACGGATTACAATATGTGTTTGCGCACGTTGGACAGCTGACAGGAATGTATAGGTATAAGTACAAACTGATGCGACAGATTCGAATGTGCAAGGACTTGAAACATCTCATTTATTACAGATTCAATACGGTACGTTTTATTTTTACTTTAAACAAATCTATAGAAACAGTGATCTAATCACATAATAAGTTACCATTCTATAGTCACCTCATTGTATTTTAAATGTCATTTAGTTTTATGAAATTATTTTATTTGAAATATTTAAAAAAAATCATCAATTAATTATTTTTATTTTTTGGTCGCAGGGTCCAGTCGGCAAAGGTCCTGGCTGTGGTATTTGGGCTCCTGGTTGGAGGGTATGGCTTTTCTTCATGAGAGGAATCACACCTCTCCTCGAGCGCTGGCTCGGCAACCTTCTGTCCAGGCAATTCGAGGGTCGTCACTCTAAAGGAGTTGCTAAGACTGTCACCAAGCAAAGGGTCGAGAGTCATTTCGACCTGGAGCTGAGGGCTTCGGTAAGTCGTATTTTATAGTAATATTCTAACGATAGCTAACTAACTTTTAATTTAAATGATAATTTAGCTGCTGAGGTGTCCTAGAGAGAAACTCATTATAGCTGTATAACAATGTGAGGGAAGCAAGCTACAATTCATAAACCGATATTACAATTCTGATTCTATACAAATAACATATCAATAGCATACTGAAAAACCTCATAAGCCCTATTTTTATTAGAATAAATGTTTTGGAATTATATCCTGAACATAATGTTTTGGATAGGATTAGCATTTGTAATTATATTAATTAGGATTCTTAATTACTCTTCTTTATTTACTAGTTACCTAAAGATAGTTCAACTAAATAATGCCTAACTAAAGTTAATATACTTTTATAATATTTTACTCATAATTAACGAAAGTTTGCTTGAGACAACCTTACAATAGAGATCGTGAAGTTATTATCTAAATAAGTATATACGTTCTGCTAGATAATAAACCGTTGATTGCAATGATGCTACCGCAGGGGTCCAGAACCGGAAGCAATGTGTCCGACAGCTGAGGAGATGGCAGGCTATAGGCCATCGCCCAATCTCCTCACTGGAAACTTGGTGTCTGAGCAATCGTTCGATGATGGGTTTTAATTATATATGATAAATTTAAAAAAATAGTGTTGTAGATTATAACATTATAAAAATTATGTTAAATATGATGATAATTTATTTTCGTCTTTTTGAGAACATAATTTACCAATAGATAGAACAGTGGTTTACATAACCTTGTATCATCTCACCACACAAGAATCCTTCTGGTCTTTGTGTTAAACTAACACCAATTGGGCTAGACTACTATGGCTATATTGTATTTAAGCCGAGAAATATATTATCTATCTAATTTATTCTAGTTTTTACCAAACAGAGTTAAAGAGATGTCGTCAATTTGTGAATGGTGATGCCAAAAATTACCACATGAATATGTGTTAAGTTGCCTTATGATTATTATTAATGGCGATTTTATTAACTGATAATAATATTCGATCAGCCATATTCTCTTATATTTTGGCTGAATAAGGGAAAAAATTAAAAATGTTCTATATTTTAAATCATAAACTCAATTTCACATGAACTGATAAACAAATAGCATTCATATCTTTGGCGTGTGTTAAGACTCACTACTCGTTTACAATTATAGAAATTATAATACATTCAGAATTTTAATAACAAAATTATTTTATAGTTATTTATTGTTTATATAGTATAGAGAATAATATCTAATCATAAATATTTTGTAGGTGATGCACGATATAGTTGATATGATGCCCGAAGGAATCAAACAGAATAAAGCTAGGACAATATTGCAACACTTATCGGAAGCTTGGAGATGTTGGAAGGCCAATATTCCTTGGAAGGTAAAATTATTGTCATTACATTGATTTATTTTTGTTTGTTACAACTCGGATTCTATACACAGAACATTGTGATTGGTTACCGGAATACCTCATAAGCCCTATTTTTATTAAAAATGAATATTTAGCATCTTTATCTTTAAAAAAAAAAAAATGCTTTGAATTCGATAGAATTAGCATTTACAATTTAAATAATTAAAAGTCTTAATTACTATTCTTTCTTTACTAGTTACCTTAAAATAAATGTTTTGTAATTGTATCCTGTACAAAATGTTGTGGATAGAATTAGCAATTTTACTCATTATTAACTAAAGTATGCTTGTGGCAACCTTACAATAGAGATCGTGAAGTTATTATCTAAATAAGTATATACGTTCTGCTAGATAATAAACCGTTGATTGCAATGATGCTACCGCAGGGGTCCAGAACCGGAAGCAATGTGTCCGACAGTTGAGGAGATGGCAGGCTATAGGCCATCGCCCAATCTCCTCACTGGAAACTTGGTGTCTGAGCAATCGTTCGATGATGGGTTTTAATTATATATGATAAATTTAAAAAAATAGTGTTGTAGATTATAACATTATAAAAATTATGTTAAATATCATGACAATATATTTTCACTTTTTTGAGAACATAATTTGTATTTAATGAATTATTGGTATTTAGTAGTAAAGATTTGTTCATTATGATAATTTTTATTGTAGAAATGTTTTATGAATTCAGGTAGGTCAAAATCCAAACATGTGACCTCCTTTATGGCAAGTGCCCAACACTTAGAGTTTCTTTTTCCTCTAACTCTCCTATTTGTTGTTTAGCATAGAGTTGCTGTTCCATAAATTGTGCATCTTATTGCTGCCCCCCTGTTTTCCAATTTAGCCAGAGTACATCTTCTAGAGTCTGCCAGGAGCAAGTCTATCTTCTGAGTACAACCTTAACCTCTCAGGTATCCATTCTGCAGACTTGCCCAAACCATTTTAATGCTCTTTCAAGATGTCACATACTGAAGATTCTCTCGAAGCCTGTCATTCTCGACCCAGTACAACTTGTTCTTACGGACTATTCTTTGGAGGAACTCATTTCAGCTGCTGTAATATTGCTTGCTTGCTCGTCAAGTGGTCTCTAGCTTTCTGATTGATACAGGTGCCCTGGGAGGAACTATGATTAAATAGCTTAAGCCTTTTTACATCTTTATCGTTCTTGTTTTTTTGTTTTTCTTTTAATGGTAAAATGCACTTTAGCCATAAAGGCCTATTTTGCTGCCCTAATTTATGTTGCTCTTTATCAGAGCATTATACCGACAATCTCAGTAAATTTAAGAAGACTTGTATTGACATTGTACTTAAATGAATCCTAGATTGCAATGATGCTACCGCAGGGGTCCAGAACCGGAAGCAATGTGTTCGGCAGTTGAGGAAATGGCAGGCTATAGGCCATCGTCCAATCTCCTCACTGGAAACTTTGTGTCTGAGCAATCGTTCAATAGGGTTCAATTTAATGTGATAAACAAAAAAAAACATTTGTTTTAGATTTTAATGCTATAAAGATTATGTTAGATATCTTTCTTAATATGACAATATAAGCCTTTTTAGAATACATACAGTATTAAATAGTCAAGACTCAGTCATCATCATAATTTTTATTATATAAACCACCGTTTCTACCCAAACATATGAACCATCTTTTGGATAATTACACAATGCCTAGGAGTCTTCAATATTTGATAAATCTCTAGAATTCTTATGGTAAGCTCATATCCTAAAGATAGGCCACACGTTTGAGTTAAAACGCTGGCTTATATAAAACGTCTGAGTCCTATCTCCAAAATACTATTAATTACCCCCAGATATATGTCCAATTAACCTACCATTAATAATTTAGTTATTTATTTATTTTGTAGTTTTATAGTAATTGATATATATTTACATATGTTTAAACTTATAGGTTCCAGGACTGCCTATTCCGATAGAAAACATGATCCTACGTTACGTCAAGATGAAAGCTGATTGGTGGACTAATACAGCTCATTACAATAGAGAGAGAATCAGGCGTGGTGCTACTGTTGATAAAACAGTGTGCAAAAAGAACCTCGGTCGTCTTACGAGGCTCTACTTGAAGGCTGAGCAAGAACGACAGCATAATTACTTGAAGGTTAGTTCTAAACAATGTTGAACCAGATGGAAGTGGGTTTACTACTGATACTAACAGTATAACCCCTCCAGAAATTTTTTCCCCTTTTTGTACTCGTTTTTGTTTATTATAAACTGATAGTAAATTGTTTTTTTATAAATTGTTTCACATAGTATTAACAGAAATTTTTAATCTAAATTAAGTAATTTTCGATCCATTTCTGAAATTTTTTTAACTTAAGTCCAAATGGTTGGAGCCAATTTTATATTTTAAAGTAAATTGCAAAAATATGTAAAATCATCATTGCAAAGTGGCAGATCTGTTGAATCATTTGAGTGAAAAAGTTATACATAATATCAGTTTATTTAACTTTTTGAGCTATGCTATTTCAATATACTCAAACCATTTGTGAGACTTGTTTATTTGGAATCAGTGAATGTAAAAAAGTGTATTTCATTTTAAAACTCTGATTCGAAATTGATGATTACAATACTTTTCCTTACTGTATATTTCATTTATAAATAAGTGAAAGTATTATTCGTTTGTGCATACACCCTCAAAAATATATACATAATACATACTAAATAAAAATTAGTTTAAATCCTTGAAAGTGCTGAATATGCATATGTTGGAAAAGTGGAGCATTTTGTTTTGTTCCTTTTTTTTTTTTAAATTAATAATAAAGTTATTATTAGCCTCCCTTTATTAGCAGTGACTCAATTGTTTTTTCTTAATTTTTTATTTTATTGTAATTCAACAAAGTATCTTTTAAAACAAAGTGAGTATCAAACAAATTTTTGTTATGCATATTAATTTGGGTACCAATTATATATTATATCATATAGTTTATGCTAGAGAAAATATAATTTTAATGTAGCTATAATAATGGTATTTTGTGTAGGATGGTCCTTACATTTCTCCAGAGGAAGCCGTAGCCATTTATACTACTACTGTCCATTGGTTGGAGTCGAGAAGGTTCGCTCCTATCCCGTTCCCGCCGCTCTCGTACAAGCACGATACCAAATTGCTTATTTTGGCCTTGGAGAGGCTCAAGGAAGCTTACAGGTACTTTTGTCATAATTTCATTATAACATAAATTATAATGAATGATCAGTATTTGTAAAATTGAATCTTATAAACATTTTATTCATTATTTTATTTTATTTTTGACATTTCAAATTCATAAATCTAATTAGATACCATCTATCATATTTATTGCATTTATCAATATAATATTTTTTCCATTTAGCTTTATTGGGTTAATTATCATTTTATTAAAAATAAATTATGGAAAATGAACTTATTTTGTTTCTCTATTCTTACTTGAGATTGTTTTGTTTTTTCTGTTGCCATTACAGACGTTCTTGTAGATCTTTTGCCACTTTAATCAACCTTCTTCATCTCTGCCTATCTTAAAGTATTTCTTTCTGGTTATTTGAATACAGCTCTATTGTATTTTGAAATATTCGGTCAGAATAGAGACATTGGATTAAGTTAATAAAGTAGATTTAGTTTTAATATTAAAAAAATGGCAAATGGATGGTATATAGTTAAGTACATGCGTTTGGAAATACATTAATTAAATAGAATTATAATTGAAAATTCAAATTGTAATAAAATTAAAACAAAACTATTGTGTTCATTCAACTACAAAAAGGAGAATACTTGACAATTTTCAGTGTTCTTTCAGTAGACAAATTATCTCTAAATTACTTCAAGTTTGTATTATTACACTTTATAGCATGTTATTGTAATCCATCGTAAGTAGGTAATAATATTTGTAATTATGATTGTGCAGTGTCAAGTCGAGATTGAATCAAAGCCAGAGAGAGGAACTCGGCCTGATAGAACAGGCGTACGATAACCCTCATGAAGCCTTGTCTAGAATAAAGCGTCACCTTCTCACTCAGAGAGCTTTCAAAGAGGTAATATATATAACGAGACAATACAACAGTATTCTTTCTATCACATTTTAAGTTTTTATTTAGACGATATTTGGCTTAACAATATATATTATAGGTAGGAATCGAATTCATGGACCTCTACTCTCATCTCGTTCCCGTATATGATGTTGAACCACTCGAGAAAATCACAGACGCTTATTTGGATCAGTACTTGTGGTATGAAGCTGACAAGAGAAGGTTGTTCCCACCGTGGGTAAAACCATCTGACACGGAACCTCCACCTCTTCTAGTTTACAAGTGGTGCCAAGGTGAGACTTATACAGTAAAACCTCGTTAAAGCGAACCAAAATCGAATCCCCTACTAAAGGCATTGATTTTCTCATAATACCTTTTTTTTTACAAAGTAATTCTGTTAGTCCGAAATGCAAATTTATTTGTTGAGCTCCTTGTGAGTAATTATTTCTTTACAACAAACTTAAAAGGCCAAATATTAGTAACTTTCAACACGTCGCAGCATCAGATTTTGCGAGGATTTTCTAAATTTTATCAAGTCTCATTACCTTAGTAATTATTTATTTCCTTTTAATTAATATTAACTTTCAGCTCGTTATTTTGTTTATCTTCTTTTCCATACCTTTAATATTCTTTCACTTTTTTTTTATAAGCACATTATTCTCACTATCATATGACATTACTGTTCTGATGATTCTTTTGTGTGATGTGATCTTAGCTCTCTTGTTCAGGCCTCTAAATGGAGAGTATAATAACTCTTAGTTTCTATATTTTAAGTGCTCATTATTAGCTCTGACGAGAGTTTAACAGCTGCTTAAACTGGCTTGCCATCTTGGAAGTCTTGTCTTTCATTATTTCTGGCAGATTGCTCGAAAATTTCATACTTACCATGTTTTCATCATGCTCCTATTTTCTTTCAGCCTTTTCAAATTCCTCAAACGCCCCAAAAGCACTACTATTGATATAGTCATGGCTTAAGCTAGAATAGCAACCTAATTAACGTAATGCTTTTAGACCATTCATTTCTGGATGGATAGCTAATGTAAAACTTATTTATTTAGTGTTACCTTAAGTAACTTTTCATTCCAATTTTTGGTGATTTAAATGAATCCAGTTCTTATAACTTGTCCTAGTCCATAATTATTTTTATTTGTTTGATGTTTTGGATTTCTATTATTGCTCAGTATTTCTTTAGTCCCCTTTTTTTAAATTTTATCTACCACTGAATGTTATTTATATTCCTATAGAGACTGCTAAAAGTATCCTGGTACAGTCTGTAAAATCCATTTTTTTAGTCAGATTTTTTTTTTTTTTTAGCAAGATTGCCAATTCCTTTTTCTAATCCCTAACCTAAAGAACCAAGAATATTTAGCTTATTCATGACTAATTAGAGATTTTCATCTACTAATACAGTAATTAAGTATGAAGAGAAGAATAGTTGGGGTGATCAGTCAAATAAGAATTGCTCAACAGTTATTATCTTTGTTTTATTGACTCTCCAGAATTTTCCATCCTCTTTCTATTAACTTTCGTTTAATTTTCCATAATATTTATGAGTAATATATCTCTCGTCCTTATTTACGCTTCCGGTACTTTAGTTCAAACTTCGTCGCATAACCGTTAGAGATGGCCTGAACTTCAGGTCGAAACGTCGGCAAATGTCAAAATAAATATTATCAATTATTTTTGCCTTCTTATTTGACTGATCACCCCAACTATTCTTCTCTTCATTATTCACGACAGTCAACCATTTACCCACAATTAGTTATTAATTATTAATTTTTCAAAAGTTACCAGTTATTTGTCATGAAATGATTTGTTTTTCAGGTATAAACAACCTACAAGATGTTTGGGATGTATCAGAAGGTGAATGTAATGTTCTCCTCGAATCAAAATTCGAGAAAATTTATGAAAAGATTGATTTGACTCTCCTTAACAGAGTACTTAGGCTCATCGTCGATCACAATATTGCTGATTATATGACAGCTAAAAACAACGTTGTTATCAATTATAAGGTATGTTATTTCTATAGAACATTTATATTGCGTAATCATTTATTGATTATTTGTCATTAATATGTTCGCATTTAGGAATTATTTCAATGATATCGATCGTGAATAATATTTGGTGATAATTTTTAAATTATATATATATATATATATATATATATATATATATATAATATATACAGGATGTTTCGTAATTGCACGCCACTATTTTAAGTATGTGTTCACTAAAACAAAATAAACATAAAAGTTCATATTAACAGATATCTCAAACTCATTTATTTAAACAAATATCTAAAGTTAAAGACTGTACAAAGTTTAACATGTTTAATAATAAATAACAGGTTTTAATCATCCGATAAACAATGACAGTAGTTGCTCATATATTTGTCTAGTTCTGTGTGGTTTAGTGTGAGTGAATACTGTGACACAGTTCAATTTATGATTATCATGGGTGACATATCACGATATCTTCGAACAGCAGCACTACCGTTTCAATGTACCTCTCCATAAATTAAAAACACGTCTGTTTGTTCTGCAAAAGTGAATAAATTTATGGTGCCTCCCATGATAATCAGAAATTGAACTGTGTCACAGTATTCACTCACACTAAAACACACAGAACTAGACAAACAGATGTGCAACTAATGTCATTACTTATCGTTCATTTGATTATCAGGTGATTAAAATCTGTTATTTAGTATTAAACATATTAAATTTTGTACAGTCAGTCTTAATTTAGTAAATAAATAATAAATGTTTAACCTTTGATATCTGTTTAATAAATGAGTTTGAGATATATGTTAATATAAACTTTTTTTTTTTTTTTTTTTAGTGAATACATACCTATAATAGTGCCATGCAATTACGAAACACCCTGTATATTTCTAATTGATATAACTGTTTAATATTTTTAAAATATTGTTTTTATTAGGATATGAACCACACAAACAGTTACGGTATCATCAGAGGTTTGCAGTTTGCCTCATTTATCGTACAGTACTACGGCTTGGTTTTGGATCTTCTAGTTCTTGGCCTGCAGAGGGCGTCAGAGATGGCTGGTCCACCACAAATGCCCAACGACTTCCTCACCTTTCAGGATACTACCACCGAGGGCGCTCACCCAATCAGGCTTTACTGCAGATATGTTGACAGGGTCCATATCTTCTTCAGGTAATCCAAGCTCGATTTGTTTAATTAATTTATTATTATTATTTATTATTAATTTATTTATTTATCGTTTGATTTAATTTGCTCCTAATAACAGAGTAAAAATATAATTCTGATGCCAATTTTCAGCTAGAGAAATTTGTGTTTAAAAATTTTCTCTTATCAATTTGATTGACGAGAGTTGAGTATATAATATAAAATATATTCTTGTGCCACTATGATAAATTTGCTGAAAACAAATAAAGTGTCGCATAATTTGTTTTAAAAAAGTATAGTCCTAAAGGCAAATATCTCGCCACTTGAAATACTTTCCTAGTTTACAAGAAATTTTATTTTATTGGGCTGCTCCCCGAATAAGAAGCTTATATTTCTTTGTTTAAATCAAGTTGTAATTTTTTTTTTTTTAAATATATTTTGATAAGTATAAAACCTTTTTTAAAGCATCCAAAAAATAAAATAAAATAAATGAAAGAATATAATTTAATAAAAATATAAAGAATAAAAAACATTTTTTTTTATCAATCTCATGGTGATAAAATGAGTGATAATTGATTTACTCATGGCAAAACAATTAAGAGTGATCACTCATTACTCATGATCATTGAATTAAGTTTATTACTTATTTACTCGAGTAATTCCCCAACACTGTTTTACAATAATAAACTTCTGCGACAAAGATGCCATTTTATTGATCATATCATCAACATGATCCGACCTATTGATTCTTCCTTGATACATAATCTCTGAATAGTGTTCATTTATAAAATGTGCATTTAAAGAAAAAATTAATAAATGGTTTATTAGGCTTAAGGTTTATTTTTGTTATAGTATGCCCATCATAGAGAATGGGGCACAAAGGGGGCGATTGTTATTATTTAATTACTTATTATTTAAATTTTCAATTATATTCAGGGATGATTATGTAGGAACATTTCCTAGGATTTTATGATCCATTCACCTCATCTATACATATCAATTTCCATGTGATTTTTAAAAAAAAAATTTGAGACAAATTTGGGAAAATATACTTAATAAGTATCAGCATAAATATATTTTATAGAGAATATTTTTATAGATCTTTTTATGTAACTATTTAGACTGTGAAAACATTCTGTTTTTATTTTAAGGTTGTGCAAACTAATAAATTATCAATATTTTTATGAACACTGTCTCCCTTCCTTCCATGTTTATTGGATACAAATTCTAATTAATCCAATTGTTTTGGTCAGATATTTTCAAGTATGTCCATATGCACACACAAAAATTTTACAACTTCCAAACAAATATATAAATTTATTTTTAAATATTCAATATTATATTTGCTCGTTTCACAATAATTATGTTGAATTTTTACTCATAATAAATGCTACTGTTTTTTTTTTTTTTTTTTGTTTTTTTCCAATTGAAATAAAAAGATGTCCATTTATATCTACACTTTTATATAAATTTAATTGTATTCACCATTTGGCTTTGTTAGGTTCACTGCTGAAGAGGCCAGAGAACTTATCCAGAGGTATCTTACGGAGCATCCTGATCCTAACAATGAGAACATCGTCGGCTACAATAACAAGAAGTGTTGGCCAAGAGATGCTAGAATGAGACTGATGAAACACGACGTTAATCTCGGGAGGGCAGTATTTTGGGATATTAAGAATAGGCTCCCTCGTTCTACGACTACTGTTCAGTGGGAGAACTCCTTTGTCTCGGTATATTCTAAAGACAACCCGAATCTACTATTTAATATGGGCGGCTTCGAGTGCAGGATATTACCGAAGGTCAGAACAGATTTTTAAGTTTTTCAATGCTATGATTTTACATTATCAAGTTAAAAAAATAATTAAATTTTATCTATAATTTTTATTTCAGTGCCGTACAACACATGACGAATTCACTCATAGAGATGGTGTGTGGAATCTTCAAAATGAAGTCACCAAAGAACGGACGGCTCAATGTTTCCTACGAGTCGATGACGAATCATTGCAACGATTCCACAACAGAGTGCGTCAGATTCTTATGGCTTCAGGGTCAACTACCTTCACTAAGGTATAGTTGTTATATTCAAAATGAAAATTGTTACATTTCTTATCCGTTCGTTAGATACTTGATATGATATGATAAAGACATATATATTTGATAAAATTTTATTCTCAGTTATTTAAAATTATTCCAGTTACAGTTAGTTATAGAAATTGCATCTTTCAGTAAATATTTTATTAAATTTTAATTTATTTACCACATTGCTATCTGCGAAATATTTTTACCAGATATTTCTTTGCCAGTTTTTAAACTATATTCTAAAAAAAATCACACCATTAAGCAGTAAAATTGTTCGTTTTTTTTTTTTTTGTTTTGTTTTTCTAAACTATGACTACTGTTGATTAGTGGTATCCTACCCTCGTTACTATTTTCTGATGAAGACAGTTTTTTTAAACTGGTCATAATTACAGCTTTTATCCTAGCATTAGTTAAAACTGAACTGAGAAAAATTGTTAAAGTTTTCTTGTAACCTTATGAATTAGTAAAGAAAAACAGTCATTCAAAGGAATCGACTAGTATATATTCAAATATTTTCAAGAAAATCTTATTTGTTGTGACATTCTATTCAATCCAGTAGATTTTCTTGTTATTTCTCCTGGCTCCTCATTTTCTTTTCTTATAATTCATAACTACTGTCTATAGTAGTTTCAAAATCTTATAATAATTATTAAATCATTATTTCCCCATTATCATTATTATCATCATATAATTTTATGACAAATGTTAAGTTAAAATTTTAATTTAGACTTAAAAAATTTTAAAGTTTGAACTTTTAATTTTTTAATAATAATGGATTGATGGTGACAGTAGTGAAAATTTTAAATGTTTTGTTTTAATTTTATATATATGTTTTTAATTTTATTTGCAAACCTTTAGAAACTAAATAATGTATAATTTTAACTATTAAATTTTAAAAAAATTATAAAAAACAAAACAAAAATCTTTGCAATATATATGTCAGAATGATATTCATAACTCAGTTTTTATAGTTATAATATCTAATTATTTTTTACAGATTGTGAACAAATGGAATACCGCGCTAATAGGGCTCATGACCTACTTCAGAGAAGCTGTCGTCAATACTCAAGAGCTCCTCGACTTATTGGTGAAATGTGAGAATAAAATCCAAACGAGGATTAAGATCGGTCTCAATTCAAAAATGCCTTCGAGGTTTCCACCTGTCGTCTTTTACACACCAAAAGAACTTGGTGGTCTTGGTATGCTTTCTATGGGGCATGTCCTTATACCTCAGGTTAGTATCATGAAGTTTATTTTAACAAACCATTAGTATTTTATTTGATAGATTTTTAGTAAACAAACCTTAGTGTGTTTCACAAGATTCAATTATCCTTTTTCATAAGGAATTAAGATCATTGACTGAAATTGCATAGACTTTTTGTTTAATGTGATCCCAAACAAAAAAAATCCGGTGGTGTCAGGTCTGGAGAGCCAAGCCACTGGTCCTGCACGGCCAATCCATTGATTGGGGTATGATTGAGCATGTCCGGTCAATGACCTTAATTCCTTACGTTTACATTTAATTATTAAAGTAGTTAGAACAAATAAATAGGTTTTATTTATTTCATAGAACATAAGTAATTCATTACAACTGAAATATTTAGATGTGAATATCTCCTAAACTAAGCTTTTGCAGACATACCTTCAGAGGAAATTGTTTTCTTGTTTTAAGATCCTTAGCTCATTTTTGCAGTTTTCCCGCTTAACCCTGAAACACCTGTATTTGATCAATAAAATGGCGTGTGTAATTTTCATGCAATTGTGGTGTTTTTGAATAGATAAATAAAGTCAAAATTTTAAAAAACATATTTGAAAGTTAACCAATATAAAAAATGCACTTAGTGGCTGCAATGAATCGACGATATATACATTGTATATAATGTTCAAATAGTATATATCTGATAAGTTTTATTATTCTTCATTCAAGTTTCATAGTTATAATCCAGTTCTTAGGGGTCTGATTTTTATATAATAAGTGTATTTAAATATGCCATTTTGTTTCCAGTCCGACTTGAGATGGTCGAAGCAGACTGATGTTGGTATTACTCACTTCAGATCTGGAATGAGTCACGATGAGGACCAGCTTATTCCTAATCTTTACCGTTACATTCAGCCGTGGGAATCCGAATTTATCGACTCGCAGAGGGTCTGGGCAGAATATGCTCTAAAGAGGCAGGAAGCGAATGCCCAGAACAGGTTCTTAAATTATTAATTTTCCTTTCGTAATTATTTGTTTATCTTAAAATTAGTAAATGATCTGATGATATATTTCTATTTAATGGTTTGACTATTTATAATTTAATTTAGTTAAGTTTAAGCGATTCCTGAAGTTATTAGGAAGACTTAAAGTTAATTGGTATCTTGTATACCTGTATAGATAATAAGTAGGCCTATAGATATAATAAATAAAGTTGTATCCAAGGAATCCATTGGCCCCAAAAATCGATGGAAACTCTGATCTTTCGATATTTCAATTGATGAGTTTATGAATAGTCTGATGAATTTCCTGTACCATCGATGAGCTCAGAGCTGTTTGGGAGCTTAGCCATATTACATTATACTATGTGATAAATTATTTATGATTTTAATTCTTACCATTTTTTAAAGTAAACTCTTGAGTGCACTCATATTAAAGACAGACATCTGTAATTTTTAAAAAGTTGAGAAAAATCCAGTTTTTGTTACATAGCTTCAATTCAAACTAATTCTAATTATTTTTTTCATGATTCAACTTGAACATTCTTAATTAAAATCATCAGAAACAGTTTGAGTTGAACCTCTAAAACAAAAATTGACTTTTTCTCCACTTTCTGAAAATGACAGATGTCTGTCTTTGATATGAAGCCACTTTTATATCAAATATTAATTTTAAGCATTTGAATTTTTTAATTAGATAGATTACTTATTATTAATTAATTAATTCTAAACATATTTCTTGTCGTCTGTCGCACATTTTATATTAACTTTATTTCGAATCATATGCATTCGAACATTTCATCGATTAGCTGTCTTCAGCAATCTCTGAAAAAATATATACATTTATTGGATTAAATTACCTTTTATGTTATACACAACTTTATATTAGGTTGATTTAAGCCAATAATAAATTGTGTTTATTTTTTCAGATATTGCTGAAGAAATAGTTGATTGTCAAAATGTTCAAATGTATGTGATTATCAAAATTTTGGGATGGAGACACAAAATATGTTAAAGATTAATTAATGAAAATTAGATAGAAGATGAAAAATGTATCCATCATTCATACTTATTCCTAAGTCCCAACCAGCCAAGCTACATATAATAAAATATACATACAATAAATCTTATGTTAATGTTAGGATATTACAGTAATAGAAGAGTGTCAGTTCGGCTTTATATTTATATAATGAATGTATTTTAATGATATATGTATGTTATAGATACATTAATTAAATGCATATTATGTTCTTAAATAATGTATGTATAACATACATAAATATATTTACAAGATGTTCTCTTTCTTAACAAGAAGTGAAATTGACTTACTGTATTATTCTAACCCCTTGGTTTTCCCTTTAAAAAAAATATATATATATATATATATGTGTTTTTCATGTTTTAAATGAAAGCATGTTTAGGTTTTTTAACAATCTGACCTTTTCAGAAGCCTAATATTTCTTGGACAATAGAACGATCTGTTTAAGTTAACATCTAATGTTGGTTCCTTAGCCTACAGATATTAATGAAAACATTTCATTGTTTTATTTTAGGCGTCTCACGCTTGAAGATCTTGAAGACAGCTGGGATAGGGGAATCCCGCGTATCAACACTCTTTTCCAGAAAGACCGTCACACCCTAGCATACGATAAAGGATGGAGGATAAGGACTGAATTTAAAATGTACCAGGTAATTAATTAGTTACCTCTTGTATTACTCATTATAACATTTTATTTTCACCCTTTTGTGAAAATAAAATGTTTCTCTCATATTCCTATTTCAGATATAAATTTTTTTTTTTTGTTTAGGTTCTGAAACAAAATCCATTCTGGTGGACACATCAGCGTCACGATGGAAAATTGTGGAATCTTAACAATTATAGAACTGATATGATTCAGGCATTGGGAGGTGTAGAAGGTATCCTCGAGCACACGCTATTCAAGGGAACATACTTCCCGACCTGGGAGGGTCTCTTTTGGTACATCAATATAAATTATCTAGCTTAGTATAAATTTTCTCTTAAAATAATTTATCATTTTTAAATACTTAAAAATGTGAAAAAGTATTCATTATTACATTTCAAATGTGCTTCTTTATTTCTCTTATTTAATGAACATTTATTGTTAAATAAAAGATATATAACGGAATTTCTTTATATTAATTTAGGGAGAAAGCCTCTGGGTTTGAAGAATCTATGAAATACAAAAAGCTGACAAATGCACAGCGCTCTGGTTTGAACCAGATTCCCAACAGAAGGTTTACTCTATGGTGGTCGCCGACTATTAACAGAGCTAATGTGTACGTCGGTTTCCAGGTTTGTCTTTAATCTTTATTCATTTCTGACTTGATCCCATTCAACTTGTATCAGAGTAAGTTTAATCTTTCAATTTTCAGGTACAACTCGATTTGACGGGCATTTTTATGCATGGTAAAATCCCTACACTGAAAATCTCTCTAATTCAAATTTTCCGAGCTCACTTGTGGCAAAAAGTTCACGAATCGATTGTCATGGATCTTTGTCAGGTATGTTAGATAAGTAATTATGGATTTTAAATAAAAAAATGTATCTTCTCTATTACAATTTTTTATAGTACGTGAAGATGTCATTAAAGAAAACAAATTCTATAATTTCCTTTTTGTTTGCTTCCATTGATTTTGAAAAATATTAGTCATTATCCTACCTCTTTTTTTTTCCACTCTAGTATATGGTGAAGAGACATTTTTTCATAATGAATATTAAAAACTTAAAATGCTAAAGATGATCGGTTTTTATTAATAGTTTAAGGTTTAAGAAACAGTAATTTTATAATGTTAATTACAATGGTTTTGTTCAAGTTGAGCGTACGATATAATTATCACACCAATTTGAAAATTGGTGTCATTCATTACTGCACCTAATTTGATTAAATGTTTTGTAATACATAAATTATAATATATAATTTTGATGTGTTATTTTAAAAAGCATAGAATAGTTATTTTATTTGAATAAAATAAAAAAAATTTTATTCACCTCTTCACCATAGCAACCATGTTATACTGGAATATGGAATATATGGAAAGCGTTATTCCATTTTTTCCAAATTTTGCAAAAATATTTATATAGAAATTTTAATTTAAAAATAAAATAAAACAATGGCAAGGATGGTTAAATAATCAAATTAAGGGGAGGAAATACTCCCAGGCTCTGTTTTCATGGCTTTATATGCGTTCAAAATTACATTTTATGTCTGAGAGTAGATAGTTTTCCCTCTACCCAGTGTATTTGACATAATAAACGAAAATTTATAAAAGAAATGATAAAAGAAATTTGTCTTGTAAAAAAAAATTTTAGAAGTGCGTATGAATGAATAGAGAAGACAAAAGAGTGGGAGATCGGCAGGAAAATGTTTTGCCACTGCGCATCTCTCTCTCTCTACCCACCCGCAAACTTATCTTCTACCTAGAGAGATGCAGTACTTGTCATCCTTTGTTTAATTTCATTTATCTGCTTATTCTTAGATATTAAAAAAAAATTTAACTTCCCAAAAAAAATATATATCACTTTTGATCTTGTCTACTTGTTATGATGAAAGATGTAGGTTAATTATAAAATATATTTATTTGATCAAAATTTTTTTTTCAATTGATTAAAATTGATTATATAATCATAATTAACATTAACATTTTATCATAAAATTGTTGTAATCTGAGAACCACCATTTTATATTTTTGAGGACTTTTACTAATGATAATATTATTATTTAGTATTTTTTAATATAATAGAAATAATAATCAGGGATTCCTGAAATTGGAACAACAATCTGAAAGAAATATATATGTTCAGTATATTTCTTATTTAGTTATATGCTATAGAGCTATATGTTTATGTAGGTATTTGATCAAGAGTTGGATGCATTAGAGATCGAAACTGTTCAGAAAGAAACCATCCATCCTAGGAAGTCCTACAAGATGAACTCTTCCTGTGCTGATATTCTACTATTCGCAGCCTATAAGTGGAATGTCTCCCGTCCGTCACTTCTAGCCGATTCCAAGTAAGTGTTTGTTTTTATATATAATAATATTTATTGGAATATAGTATAGACTTAACTAATAAGGGGTTCTAGAGTTCTTGCCGATGCGTCTAAGGAGCATTTTGTTTTTATATTATTTTTTTTGTTTTGTGAAATAAGAAAAACACATTTCTAATTGTATTAAATTAATTCAAATGTATTATAAATTACAAAAACCAAAATATGCTACCAGTATAAAATGTGCTGGTACCAATATATCTACTAAAGTATATATCTCCTTTAGTTGATGAAGTAAATTTTTTTATGAAAAAGCATTCAGAATTGTTATTAGCGTATTTAAAAAAATGCAAATTGGTTTTGAAAAAAATAAATAAAAATTTTTGAACTTGATTTTATGGCAGGATTTTTTTTTATGCCATTTACTAACTCATTCATAACTCCTCATGATTTTCTCCTAATTCCACGTTGTTATAATCGTTAGAAAACTGAATTATTGTTTTTACGAACCATATTAATGACTTTTACATTTTATGGCTTTATAAATAAGAAAGTATTTTAGTACCATCATTGTATGATGTAGTTTTTGTTATAATATATAGAGTTCTATTATCAGTTATGATAATTAAGATTGATAATTATTTCAGAGATACTATGGATACTACAACAACCCAGAAGTATTGGATAGATGTTCAGCTGAGATGGGGTGACTACGATTCTCACGATATAGAGCGTTATGCCAGAGCTAAATTTTTGGACTACACTACAGATAACATGTCCATCTACCCTTCGCCAACGGGTGTTCTCATCGCTATAGATCTTGCTTACAATTTGCACAGGTACTTATGATATTTATTCATCATGGCTAGAACTGATGAAGGGATCCATTAGAATTTTAACCATAAATTATAAAAATGTTTCGAGTATTTAATCTGTTCCATAAAATTAGCATTGAACTTGTTCACCTTCAAAATCATAGTCCAATATTAAAGCCTTATTTCCAAGATAACAGTTAACGCGACAGTGGCAGCTATTGAGGAAGAATTGATGCTCTTTAATTGGTATTTAGATTTATTTTTACCCAATTTTGGTGAAACTACAAGAGTTGTGTGTTTAGTTTGATCATTTGTAAATCTGTAAAAAAACATTTGAGTGATTTTCAAGCTTTATGTCTAAATTATTATTTTTAGAACCAGTTTGAGCTCAAAAGTAAAATTATTAAATTTCTTTAATGTGTTAGTTTGAAGGAAGTAACGATTTTTGGAGTGAAAAGCTCAAATAATTTTCAAGTTCGATAGCTCAATTATTTGATGAGATCCTGTGAGTGTTTTGAAACAATATGAGCTCAGAAATTCTCTGACGTTCTCATGTTTTCTGCATCTACACCGAGTTGAAGTGGCTCTATCCTATTTCCCGATGGCAATTCCTTGGTGTTTTCTTTTTCCGGGTCTTCAGAACCAAAAATTCTCCCTACATTCTAGTATTTAACCTTACTCTACTAGACCTAGATCTCAACTAGACTTTATCTACGTTCCTCTATCCACTCTCTTAATAACATATCTCAACCTGTTTATCTATATATCCCCTCCTATAAAACTACTTCCTTCACCAAATCCTTCATCATTCGTTCTACCTCCTTTTGGAACTCCTTACCTCTCTCCATACTTCAAATCACATCCGAAAATTCCTTCAAACAACTCCTATTCTACCACCTACTTCACATTCAAACTTCTGCAACCTTGTAAGAATTTTCAGTTATTTTAATTATTATTGCTTACCAACATTTAATTGATAAAAGCCATTTTATTTTTTTTATAGTGTTTTTTGTATATATTTATATAATATCAACATGCCAGACCCAGACTGATGTACATATTTTTTTTTTAAAACTGCAATTATTTTATGGAGACTTTAGTCCCTGTATAGAATTATTTTTCATTTAATTTCATATTACTAAAATATTAATTACAATTAACAGTTAATTAAGAATCTTTCTTTATTATCTAAGTCAGACTAATGTTCATAATTATGGAATTCTGTCATTATTCTTAGGAGACTGTAGTCTCAGAATAAAAGTATTTTTCAATCCAAAAATACTGATGAATTATTATGTTAAATGTCCGTAGTCTGCCCATTTCAAGGTATGTAATGCTTCTTTTGAGCGAACAACTTAAACAATTTTTCACTTTTATCATTAAATATAATGGAATTCGCTTAGTGTTTTGAAACAATTTGAGCTTAGTGTACTAAAAAATAATACTCTTGGTATTCTGTTGGTTTCATATCAATTATTATTATTTTTTTTTTTTTTTAATGTGTTCTTTATTTAATATAATCATGACATCAGCTGTTCTGCATTCATCATTTTTCTAGCCTTTACTTTCAGCATGTAGGCAAGGGCATTGCCCTGTCTCACTATCTTGACAGTTCTCTTACAACAGAAATAGCCATGTTTAAACAATGCTTTACATTTAAATGTTTATTTAGTTATACTGTAAAACTATATCAGTTTTTAATCTAATGATTGTCTTGTTTTTGTTCTTACAGTGCTTACGGTAACTGGTTCCCAGGTTGCAAACCATTAATCCAACAGGCAATGGCCAAAATCATGAAGGCGAATCCTGCCCTTTATGTGCTGAGAGAGAGGATCAGGAAGGCCTTGCAGCTGTATTCATCTGAGCCTACTGAGCCTTACCTTTCTTCTCAGAACTATGGAGAACTGTTCTCCAACCAAATCATTTGGTTAGTTATGTAGTTGAAAACATATTTATAAATATTTGATAATATTGTCTCTCATTAATTAAATAAAATATATATTTTAACTATAATAATTTACTTATATGAACATTAATTTTTTTCTGTTTAGGTTCGTTGATGATACCAATGTGTACCGTGTAACTATTCATAAGACATTTGAAGGTAATCTGACCACAAAACCTATTAATGGAGCGATTTTCATCTTCAATCCCCGTACGGGTCAGCTCTTTTTGAAAATTATTCATACATCTGTGTGGGCCGGGCAGAAACGTCTCGGACAGGTAAGTTTGTTCGGATATATGTATCACATACAAAAATATTGTGCTTGTATAAACCTTTTGTATTTTACCTTGTACAGAAATTTCTCTAGATAATTTTTTTTTTATATTTGTCTTATTATTTTTGTCCAAGTCTTAGTAAGTTTATTAAAATGTTTAACTTTACATGCCATAAGTCAAAACTTATTTAAATAACATCTTCAATTTTTATTGTAGTGAAAACTTCTTTAGGCTCGCTTAGTACTGTTTTTGTACCCTTTCGTGCAAAGTCGGCTCGAGTCTACTAATTTTCGCATTTCGATTTAAATATCTCAGAAATTAATAATCAGACTTGCATACTGTAAGCGAGGGAAATTTTCATCAATTCATCCTCTTTATTATGGGCTATTATTTAAAACTATATCTTGACTCAACTCCGTGTTAGATAGTGTCAAGAACAAAATTATAACGAGTTTTTTTTTTTTTATCATTTGGATTAAAATATCTCAAAAATGTATTAATCCCGCCTTGTTGATGTTTTCACTTCCCGCATATATTCTTAAGCACACACCGTAGTTTTTTACATTATCCTTATTTGCTTAAGTGAATGATCTAACGTAAATACTTAAACAATCACTATATATTATCTCCTTAAATTATGTATACAACTACTAAATGTAAGTACATATCAAGAAAAATATGAGAAATTTATCTGTTAAAGAATTCTCTTTTTTTAAATTGTGATTATTTTTTTTTCTTCTCATGATACATAATATCTGTAAATATAAGGATGTCCCACAAGTTCCTTCCTTTTTCTTTATTTGTCGTGTAAGATTGATTTACTGTGTTAAATATGAACCGTTCTGCTCTATTACCTTCTTCCATCTCTCAGGAAGCCTATTATACCTTTTTTTCAAAATTGTTGAGACTTGCAAAATATTTATCGAGATGATTTGGGACATTTATCATGGGGATAATTTCATAATGAAAGAAACAAGTAATAATCACATCGGGTAAGGTCTGGGGAGTATAGAGGATGAGGTAAAAAGTCCCAATCAAGCTGTAAGAATTTCAGTCTCAAATACTGGTCACTGCCATGGGCAGTACCGGTGAAATAGTACCTTTAGCATGTTATTATGTATGGAGGAATACCTCAGGACGACAAGAATGACTGATCATTTAGTTAAGGAACTAATAAATTTACTTAAACTCTAATTATTTTGCTCCTGTTTTGAGCCTTGAAGTATATTTTTATTTAAAAGGTAGTAATAGTCAACTAATAGTTGACAGATTATTTTGAAAATTTTGTGGCCTACCTGTCATTAGTAATGTAATTTAAATTTTAATTTTAATCTCTGCAATCCTTATTATAATTTTAGTTGGCAAAATGGAAAACTGCTGAGGAAGTAGCTGCTTTGATTAGATCGTTGCCCGTTGAAGAACAGCCGAAGCAAATCATTGTTACAAGGAAAGGAATGTTGGATCCTCTCGAGGTGACATGATTTTTTTTTTTATATATTTATATATATATTTTAAATCTATTTATTTCTTAATATATTTGAGGAATTATTTTACTGAAGGACTTTTTAAAATAGGTGCATTTACTCGATTTCCCGAACATCGTGATCAAGGGCTCTGAACTGCAGCTTCCTTTCCAAGCGTGTTTGAAAGTTGAAAAGTTTGGTGATCTCATTCTGAAGGCGACAGAGCCTCAGATGGTCCTGTTTAATCTATATGATGATTGGCTGAAGACTATTTCTTCATATACTGTGAGTATTTCCTTTTTATTTTTTTATGTCAGGTTTCTCATCATCATTTCTGAATTATGTCAATAAAAGGAAAATTTAGTACATTACTTATTTATAAAATTAAATTAAATTATAGGCATTTTCCCGTTTAATTTTGATCCTTCGAGCCCTTCACGTCAACACGGAGAGAACTAAAGTTATGCTGAAGCCTGACAAGACAACAATCACAGAACCCCATCACATCTGGCCGACACTGTCTGACGATGAATGGATTAAAGTTGAAGTCCAACTGAAGGATCTAATTTTGGCTGATTACGGCAAGAAGAACAAGTAAATAAATATTCATTTTTTGATCTTGCCTATTTAAAATTTATTAAGCTATTTTCTATTTTATGTTTGGAATATATCGACAACCTAGCTACAAAAATTTTATTGTGAGATATAAGTTTGAACTTTTCTTGCCCATTTTGGTTTCGTAATAAATAATAAAAATTAAACAGAAAAATCTCATTCATAACATTAAATGCTTTTTTTCTGTCTTATTATTTGTAGTTTTTGTACTTACAGGCTTAAGCAACATGGCTGCCTATATATACAACTAACTTAATTTAATATTATAAAATTATAATAATATATCATTTTAGTAGTTTTCCCTTATGATAGAAATTGAGAAGTTAAAAATAATATAATAGATCTTTTTAAATAGAAAATTAAGTCCATTTTATGCCTACCTTATCTTTAGCTTGAATAATGATCGACATGTTATGGTTTTTGTTTTTTTTTTCTTCTCCATAATTTTGTTTTTAATTATTTTCATGTATAAGTATAATATATATGTTATGGTCTTTTTTCTGATCCTCTATTTTATTTTTCAATTATTACATATATAATTACATACGATATAATATATATATATATTTATCTTTGTCCTTGCACTGCCCTATCGCAATTTAAGGAGATGTGGTCTCATGTATTAAAATTATTCTGGTTATTTTATGTTAAGCCTACATATTCATAAACATATATATTCAATATATAGTCGAATCTTGTATTTATCAATTTTTTTTAGAGATTTTATTTTTCATTAGAAAAAATTATTCTGTATGTCGAACAAAAAGTCACATTCCAAGAAATATAAAATGTAATGGTAGTTACTTTTATGAGAACAGGCTCTGATTAACGGTTTTCTCCCTATACAAATATTATGATTTGGTTGCAAAAATCTTTGAAAGTTTTTGGGTTGATTGGAAATGACTTAATCTTAATAGTTTTATCAAATCAATGAAACACTATTGAAATGGAAGCTTAAATTTTTTTTTTATCAAGGAATCTTCACATTTGATATATTTAGAGGTTGAATTGTATATGGCTGGGGTTCCCAACCTTTTATCACCAGTGGGCACATTTTAGGTTATATGGTAGTTGGACCCATGTTTTTATTCAATGCAAATTGCGGATAGGTTACTGTTTATAATATTTAAAAAATAAATGTGAAGTTCATTAATAAAAAGAAATATATACGTACAGTCACAAACATCTTTATTATTCCCAAAACTAATGAAACATATTTCTATATAAAAGGTTAAGAACAAGTTTAATGAATGTTATTAAGTTTATAAAGGGTTTTTATAATAGATTAACACGTTTTTAAATTAGAATTAAAATTAATGATAAGCAGTATGGGGTATAACTAGGTACATATTATAAATACTCAATATTTTATTAAAAAAGCTGCAGACAACAGTTAAATTGTTGCCAGTGTCATTGCCGATAAAGGTTAGAGATAGGCGGGCCAAGTTCGGGCATGAGTGACGTCACGCAGGCCTAGTGGTCCCCACGAGTTCTAGGTTGAGAACTCCTGCTATACAGTATGAAGCCAAAGTATTAATGCTTTAATTTGGATCTTATTTGTTCTTTAAGAAATCATACTTTAAAATATTGTTAATATTAAGAAATATTGTATTAGAGATATATTTATATTTTGGTCACCAAATGATGTTAGGTCATTGTTTATATATATATATATATATATATATATATATATATATATATATATATATATATATTATATTTATATTATATTATATTTATTTATTTATTTTATATGTAAAATAATTTCAGTGTAAATGTGGCGTCATTGACTCAATCAGAAATAAGAGATATCATCCTGGGTATGGAAATATCAGCACCTTCAGCACAAAGGCAGCAGATCGCCGAGATAGAGAAACAGACGAAGGAGCAATCTCAGCTCACCGCTACTACAACAAGAACAGTCAACAAGCATGGTGATGAAATCATAACAGCAACAACGTCTAACTACGAAACTCAAACTTTCAGGTAAGAATTAGAAGAGAATTAATTAATTATTTTGTTAATATTTAAATTATCAATGACAAAATATTTAATCTCTTCTACCATGTTTCATTCAGTGTATTTTGTAACATGATTGAAGACTCTTGGAAAAATGTTCAGATGATAATTTTTCTCATAAGATTGTTAATTTTGTTTTCAAAAGAGTATATCAATTTTAATTATTTATTGTCTTTTAGAGGAACGATTTTATATAATTTACATGATCTTCATTTCTAGTTCTAAAACTGAATGGAGGGTGAGAGCTATTTCTGCTACTAATCTTCACCTTAGGACGAACTACATTTACGTATCATCAGATGATATTAAAGAGACTGGTTTCACTTACATCCTCCCGAAAAATGTTCTGAAGAAATTTGTCACAATTTCAGATCTTAGAGCTCAGGTAAAGTTATATGTAATAATGATTATGGAAATATTCTTTATCAATATTAAACATAGAGTGCATAGGTAATATTTAAAACAAATTATTCCAACTATTAGTTTCAAATCTGTTGTTAAAAAAAAAAATATATATATATATATATATATATATATATATATATATATATATATATATATATGAGGATTATGTATTTTCATGCTTTAAAACAGCGGTCTCCAAACTAGACCCACAAGCGTTTCCAGCCAATCCACAAAAGTTTCTGCGATTACATGATGAAATTTTAAAAAATATGTAATTTAGTGAATCACTACAACATTTATTGTATGAGTAACTTCTTCTAGTAAGCTCATTTCACAGTCAGCAGTGTCATTTTCCAAGAATAAGATATTTTTTCCATCGCAAGTCATGGGCCCAAGGGAGATCTCAACACGGTCCGCAGGGCATAGTAGAGATTTTAATGTGGCCCGCATGCCAAAAGGTTTGGAGACCGCAGCTTTAAATCATCATAATTTTTAGACTATCAGTATTTTTATTAAAGTTATTAATTTTCATTGCATTGAAATAACCTTTCAAATTGATTAAATAAAGTATTAAGAAGGTCTAGACTTTTCAAATGTTAGGATTTTCTTTGTATTCACATAGTTTACTACATTTTAGTTGTTATAAACCACATCTTTAGAATTATATTCTAAAATTTATCATAATTATATTTGATAGTTTTTTAATTATATATTAACTAAACAAAATAGATAATTCAAATCAAGATAATAATTTTTATGAAAAGGTTATGGAAAACAAATAATAGTAGATAAAAGATAGTGGCAGCTAGCAGAATAACCAAGGGCCTAAGTAATTGAGGAACCAAAGGAATACGAGTGCACCCAAAAGATTAGAACACGCTTCCATATGTATCATGAGATTGATATAATACGGACTCCGGCAATATTATATAAATATACTTATATGGTTTTCATAAATGCAACTGTTGGTATTATTTAATATTGAAGTATACAGATTACAGCGGTATAAATATTAAAATTTGTATATATGAAGGTACTTGTACAAATAAAATTCCTCACAATGAAGTACAAATAAATATAGCGTTTCAACTGCCTCCCGCAGTGCTACATCCTACGCCCTCAAGACGACCTGCAAAGTGGGTCGAAACGTCGGCAAAAATTAAATAATTACTATATTTTAATTTAGTATTTATTTGACCGCACTCCCCGATTAACTCCTCATAAATAAATATAGTCTATAATTTTTACTTTCACTTTGCTTTGTGTGAAAATACTTATTTCTGCTAAGAAGAGTGTGATAAGTGAAAGTTGTGTGATGCATGCACCGCATCAGATTTTTTTTGTGATATAGGAAATTAATTATATTACAGATCTAATAAGTTTATACCATCATTTTTTTTTTTTTTTTTTTTTAAATGTTGGCTTCGACCCCTTTGGGTCCATTGTGCGCCAATATTCGCTAGGTCGTTTTATTCAAAACGTTAGTCCTGTCGCTTCCGCGTATCTCAGTAGGCTGGTTGGGTTAACCGACTCAAATCTACTGGGGAGATCCATCTGTTCCTCCCCAAATAACGCCAGTCTCAGCCTTATAAACTTGTCACATCTGCATATGATGTGAAAAGCTGTTTCATTCTCCTCCTGACAGAATCTGCATATCGGATTCGTCATTACTCGGAGATTGAACATATGATTATTTAACTTACAGTGACCTGTGTAGATCGCTGTGAGTTTTTTAAGAGCTGCTCTGTCCATGTTCAGTAGCTGTTCACTTCTTTTTTTACATGGGCCTTTAAGGAACAGCTTCGAGTGTCTCTGTTTCTTGTCGGTCCAGTAATTCCTAAATTTGTTCCCATAGATCTCCCTGATCCTGCCCTTGGCAGTACTAAGGCTGATTCCACAGACAGGCTCGGGAGTTATAGGAATAGTATCTGAGCCCAACCTGGCTTGCTCATCAGCCATCTCGTTGCCCGGTATGCCAGAATGGCCTGGCACCCACTCCACTGCAACTCTGTTGTGCTCAGTTAGCTCGTTAAGTGCTCTATTGCATTCCTTAACGACCTTTGAATAAGCATAATAATTGTCAAGAGCACCTATTGCTGCCTGACTGTCAGTAAAGATGGTGATCCTTTTCTCAGTCACATTGGTTTGCAGTAGGTTTTGTACACAGTGGCAGATTGCCAGTATCTCGGATTGAAACACTGAAGCATACCTGCCAAGTGGTATAGAAATTTTTTCTTTTATATCTTTGCGATAGATGCCTGCTCCAGAGCCGAAGGCTGTTAGAGAGCCATCTGTGTAGCAATTTATTCCACTATTTGGTTTATGAATTCTGCTGCTATCTATCTCAACCTTATATATCCGGTCCTGATGTTCTCGGATTAGAGTGTCAGAGTGCATAGCTAGCACTCTTTCACTTCCAATCCTGTTCAGCAGTGTTGTGTGTCCTCCCTGACAGGGGACTGTTGAACAGTAAGTTGACTTGCTTATCCTGTACAGTGTAATTGTTGCCCGAGCCTCCACCTCCAGCTGCAGCGGGGGCATGCCAAGCATCACCTCCATAGCAGCCGTCGGTGTCGTGCTCATTGCGCCTGTTATCATTATACAAGCAAGCCTTTGGATCTTTCCTAATAAGGATACATTGGCTACAGTCTTTGCTTTGTGCCACCATAGCAAAGCTGAGTAAAGTATGATAGGTCTGACTGTTGTTGTGTACAGCCAGTATACCATTTTTGGTTTTAGCCCCCAATTCTTTCCTATCGCTCTTTTACAGGCCCATAGGCATTTGAGGGCTTTACTTGTCACGTTTTGAACGTGTTTAGTCCATGTCAGTTTATGGTCCAAAGTGACTCCAAGGTGTTTTACTTCCTTACTCAGTGTCACTTGGATACCATTGATTTCCGGCATTTTAATAGCCACCTTCTTCTTCTTGGTGAAGATACACACATTGATTTTCCTAGGGTTGATGCTTAGTCCTTTAATCCTGCACCAATTCCTAAGAATATTGAACACTGTACTGAGGATATCAGAGAGGACACTCTGATGCCTCCCTCCTATGAGGATGGCAATATCGTCAGCATATCCCTGAGCATAAATGCCTGCAGTGTTTAAGGCTTCCAATAATGAGTCAGCCACAAAACACCACAGTAATGGAGAGAGCACACCTCCCTGAGGACATCCCCCACAGGGTTTAATCCACAGTTCCTTGTGCCCTATTTCTGATTTTAGAACTCTGTCCTCCAGCATTCTCCCAATCCATCTGGAGGTCATAGCGTCTATATCTTTTTTCCTTAGCGCATCATTTATGATGTTATAGGGAGTTCTATCAAAGGCACCCTCGATATCAACGAAGACGCCTATCATGATTTCACTCTGTTCTAAGGATTTCTCAATTCTTGTTACCAAGTTGTGAAGCGCCACCTCACAGGATTTTCCTGGTTGGTAGGCATATTGCTTTGAATGTATTGGACTAGTAGCCAATATGTGTTCCCTAATATGTCTGTCCAGTATCTTTTCCAATGTCTTCATTAAGAAAGATGACAGACATATTGGCCTAAATGCCTTGGGGTCTTCATAAGATTCCTTTCCTGGTTTAGGAATGTATCGCACTTTGGATATCCTCCACTTACATGGTAGATATCCCAGTGCTAGGCTACCTCTTAGAAGTTCCAGAAGGTATGGCCTTATTTCTGGGAGACCCTTCTGCAGCAGTGCTGGAAAGATCTCATCCATTCCAGCAGACTTGAAAGGAGAGAACGAATTCACTGCCCATTCAAGTCTACTGTTTGTTATCACTCTTCTTGCCTGACCCCACATACGTGCGCCAGTACCACGATCCTGTGTATTGGGGTCAAGAAGTTCATTTACTGTCGTAAAACAATTTGGGAAATGAGCTTTTGCTACCACACTCAATGTTTCTATCTCATTCGTGGTGTGCTTATCGTCATATTTGAGTGTTCCCATTATACCTGAATTGGTTTGTTTTGACAGTATTTTGTTTACCTTACATACCGCCGGCATGTTGTCCACCTCCAGACAAAACCTTTTCCAGGCTTGTCTTTTGGCTTTCCTGACAGATTTGTGATACTCAGTAAGAGATTTCCTGTATGTATCCCAATTGCCAGATTTTTTAGAAGCATTAAACAATCTCCTCATGAGTGCTCTTTGCTTTGTTAGACTATCATTCCACCAGGACACTTTCCTGTTGGTTGTAGTTTTTTTTTAGCTTCATTACTGGCCAAATATGCTCTAGTCATAGCATCAGTAATTGAAGTATTTAATATTTCTAATTGCCATGTATTGTGGATAACTTTGGGGCAGCATTTGACAGCCTCCTCCAAGTTAGAACTATAGGACACCCCGTTTGTTCGCTTAGGGGCTCTATATTCCACATCATGTTGTATTCTATCAGATATATCAAATCTGATATATCTGTGATCCGAGCATGTTTCTTCATCAGAGACAAGCCAGTTATCTATAAGGTCACTAGTCAATTGAGTCGCTAGTGTTATGTCTATGATCTCAGTCCTAATTCTGTTACAAAAGGTAGGCTTATTCCCCCTGTTCAGAATATCAAGATCATATTTAATAATAGTCTCTAAGAGTTTCTCACCTCTAGAGTTGGTGTTTGTGCTTCCCCAGATCTCGTTGTGTGCATTAGCATCCAGGGCAGCAACAATTTCCTCCTTACTCTTTAATAGTTCATCCATTCCTTCTTCAGGCTCTGGATGTTCATATGGCAGGTAAACCGCCGCTATGATTAGTGATTTGTTATATCCTTGTTGGGTATATTTGGCTGCTGCAAGATCTCTAGAACAAAATTGCCATAGAGGCAGCAGTTTTAGTTTGTTTTTAAAAAGTAGGCAGGCTCTAGGATATGTGGGTGCAGATATTATTCCATACCCCTGCATATTTAGTCCTTTGATCCTGCCTTCATATAAGTAAGGTTCAAGAATTAATATAATATCAATATCGTTACCTTTTATGTACTGTTGCAACACTCCACATGCCGCAATGCAGTGGTGGATATTGATCTGCAGCAGTTTCATATATTTTGATTGTTTTTATGTTCTGGAAGGTGGTTTTCCAGACGGGGCCGATGGTAGGGTTCTTCCCTCCGACTCAGTTTTCACTTTGTCTTTGGGTTTCTCCCCGCCTCTCGGCCTCGCTTTCAAACCACCACCAGTGTTAGATGGGTGCCGCGAGACAGAGGTCTGGCCACCTGACCGCGACAGTGGCTGGGGTACGCCTCTGCAACCAGTTTTCACTGGTTCCTTTGGCTTAGCCCCGCCTCCTGCCCCAGCCGACGGCCTCGACCCCGTCCTCGACGCACTCCTTCCCGAAGAGGAAGATTCCTTGCTCTCCCTCTCCTTTGATGTACCTGCTTTCGGCGCCTCCTCTTTCATCTCCTCCGGAGCAGGTTTACTTCCTGATGCTAGAAACCTGAAGGTGATAACATATATCCCACAGCAGGCCTGCATTCCATGTTCAGTTAGGCTCTGGAGGCTAGTCTCCGGTATGTTGAAAACTCCAAAAGATCCTCTTTCCATAGCCTTGAAGTTAAACACGGTCCAGGTTTTTATCCCAGTAATGGATTGGTTCTGAATCTGGAGCCGAGTTAAATAATAATCAGCAGGTAGTGCCTTTCCTGGAAAGAAGGCTCCAATCCTGATGATTTTTGTGAGATCACCTGCTTCACAAGTTCGTAGGGTTAATCCTTCTTTAATTGTGATGCTCGGTGTTATACTTCTAAACCATTCTACCGTATATACCATAATTAGATCAGACAAAGATTTTAAAATTAGATCGGACCTTTTAAAATTGTCCTATTTATTACTGATTGATATTCAAGATAATTATTAAGTTATTTTTATAATTAATCAATAATATAATTTTTAATGATGGTACACAGATCGCTGGTTACTTATATGGTGTTAGCCCCGCTGACAACCCGCAAGTTAAGGAGATCAGGTGCATCGTGATGCCTCCGCAATGGGGTACCCATCAGACAGTGCACCTTCCACAGTCCCTCCCGAGCCACCAGTTCCTGAAGGACATGGAGCCACTTGGGTGGATACACACGCAGCCGAATGAGCTGCCCCAGCTCTCTCCTCAGGTAAACTTTAATCTAATTTTCTTTTTCTAAAAATTTTATTTTATTTTCTAATCATTGTGCCTTAGCAGAAAATTCTAGTGAATTTAATAACTTTTTTCAATTGATTGAGTTTTTTTTTTATATCGTCTTATACATAAAAGGATGTCTGTTGACAATTTTTTCAGATTAAATAGAAATATTATCATTATTTCATTGTAATGTTTCCTGTTGCAGGATATCACTACACATGCCAGAGTTATGGCTGATAATCCATCCTGGGATGGTGAAAAAACTGTAATCATAACGTGCAGTTTCACTCCTGGATCTTGCTCGTTGACCGCTTACAAATTGACTCCATCGGGATTCGAGTGGGGCCGACAAAACACAGACAAAGGGAACAACCCTAAGGGCTACCTACCTAGCCATTATGAGAAGGTTCAAATGCTCCTCTCAGACAGGTTCCTTGGATTTTTCATGGTACCAGCTCAAAGCTCGTGGAACTACAACTTCATGGGTATGATCTTTTAAATATATATATATATATATTTTATAATATTATTCATAATTGAATTTTATTTCCTCTGGTAATTACAATTTGTATTTATTTATTTTTTCCTAATTATAAATTTATTCAACTTTTAGGCGTGCGGCATGATGCAAACATGAAATATGAACTGACTTTAGGAAATCCCAAAGAATTTTATCACGAGATTCATAGACCGGCTCACTTCTTGAACTTCTCTTCGATAGAAGAAGGAGGCAATAGCCTTGGCGCTGATAGGGAAGATTTATTCGCCTAATGGCAGCAACAAATTTATTCCTTTTTTTTTCCCCCTGTATATAAATATTTTTCTTGTATATTACTTTTTACTTCTGTATTATTTAAGTGATGATTGTAATTTTTGTAGAAAAATTAAAGAGAATTTATTATAAAATTTTTATTTGTTAAGTGTTGAATGAAGCCTGTAAATTTTCACTTAATGTTTTGTTTTTATTTCATACCCTTGTTATCATAATGAATAAATTGTAATTTAATAAAACTGAACTTGCTATTTAATACAATTGGATATTGGATGGAATGAAAAATAGCAGCTCAACATGCATAAAATTAATTTTTTTGTTGAATTTTTAGTTTATAGCATTATTTACTTCTTGCAGCTTTGTCAATAAACATTTAAAAACAATGTAGTCAAGACGAGGATATGGTTTTCATCCTTCACAGCCATCCATTGGGAATTTTTCCATTGACTAGATTCCGGCTTCTAAGGGTATCAAGATTGAAGTGATATTGTCCTACTGCCCCTTCAAAGTGCAGTTAGTTCACTTCACTTATTCATGGTGCGAGACCCCTTCAGTAAACTGTGTGCTCGCCAGTTGCTATTCCTCTAAGCACTTAGTAAGGAGACCCAGTAAGCTTGGTCACTAATTGGTTATCTCTTAAGCTGACCGGCCACCGAAAGTGCAGCTGAGCATTGTAAGAGGGGAAGGGCAACCGATTGCGTATCAGAGATAAGCACAGTCAGTAACTTCCTCGAGTCGGTACCCTTCTCATATTCCATATAACATTTTTAAAAAAAGTATATATAGCATATCTTAGGTTTTTTTAAATTAGCAAAGGTGATCATGTCCGAGCTGTAAAGAAAAATTGAATATTTTTCCTTACACATTCGATTAAAAATTCTTCCACATCCATTGCATATTTTACATTGAACCAAAATAAAATAATTTGAGAGGTTATGCAGTGAAAACGAGCGGGAAGAAAGGATGACAATGAGCCCCACGGTTGTGTGACAATGGTGGGGTGGCGGAGTCAGCTTCCAAAACCGAACCCCGGTCGACGCAAAGCTGCCCCGTGCTATGTTGCTCAGCTTCTGGTGGCCGGACTCTCATTTAAAACCTTTGGTTCGGTTTTGGAAGCTGACTCAGCTGCGCTTTCAGTGGCCGGTCGGCCTTTGTGTTTATTCCATTCCTCAATGGTGTGATCCAGATAATTTGTTTCCACCTGTTGTGTTCTTCCTGGAGAAAGATTTTGTGCTGAGCTAAATACCAATACTTAATTGGCTAAAGATAAAAATCTAAGGATCTAATCTGCTTTAAACTTTGGGAGAGGCCAACTCTTCTTCAACCCAGAGAATGAGTGTACTAGAGTTCAATACTACCTGTCGATTCCTTGCATTAAACACTGAGTTTAATACCTCTGCTATTAGTTGACCTTGTTTTATTAGTTTGAATCAGAGCATAGGATTATGTATTTATAATAGTATCCATGGCAGATATTATTCAATAATGCTAGCCTATTTGAAATAATGTACCAATAGTTGGCCTGTGCGAAATTTAAAAAAATTCACAGTATATTGTTCAGTGATCTAATGACAAATTAATAAGAAAATAAAATAATACAACATATCATAAAATAGAGAAATCAATTGTAACTTACTCGCTAAATATAATCAACAAAGGAAACAAAAATTTATTTAAAACTTCATTAATGTTGCGAACCAACATGTTTACAAATTTCAATAAGCTGTATTTTTGCTAATAATTGTCCGATTCCAATGATTTTTTTTTTCCTTATGTAGAGAATTTAGTAATCTTTTATATAATCATGGGTATAAGAGAAAAGCATATAATTTTTTAGTTATTCACAAACAAAGTTTCTTTTCTCTCATAACTTCTTTTTCTGGATTTTTAGGGTGATTGGACTATTTTTCCCGCTTGAAGAAGAAACCTTCAAAATTATTGGCTCAATCTTGGGATTTAGTGGAGAATTAACGATGAGATGGTTTACTGAAAGAAAATAGAAACCTTTAATAAATAATATAAACTCCTCTCTCGTTCATAGAGACCTCAAGTCGACTGCCTTGCATTATCTTGAAAATAGTACGGAACAGCCCTGGGTTTCAACTTTTCAGTTAAGATCAGTAATCCTTTACATGAGTATATAAGTTGACCTTGTTTTCTTAGCAGCTTGGTTTCTGTACTACCATTGTTAAGGCGCTTAAAACAGTAATGTAAGTAATCCACGCTGGCGAGAGGCCAGCAATCCACGTTGAGCTAGAGGTTGGCGATTTAATTCATAAATGGATTCTCTTTGCCATTTCTTTTTCTGTCCAGGTTTATGCACCAATACACAGTTATACAGGCCAGCTAGTTTCTTTATATTTTGACAATAATTAAACACTTCACTATTAGCTGGAAACTAAACACAGACCTGCCACTCTGTTGACTTATTCTCTAAATGTCATTAAACACCACCTTCTTATCTCTAATAGCTGGAACTACAGAATTGGAGTGCAGAGAGGCCAGTATTTAATTTCTGGCTTCAGAAGAGAAAATTATCTGGAGCCATTTATTAAGAAAGAGGGCAAGAATAAACTTATTTTAATTTTACATGTAGTAATATTCACAACCAATGTAGGGAGGAGGGGCGGCACAACAGTTTTTCTTGTCCAGAGATAAAACAAATTAAATTTTAATAATTTATCACGGCAACAATACGAGACCGAAATAGAACATATACCCCATTGTTTTTGTTATGGTAAGGAGAAAAAAACTTTTTTACATCCACTAAAAATCACAGGGGGAAACAACGAGGCTCTTCTCTCAGCCAATTTGTTTTTTCTCTTTGGTTCTTTTGACCTTAATTAAGTTAATAAAAGAAGATATGATGTAATAATGTTAATTATTTCAAAATATATTACTAAAAACTTTGTTGCACAATGTTAACATTTTATTGGAATATGTGGGTGGCGGAAAAATTAAGTTAGCAAGTTTTGAAACACGAGTACATAATGATAATTTGTAGCATAAATAGGAATTTGTCATATCTTGAAGACTGAGATACACCGAATTTTGAATAAGTGTGCTTGTGTGCTTCTAATCCAGCCCCAGTTTAGTAGAAAACAGATTCAAGTATGAAATAACTTTAAACAAAACCAAAATAAATATGTAATATTTTTCAAAAGTTACTATAGCCCTGTGCTAAAGTATGGTTTTGTAAATTACAATTATTTTTTTTTAAATCCTAGTTTACTGTTGAAGTATAGCACTAGCGGATCCAGGATTTAATTTTGGGGGGGCTTCAGCCCGAAAGTTTTTTTTTTCATATACATATAACAATAATTAATTAGAAAAAAAAAGAAAGAAATTAACTACCTATATGAAATGGTGTTTAAGTAGTTCTTGAAGTCCTATTAAATGTAATTAAACGAACAAGAATAGATTAAGAGATAGTTTTTAATATTTTTTTCTGTAAAACATGGTTATATTTTACCATTTTGGGAGGCTTCAGCCCGAAAGCCCCCCTTAGATCCGCCTGTGAAGTATAGGATAGATAATAATACAAATCCCAGAAAAAAACGTATATTACAGTATTAAAATATTATAATTAAAATTTTTGTATTGAAAATACTTTGACATCAAGCTTCTAGACAGAAAAATGAAAGGAAAACAGAGATAACGGGTATTTTAAACGAGAAAATTTTTGTAGGGTTATTGGCAACACTGCTGTAAACGGCAACATTCAGTCTTGTTCAAGCAGCCATGGAGCGTGAGTTCGTTGAGGAAGCCCTTAGCGTATTAGAAGGTACAACAGGTAGCAATAGTAGTTCTAGTGACAATTGTTTAGCAAGATTTATAAAAACTTATGAATCTTCACCTGTACTTTGGAATAGATTGGATCCCAATTATATGAATAAGTTAAAAAAACGAAAAGCTTTGAAAAAACTTAAAGTCATTTACCGAGAAATAAGACCTCAAGCCAAAGTAAGAGATGTTGTTAGAAAGTTAAACACTTTACGTTTTAAGTATAGGCGAGAGCTCTGCAGAATCAAGAATGAAATGAAAAATGGAGGAGAGGAATTTTACGGACCTAATTCATGGGTGCTTCATTCCTTGAAGTTTTTAGATGTTCCACAAGAGAAGGCTCTTTCGATCAACTCAAATGAAGGACAAGAAGTAAGTAATGTTACTAATATCAAATTAATTATGAAGTTCTTTGTTCTTTAGTGTGCAGTATTACTGTAGTTTCATTTTAAGGTAGGTGGATGTGAAATCAATTAGAAAGGGTGTTAGGTTATACATGTTTTGTTTGTTTTTTAATGAATACACTTAAGAACAAAAGTTAATTTATTTATAGAATAATAACACTATTATAAATTTACCATTATATAACCTTCCAGTCTCAAAATGGCTCAATTTGTTTACCTATATAACCTCCCTATAGTTAGATGAAGCTGCCTTTAGACATTTTACAAACAAATATATTAATGGTTATTCCACTATGCTAGTATTTTTGTTTTTGATATTTTCCATCTTCTGTCGGTATCAAGAGAAATAAAATAAATAGTTTGGTTTAGCAATAATTCACTATTATTGAAGTTAAATAATTTTATTCATCATAGTTTGTGAAATTTCTAAAGGCACCTTTAGGATTTATCACTTCCACTAGTGGTGGGCAAAACTGTTTATTATATGTAGAAGTTGGAACAGTTAGATTCTACTGTTTAAAATTTGATAAGAAAAAAAACATTGCTAATTTCAACTTTTTTTAATAACCATCAGGCATTGACTACTTTCAGAATTTCATCTACCGTGTGATTGATGTGATCTTATGCTCCTCCTACAACATATTGTGAGATTACAATGGAGGTGAAATATTTACACATGAAAATGTGTAAATCTATCTAATTTTGTAGCTGTAATGATGTATGTGAGGGTGATACTTCCTTGCTACTACTTATTTCCTTTCATTGTAATTTTAATCCAATATGGACCAGCCCCAACTCGAGTAGCACAGTATTTCAAAATTTGTCTGGTAAACAAGAATTTCAATTAGTAGTATATATTCAAGCTTACTAGAGAAAACAAATTGGATTTTTTGGTGCCTTGGATTTCGGAACTGATTTTAATTATTTTCTGGACGCTGAATCTAAATATGAAATAAGCTTCTTTTTTTCCCTCTCTACTTTTTAGATAAGTGGGAAAAGAGAAGTAAAACCAAAACTATATTTCCTGCTTGGCTCAATTATTAATAGTAAACATTGTGAAGTAATCCGCAAGGTTTAGAATGACTTTAGTTTTTTCTTACAGGAAATTTCATTTTGAGGAGAAGATAATTTAGTATTTACCAAAAAAGAAAAAAACTGTACACCCATGAAGGATTATAGATTCCATACAATGTGAGGAAGCACTGTTACAAGGCCAACAGTTGTGCAGGATGGCGATGGGCCAATATTGAAATGAAATGAAAAAATATTTTATTATTCTAGGACTGTTGTCCCTTTAGAACAAAATATAAATACAGATTGTATGTCTGTGTGGTTATAATTAGATTGTATATTTACAATAAGAGTTGACTAAAGATAAAAATACTGAAAAGAGAAAGAAAAGAACAAGTAAATTGTACATATATATGAGAAACTAAAATAACCTTAATGAATTGAGGTAGTCTCTGGCGGTGCTTAGATATTTCTCTTAAGTATATTTCACAATCAGTCGGATTGAAAAAGGAGTAGGTGCTTAAAGAGGAGAGGTTTGAAAGAGGAAACTGATTGAGCGTGTCGAATATCAGCAGGGATGGAATTCCAGAGGGAGGCGGCTTGTATTGCAAAGGATTTGTCAAACGCAGCAGTTCAGTGAGGAGGATAGAGGTCGGAAGTACGAGATCTAGTGGGACGGGATTGGATGGAGTATTTGAATTGTAAGCTGTGAAAAATACAGGAGGGTCGATGAGTTCTAATGATTTGGTACAGAAAGGTGGCTAGGATTAGTACTGACGATGATAGGATGAGTAGAGCTGCCTCAACTCAGTGTAATACTGGGTAATATGCGTATACCTTGAGATTCCGAAAACAAATCGTTGTGCGCAATTCATTAGGCGTTTAAGTTTGGCCTCGAAATCTCCCGAGAGTCCACCGTACACCATACAGCCATAGTCGAAGTGGGGGAAAACAAGGGAGGAAACTAGGAGTTGATGGGACTTATATGGAAGAAGATATCGTAGACGATTGAACTGTTTTAGGGTGGAGATAGTGCGACAGGAAATTTGGGAGTTGTGAGGTTTCCAGGATAGGGATTGATCAATAGTAACACCTAGGTTTTTAACGGTGGTGTGGAATAAGATAAGTAAGTTGTTCAGGAGGAGATTGGGAGATACCGGGGAGGATTTGAGGAGTGAGGTGGATCCAATCAAGATGGCTATTGTCTTCTCGGCGTTCAGAGTGAGCCTATTGAGGTTTGCCCAAGCACTTATTCTGTCAATGTCTTCCTGAAGTTTTAGAGTGGTAAATTAGAATGTCGTAAGATTTTTTATTATGCTTAACCGTCTGGTTTTCCCCCTTAATTAATTATTTTATTAAGAGTACCCACTTTAAAGAAGCTAGGTTTTCACCAGGAGGGTCTCCCAGTCTCAGGATCGACCCACGGCTGATGAAAAATTACTTGTCATCAGCCAGATTCGAACCTGGCACCTTGAGCTCAAGGAGTCAGTGCTCACCTACTGAGCTGCCCCGGTCCCCTCCTCCCCTAGTATTTACTAAAATATAATTAAAATTATGAATGAAGTTTTTTCTTTATTTTCACAATTAACCATATAACGAGGGTGGACTCATGTATATATATGTATTTATGTTTGTATATATGTTTCGAGTGCCTGTGGGGCTAATATAATATATTTCAATATTTTTTAACCTAAAATAATACAATTTTGTTTTTCAGAAGGTCATGTGTTGTAAAAATACTTATCAATTGTATAAAGGTTAGATAAAAAAATAAAGTAAAAAAGTTTTGGTTGATGCCCTGAATAAAAAAGCTTAAATGGTGAGTAGAAGTGATGAAAAGTATTCGTCAATGGAACGGAGAGCTGTCAGCTAGTGCTGTCCTCAAGGCCGTTCATCATCACTAAAAGGTTAACTTATCAACCTTCAATAATAGTTTATTTATTTATTTTTTTTGTTTTTTTACATGACTTGTATTTCAGCCATAAGCACCTATAGGCTTACAAATTAAAAGCTAATCTTATGCATGGTATAGGCCTTTTAGTTACCTTGACAAATATGCAATTTTAATTTTTTCCATTTTTCATTTTATTTTATTTATTTTTTTTAAGCACTGATTTGTTTTGTATTGTTTTAATTGCATGTGCTAATTTTAGTTTCAATTGTATGTACTAGTTAATTGTTATTTCAATAACTTAAAGTTCTCCCTTATACTAAATATTTAAACATTAAAATTTGGTTGTTGCTATACCTAACATATTAGCCATATTGAGATACCTACGGCGTACAAATCATTGAAATTTTGATTGCTTTTATATTTAAAGTATTGTTTTATTTTTACTTAATATAAAAGGTTTAAGTATCATAAAAATGGTAGACATTTGAAATAAAGAAATTTTTAAATAAATACTACCACTGATGAATTCATGTCTGTGTTACAGGAACCAGAAGGTGAAGGAGTGAATCATTTTAATTTTCTACAACAGTCAGATTCCTTGTCATCACTCACACCTTATCATCCTTCATTTATAAAAGAAAATGAATATCAAAATCTCAGATCCAAACAGAACGAACTCCTTGAATTAGCTTGCGATTTTCTTTCGAACAATCACAATGGAGAAGCCTACGATCAATGCCTACTGTTAGGAAAGATCTGGGCGCATAAATTGAGAAACCTTCTGCCATTAGATAGAGAAATAGTAGAGAAGAAAGTTAGTGATATCTTCTTTAAGGCAGAAACGGGAGTCCTTCTTAATGATTCTGTTGAAACCAACGTTAACAGAAATTCGACACCAGCTCCCTTTGGCTCATCGTCAGACTCAGCTGAAAGTGAAACAAATTACTTAGAAACTTTCACTGATTTGTGATATCGTAATATAATATTAAAAATCATAAATATTTGTATATATTATAGTTTCTGATATGTTCTACTCTTAGTTAAATTTATTATATCAAGTATTTTGCCTTGTGATATTTATGTGTAGTAAAACATCTATAGAGAAATGAAAAAAAAAATCATGTTGCATTAATATTTTGTTTTTTATATTATGTGACAAAATCAGTGTTACTCCTTTATTGTCTACCTTCAGGGTAAAAAGAAATCAATGGAGTCACTGCTTAGTTTTTATATAAAATTTGTGACATGTTTTTAGTTTATCAAGGCACACAGCAGACATTTCAACCTGGATTCTATGAAACTTGTAAAACTTTTTCTTCGAATGAGGAATGAAGATAAAAATTAATGAGAAACTTTTTTTTTTTCTTTAAAAGAAACCTGTATTTTTCCAATTCTTAGTTTTAACCCTTAATTGGCCAGGCACTCAAAAAATGTCTTGAAATGAAATTTTTTCCTTAAACCTTCTTTTTTTGTTTGGCCAATTGTCGTCAAACAATGGTGGTGTCTTTAAGATCACTTTGGCTAATAAACTGACATCATACTTTTTAAAAATGTAATTAAATAATTTATCAGGCAATAAAGGAAACATGTAAATATAAAATAAGTATATCATAAACAAAACATAAATCCATGAAAAATAACATTGTGTCTTCCCTTGTCCATGAAATTCAAGAAAACAGGGCCTCTCATTGGTGTTACAAATTCTCACATTACCTTTTTTGGCATGAAACAACCGTTCTGTGTGATTCTGGCAACACAGTCTCCACTTCCCTTTTGTAGTTAATACTTGCCAATGGTGCATCTTATCAAGTCTTGTTGCATCGAGTATGACAACTGCAGCTGTTCTTTTTTTTTAAGACTTAGATTGATGTTGGTCATATCCGAGAACCATCATATCATTAGCGAATACAAGACAAAACCTAATTTCAGTATCCAACATGCGATTTCCTGCTCATTATTGCCACTGAGGCATCCAGGGTCAAAAGGATTAATGGGATTTGTATTTCTGCAATTGTTACGAATTATTTCGAGCTGTTATTGGAGATGCTTACAATGTTTTTGGTTGTATATTACTGAGTTTCCACCACATTGACTAAATCCATTTCAATATACTTTTATGCTACAAATTATTATGTAAAGGTACTTACAATATTTCTGTGGTCTATCCCATTTAAATATAAGATCTGGATACTAGGCGGCAAAATCCATATTCCTATTCGACTAATAGCCCTCCTTCAGATTTCCTTATTTTATTTTCTAATATCTTAGAGTGCACTACTAGAAAAACTTAACCCTAGAACGACACTTAAGTATGTCAACTCATTCTGATACTCTAGAGAGTGGTACACCCCAAACTTTAAATTATCATGCTCTGGAAAACTCAAATACTTTTCAGAAATAAGCTAGATCAGGGAAAAAAAAAATTTAAGGTAACTTAAGAGAATATATTTTATATGCTCACATAAAATAAAAAGTTAACATCTACTTGACTAAAAATCAAAAAAGGATCAATATTTTTCCATTCAGAATGCATTATTTTTTTTTTAATGGCACTACAACTCATGAAGAGTCTTGGCCTCCTCAAGACGTGTCCGCCAGGCGTCTCTATCCTGTACAGCTGCTTTCCAGTTACGTACACCAAGTAGTGCACGTGCATCCCTGGCCACACAATCCTGCCATCACAGCCATCGTCTTCCTACTTTCCTAGAGCTTTGTTCATTGGTCTCCATAGTTTTTTTGCGATTTCATCATTTTGCATCCTCGCCACATTTTGCACCATCGCAGTCTTGCAAGCTTTATGATTCTTATGATATCCAGCTCCTTGAATAGATTGTAAAGCTCTGTGTTGTGTCTAATCCTCCAATTCTGTTCATCGCGCACAGGACCATAAATATGCATTAAATTTATATCAACTAAATATATATATATACATATTTAGAATGTAAAATAAATACATAACCATTTTTGTCTTCATATCTTTCCCTCTCGTGCAAAAAGAATATTTGGCTCGTTTCTCCAATAGTATATTATTTTTTAATGCCCAAAATTTCATTTATGTTGAAACTCACCATTCGTGTGAGTGCATCCACTTGCAGTCTTCCTTTCAAACAGGGCTCAATTAACGAATAGCCTAATCCAAACAAATAATTTCCATTTCATCTTCTTAATCCAGTTAACTAAGCTGAATAATATTATGCAACAATATACCAGCATGGTTCAACATTCCAAAGAAAAATCGGAGAGACAGCCTCCTTGTCTTTCTTGCTGTTGTGTTGACACTTTGATCAAAAGTTACTTTGCTGTCTTATTTAATATGCTCCTTACATATTTTCTTCATTTTCTAACTCTCATAACAATTTATGGATTTCTTGAAGAGAAAAAAAAATTATTGGCATTTGTTATACAAAAAAATAGTTACTTATTAATGTCTGAATTGAAAATACCACTAATTAACAAATGTAACACAGAAATCTTCATTTAATTTACTTCATACCTGAATTATTTTAAGTTTCAAAATAACAAAACACTGGGATGTGGAATACCCCACAAAGAATTTCGATAATTCCCAATAATGAAGTGCTAATGATCACAATTAAGCTGGGCTATGTATGATGTTTATTTACATGAAAACCTTGGCCAAAGAGCTTCTGATATAATGTTGTGGGGTTTATCATTGTTGTGGGGATTAAGAGAGAAATGCCCTTTTGTCCTGTTAAATATTGATACTATTACATCCAGTTCTCAATCATGGCATTTTTTTTTTTCCTATTCTATTAGGTTCGGAGGATACATCATTTCCTCACCTTTAACTCCCACGAACTTTGCATTACCTGGCCAGGAAATTTTCCTTATTTTAAGGTTTCTTCTAGCTCTACTTCTGAATTTTCATCTTCGTTTCCACTCTCCAGCTAATCCTTAAAGAATTTTTCCATTCTATAAACTTACTTAAATTGCATAATTTTACAGAGAAAATTCATCAAAACTCTTAGTGATTTAAAAATATGAAACGTACAATAAATACCTCTATGAGGCCGTGGTGCATCCCTACATCGGAAACAAAAAAAAGTCCTAATTTTTTTATAATTTTCTTATGAGCAATATTTTTAATCTTTGTAGCTCAGGACTAAAATAATTTATTTAAGATATTGAGTAGTCATGCATGAAATGGCCAATTTTATAAATAGAAAATGAATAAAAAAAAGGCAAACAAATCAAACATATTTTATTTAAAAAATATTTATTACCTTTTTCAATACACTTTTGCCAACGACTACCCAAGTTTTTTGTCCCTGATTTTAGAAAGTTAGTGTCACGAGTTGAAATAAAGTGAGATAACGCATTTTTAATGCCTGAATCATTTGTAAACAATTTTCTACAAATAAAGATGTCCTCTGAAAAAAGTGGTAGTCTGTGTGGGATGAATTAGGAGAATATGGGGACATGGAAGGACTTCATAGCCCAATTCCTTTAATTTATTTACTGTTTGAATCGAAACGTAAGATGGGATGTTATCATGCAGCAGGGTACAGACTGTTGTTTGATCAAATTTTAGTGCATTCACAGCTCCCCCAAGATTGATGGTGTTACAATCTACAAAAAAGATATGTTTTTTACTTATTGCGCATGGAGCACCTATTTTATGTCATAGGTACCAGTAGTCAAAACCCTACAAAATAAAAAAAGAAGCAACAAAATCAGACCACTAGTTTCCGAGATAATCTTGGCACAGACAGACCAATGGCTGAAAATGTGTTTTTCGGACTCAGGAGGCTATGGAACGTAAAGATCCGTCAAAAACTACACATCAGAAATTTTACCCAAATACTTTCCTTACCTAGTAGAGCTAAGAAAGTAAAAACCAAATATGAAACCCATCTTTTTATAGTTCTTAAGATAAACTAGCACTTTCATAAGCTTGTGTTACAACTCACCATTATGCTTATTTCAACGTGAACATCCAGTTATCCCTTGTTATTTTTTGAAGTTTTACTTCAAAAGGAACGACAACACTGACAGAAATTCACCAATTTGAATACGATACTGCTTATGTATGAAAAACAAAAATTCTTGCTAATCCAATATATACTATCTAGTCCGTGGTACAGATCCCTTTTTATCGAATTATTAACATCGTCTAAAACTTCATAAATAGTTTCATCTCATTGTAACATACAACTATTTAATTTTTCTCTCAACTATTTAAAACTCTTGAAATTGGGGCGGTTTCAATCTGGAGGAGGACAAACTTTGTTTATTTAATTAGGTACTAAAAACTCGTAAATAAACATTTGCTTTATAATTGGATCGTAAGATAATTTCATCAAAAAGTTGAGAAAAAAGGTGGCCTTCAAAAATATTGAGCCGTTAGGCGTGGCCTACAACCCCAAATTTCCAATGTAACGAGGTTATATAGGACAAACGACACAATATTTTTGTAGGCCAACTTTTTTTATTTACTTTTTTTTCAATTTATTAAGTTTCAGGCAGATGTTAATAATTCAATAAAAAGGGGTCTGTACTACGGACTATTAACATGGATTACTTGGGCTCAAAACAAATGGTTTTGAATTACTTATTGGTTTAAAAATCAGTAATACCAGTCTACTTGGTATGGTTGCATCTATGAGGAAGTCTTAGGAACTAAATAGAAAATAACTTACAGATATGAACACATTGCTATAGATTTTCTAGTAAAATCCTCTTTTATATTTATTTAAGACAAACTGCAGAACCAACCGAATCCTCTCGTTTCAAACCTTGCTTCCTCCTCGATCCCTGATAACCCTCCGAGGCGTCTGAAAAGAAGATGGCCTCGGGACCTTCTAATATAGAACTTTAATTTGAGTTCTAGCAATGGGTGGTTTCTCTTCATGTTGTACATGTCATGTTACCAATGTCACATTTACTTGTTGTATTTTTCATGTAATACAGTTGTAAATTTCATTAAAATACAAAATATTTATTTAAGAAAAGTTCCAACATTTTCGAATTATTAATTGGATAATATCTAGTAATTAAAAGATAACTTTGAAACTGGTATTAGAAAGCAATAAGTTCAAAATAAAAAGTTTATTGTTGAAATATTAAATAAAACCACATTCTCAGATATTACTTACACACAATCTACATATATTTAATATTAAACAGAGAGTTACAATTTGTTGAAACTTCAAATTAAAATATTTTTAAGTTCATAAGAAGTATATTAGTTTTTTTTTTAAATATATTTATTTTAAATGAAACATATTGAATTATATCTATTATCTACAGAAAAAAAAAATATATATATAAGATGATAATATTAAACTCAGTTTATTTCTTCCTGCCACCTCTTTCCTTCACCTGCAAGTAGACTACAGTAGCAGGAGAAATATTATAGAATGCTAAAGAGTTAGAATCCTTGTAAAAGATACCCTGCAACAAATAGAAAACAATAAGTTAAAAAAATAACAAAGATTTGTACAATAGTAACTAAATTACTACTCATAAAATTTACTTAAACATATTTAAAAATACATAACACATAGCATGCATAAATATATATTGTAATGATTTTAAATGTATAAGAAATATTAAAGCACTAGTTGATAACAGCTCTTTCTGAGCTAAATAAGTAAGTTGGCAGATATTTTGTTCTTATGTTCGTGGGTATTTCTGAATGAAATATTTTAATTTGAACCATCAAACTTCAGGTAAAAATTGTATTAAGATTACATATTAACTAATAAAAAATATGTAATTTAATTTTTTAGTACTCTGGAATGTGTATCATAATTTTATTTAAAATTCTTTCATCAAGCCCCGAAACAACAAATCTCAAAACATTTGTAGTCTTTTTTTACAAATTATTTCTATTAAAACTTTAATTTATTTTAGAACATCAGATATAAATCATATTTAACAGATTTTGTTAAGATTAAACTGTAAAATCATTACAATGTTCTAAATGAACTGATACAAATCTTGAATTTCAGTAGATTAATAGATATGAAACCCGAAGAAAAGATAACATATCATGAGTGCTTGATCTGCAAAAGGAGCTATTTCTATAAAATTCCAACAAGAAAACTTTGCATTAACAGCTTTATTGTTTCAATAACAATAAAGGATTTTTTTTTTTTTAACTGTCTCTTCTCATAAAACATTTTTTATACTGAAGCTAGAACGCATTATTAGATGCATTTCACAAAATGTCTTGCTAACATTGTTTTCTTAAACTGTTAAATTAATTAACTAGTCATTTTATCAGATAAGAACATTGTGAAAGCTTTTTTTAATTGAAAGAAAAAACATTGAAATAAAAAATTTAATTTTATAATTTTGTTAGATATTACTGTCCAACAGCTAAACTCTTTTTCTAAGTAGTAACTTCCCTAACTTAATTGGTTGACGTTTCGAGCTATACTATTCATCATAATGACCCATTAATCAATTATTCTTTAAATTTCACTTTAAATTATTATTAAATCAACAGTCTGAAACATATAATTAAATGAAATGGATGCAATAAGTAATAATGACTAAAAATAATAACAGAGAATATCTCAATATATTATGTGAAACTTGTTTAATATATTATATTTTTTCCTTTGAAATTCAGTTCTGAGTTTTGCATATGACAGTCTAATATATTGTAACTTAAATGTTAATACAAACAATTTTATAGACAGTATTACCACTTGGGCAGCGAATAATGATTTAAAGTTGAATGTTGAGAAGACAAACCATTCTCATTGGTTCGAAGCATCTTATTAATTCTATTCCCTATTATCTCCTACTCTAAATGAATGAATTACCTAATTGTTTTCCATATTTCTGTTAGAAATTTTGGAATAATCTTTTATCAATACCTGTCTTGGAATAATCATATTTCCCAAATTATCTGAAAATCTATTGCTGCCCTAAACAGTTCCCGAGATTCTGTGATTCTATGCCCCTAAAAACTCTAGTTAACTAGCTCCTAGTTTCCTCACTTCGATTATGGCTGCCTTGTATACGGTAGACTGTCTGGTGGTCATGAAATCGGTTTGAAGAGGTTAATGAATTGTTCCATTAGATTCACTTTTGGAGTTTCCAGGCACTCACGCATCTCCAGTTACTGTGCCGAGTTGAAGCGGCTCTATCGAGTTTTCCGTCATCAATATTTCCTAGGTATATTCCTTTACAACCAAAAAGCTACCATACCTTCTTCATTTTTTTACTCCTTATTCGCCTGTCCATTGGTTTGACACAAGATCCCAGCCCGAAAACCTGTTTATTCTCTCTCATAAAAATGTTTCTTTTAAAAAATCCTTTGTCATGTATGCTATCTTTTTTTGGAATTCCTTACTGAACTCCATACACAAATCCTCTTTCTTAAGCTTATGTAAACGATATTTATTCTTTCACCTCTTCAGCAATCAATCTTTCGAGTATATGTAAGAATAAAATTTTCGTATTTAAGAGCTGTCACCTTCATTTGACCGTTATCTTGCTAATCAGTAAAAATATGTTAACACACTCATATATATTTATCTACACTACAGTTATTTTAATTTTAAAACTAAATTATTATGTTATTTAATCATATCCTGATTTTCTTATAATCCCAGAAAAATGTCACTTTTCTGTTCAGTATAATTATTCTAATGGGACTAAATATCACAGAATAAAATTTAATTAAAAAAAAAATATATTACTTTAAAATAATACTTACATCACAATGTAACTTCTGCTTAGCAGCCGGCATTCCTATGGCTTCAGAAATATTGGCTTTGATAGAGGCGATGGTGTCCGTCAACGGATGGGTGAACGTCAGTGCCTGGCCGTTCAACTTCCATTCTGGCTTTTCAGCCAAAAGCGGTACGATCACTTTGAATGTGACAGGGCTCTGTCATGGGCAGATATCAAAATTATGAGATTATTGGTATGTTAAAGACAATAATAAGAAATTAAAAAAAAAAAATGAAAAATGACTTACCTTGTTCTGTATGAGGAACTGAGCTTCTGGTACAAGACAATCTTCTGTTTTAGCCTTCTTGGTCATAGGCTCATCATCAGCCTCGCCCACAGAGGCAGAAGCGACGTGCTTTAACAAGTTCCCCACCTGAAGAAGATATTATTAGTAGAAGTATTAGCAATATTGGGCAGTGACTATTTTATAGGAGAAAAATAACTCAGTATCTTGAGTAATCTTTGTATTATTTTTTTTTTTTGTCTGTCAACTATAAATAAAGGAATTGTCTACAAACAAATATTATTAACCTGGTAGCAACAAATTAATTAAACGTTGCCTTGTTTAAGGTTTCAGGAATCTTAAAGATGCGTATGCTTATTTTTTTATTATTTACAATAAAAAATAAATTTTTATTTCTAAGAAAAGCTACAATTCCTTCTTTCCTTTATTCAATATACTTGGTTGACATTTTTGACTATTTACTACTACCATCTTTAAATTTTTTTTATGACACCTTTATTGTTCTATATTCATTATAAAATTTCATATAACAATCTCAGTTGTGTGATTTGCCAATTTTTTCTTAATATAAATATTTTTTCCCCTTCAAAACCTCTTGGGAAAAAAAGCCTTAGGGCCTGGTTACACAGTGCGAGCTAGCATCCAAGTTGACCTAGTCAGCTATTGTAATGCAACTACTCGCATCTGAGTTACTACAAAGCTTTTTGTTTTTACTCGCCTTCTCCCACCACACCGGAAGCAGCCACTCGCCTGTGACTCAGACGTCAACTTGCATGATATTGCGAAATGACAGTTAGCTAGTATGCCATAGACCACGTTGGAGCATTATTTTCGTTTTGATTAATACATTTAATGTTTTGGGTAGTGGTTGTAAAAACAAAAAATATCTGGTGTGTCCACTCACATGACTTTTCTACCTATTTCAGAAAAGTTTTTATATCTTTACATATGTTCATGAAGAAACAAAAAAGAATTGAACTAGATACATTTTCCTGAAAATTGATCAAACATAAGATTTGAGTACGATTTATTTGATAAACTAAAGCAATGTAAACCGGTTTAAGGTAGATCAGGATAAAAATTTCAATACTCTCTCATATTGCTGATCCAAAACTTTTTGCCATAGCTTAGTATTGTCAAATAATAATTTCTGTTAAAAGTAGAGGAAATAGTGAAGATTGTGTGATGCGGGCAACAGATTTTCTTACTTTCACTTAGTCATCTTTATTCTCTCATTCACCCATTTCTGACAGCAGGATATGAAACCGTAATTTTACATTGGAAATTGAATAGCTGTAACTTCGTTAATAGTTGTCCAAAATGAACGATTTTTATACGGCTATGTAAAGAATTTCATTAATTTTCAAACGACAGGCTAAACGACGAATTTTTCGGACTTGGGATGCTCTGAAACGTATAGATCCGTCGAAAACCGCATGTCGGAAATTTGACCCGATTGCAATACTTTCCTTACCTAGTATAGGTAGGAAAGTAAAATGGCAGATAGATGGAGTATGGACCAAAATATAAATTTTGTGGTGTTATACAAGGATCAAACGAACTTATACAATTGGCTATATTATATATTGTGGATAAACAGATGTTGCTCATTTCCTTTGAATCCGATTCTTGACCTGAATCGTTTTTTTTTTCGTCTTTTTTTTCCAGTATTCTCAACTCGAAATATTTCAGCACAAGGTATTTTTTAAACGGCTTTTATTACAGTATGAACTGTGATAAGATGTGTACTTTGCAACAAAATTGCACAAGAACACAGCACAACATTTGTGAAGAACTGATGTGAGTGCACAGGTGCAGTAGCTGCCCACTGTCAGGTCAGAACTCGCAATGTGTAACCAATCCTATAGTTTGACCTATTAACAAAAATCCCAAACCTACATCTGAAGATTACCATCCAATCCCTATCCTTCTTATACTTTTCAAACCTCTGGAAAGAATAGTTTAATTACAAATTTCCAATTTCCTCACAGAATCAAAACTACTGATTATAGACCTGGTGTCTCCGAACAATTCTCTCAATTCAAAATCACTAATCACATACATGCTACTTAGAATTATCATTAAAATTATATCAATTATCAAATATAAATCTGATTTTCATACAAATTAACATAAAGCTTTTATAAAAATATAGTTTCAATATCTGATGAAATAATTAGTTGTTTCAGCTGAAAAATAATATATATACATATATAAGCTCTTAGATGATCTCTGTAAATGGTTCAGCTATGCGGATCTGTTAGAATTACTTAATTACTCAAGTGATTAGAAACAAAGCATTAAGTTGTCCGTATATCAGTAAATAGTTAACCTGTCAATTTTTAGTCAATGATATAAGAAAATATACGATGATGATACTAACTATGATATAATAATAACATAATAATATGATGTTACTAACCTGAGTGACCTGAGGGGGCGGCTGCGGGGCGGGGGGCAAGGGCGCAGTTCCTGGTGGAGCCATGAAAGCAGAAGGAGTAGCAGCAACTACGGGGAATGCTCCCGGCGGAACTAGACAAATTATACACATCTTTATAATATAAAAATATTAAATTTCACTTGTAGGCATTACATATAGTTCAAGTTAAAGCCTTTTTATACAATATTAGTAATTAATAAATTTCTAAATATCTTTTAACCAACATATGTCATAAAATAAAATCATGGATTTAAAATAATAAAAACTATACTGTATAAAGATTGAAACTTAAAAAAAAAAATTCATTTAAACAGTTTCTTTTAAAATAAAATTTATAATTTCAAGGAAAATCTCTTTATTTCACCTTTAAACCTTTACTCCATGCTTCAATTTATTTTAATTTTATTAAAGACGTTTCAGGAAATTTTGCCCATTTTCAAGTTGAAATATTTATCTATAATGAAATTAATTTATATTAATTACATAATAATAGATTATAGGTAATTACATTATAGATATATATTTCGAATTGAAAATAGACAAAATTTCCTGAAACGTCTTTAATAAAATTAAAATGAATTGAAGCATGGAGCAGAGGTGTAAGGGTGAAATATGGAGATTTTCCTCGAAATTATAAGGAACTTTTTTGTATAAGTTCTAGATTTATAGTAAAAGTTTAATTTATTAAGTTCTTAAAATAAGTTACATTAAATGAGAAGTAAACAGTAATTGGGCTTAGATTAGAGCTTTAATTTTTTTAAAACTAATTAGTTAACTCTTTTTAATTTATATTGGGTGATAAATAATTCAAGATGCAGTCTTTTTAAAAAAAAAAATTATTTTATTTTTGCCACCGTTTCAACCCAAACATATGGGCCATCTTTAGGGCTGAAAATGTTTTTTAAAATTACAATCAGAGATATAATATTATACGACCGCTAATTATAAATAATAAACTATAGTGATTGATGGTACATGAATCTTAACTAATATTGTAATATACATATTAAAATTAAATATGTAACTAAACTAAAACTAAAAAAATATTAAAAAAAAATGTATATAATCCATTTATACAATTTATTTTTATATATATATATATATATAATTTTTTTTTTTTTTTAGTTTTAGTTCAGTTACATATTTAATTTTAATATGTGTATTGCAATATTAGTTAAGATTCATATACCATCAATCACTATAGTTTATTATTTATAATTAGCAGTCGTATACTATTATATCTCTGATTGTAATTTTAAAAAACATTTTCAGCCCTGAAGATGACCCACATGTTTGGGTTGAAACATTGGCAAAAATAAAATAATTTTTTTTTAAAAAAAGACTGTCCTGAATATTTATCACCCATGATGTGTATAACAGTCGTATAAGATGTGTAACTTCCTTCAAGAATTTTTAATTTATGTATAAGTTATAATTATAATGTATTACATGAATACTTACCCATTAGCGGAGGACGAAGAGGTGCAGGTACCATCATTATGGGTGGCTGAGGTACAAGGCCCGGTGGAGGCGGCAGAGGAGCTGGAGGTGGAAGTGGAGGCACCTTCGGTGGAGGAGGGAGGGGAGGGGCTTTGGCTTGGACAACGATTTGGGGGCCACCAGCCATTGGATTTCCTCCGCTGCTGCTCCCCTGCAAAACCAACATAACCGTGCATAAAAAGAAGGAATTTATTTTTTTTTACAATAATAAAAATGGTTTAGTTAATTTATTTAAAGCCTTTAGGTTGACGTTATCATTATGGCCTAGAAGTTATAGCAATACTCACTGCTCCTGGGACAGGCTTGGGTCCTATCTTCTCCTTTTCTTCATCAGGGAGCAATCCCTTCACCTTGTGAATCTGGTGGATCTGTTCCTCGATGGTGATGTTAGCCCTGGCAGCGCGAGTTGCAGCCTCCACGCTCGAAGTGTGACCATCCCAAGTCACCTAAAAATACAGAAACATTAAAATGAATCTAAACATGTTTGAGTGCTTAAATAGATAGATAGATAGTTTATTGGCTAATATGTACATCTTTTACCCATGGAGTTTGGCCCATTTGGTGTTAGTAGTCGTTAGTATTGAATGGCAATGAAAGCATAAATAAATAAAGATAACCAGATTTTAACATGGATAAAGTGGGACACCATTGGGAGGGAGTTCTTGACTAAAAACTTGGTCCAAATTTGTTGTTACAATAATTCATTTTTACATAATGATAATCTGGTGCGATTACATTCAAGTGACACAGTATTCAACTGAAATAAGGTTGAATATTTAGTTCTAAAGGTGTATTTTTGAGAGAAAATAATTTGACATCTAATTCATGACTTCAATAATAACACAGTTTATAATAAAATATGTAACATTATGATAGATGTTGAAACTTATGAAGAATTGCTACTTGTTTATAAGTAATCGAAAAGTAAGTTTTGTAATATATATCAGAGAACAGTTGAATAAAAGAAATATATTTGCTACCTTATCATCTTTCTTCTTATCCTCTTCACCAATCTTCTTACCAATAGCAGTTTCTTCATCACCCACACCAAAAATATCAGTTCTTCTCTCCGCAAGTTGTTTCAAGCTGGCCTCAATAGCAGAACCTAGCCAATAAGGAACGTTTAAGAAATGAATTAAAGGATATAAAACAAATAAGGAAACAAGTTATTTTTATTAAATATTATTATACCTCCTGCGTAGACAGTCTCCTGGTTGATTCTATCCTGAATGTGTTTGTCTCTTTGTTCGACCCAGCGAGGATCCAACAGACCAATTCTCATGTGTTCCTGTACCTTGTTGGCAGGTATCTTTTCACTGGTCAATGGAGAAATAAGATAGTTATCTGCACCTTTCGAAGTTTTCTGGTCTAAAATTAAAAATATTATTTAAATTTATATTCGATTAAAGCTGTGCTTAAGTTATAAAGGAACATATATAATGTGAAACTTCTCCAATAGGATACCTCTTCTAACGGGCACCCATTTCTACAGATAATTTTTTTATTTCCCAACGAGGAATTATAGCAATTTAGTCTCCTTTTTAATGGCCAAACATCAAACATAAGCAGAGAGACAAATACTGTTCTAAATGGGCACTTCCAAAATGTTGAAAATTAAAAAAAAGTATTTAATTTAATAAAACCACAACATTGCCATTATATCAAAGAAATTATTTTTGTTTATTCTATGCAATATTTCCAGTCCAACAAAGAATTTATTCTGAAGAACGAAATCAAAACGTGCTTTAAAATATATAATTATCTATTTTTTCTATTGAGTGTTTACAATTTCAAATACAGTTCTTGTATATTGGCATTTTCATATTTCAAATACTCACTTCTCTACTCATCTTTCATTTTAAAAATCAAACATCTTTTATCTTATTACTTTTAAGAATAACACTGCACAAACTTCTGGCAATAACAACCAAAATGGAAGTACAACATCCTAGCTAAAACATCATATCTATATATTATATGATGAGTGGGTTTCATCCTCCATACAACAAAACCTGCAAATTGGTAACCCGAATATCCCCAAAGGAATTTACTCAAAAAATTTAAAATTATTACTATTATTATTATTAAAATTGTAACTAAACTAAATTATTCATTTAAATTAAAAAAATATCTGGTGAGCTCACTCACACGACTTTCCTACCTATTTCAGAAAAGTTTTTATATCTTTACATATGTTCATAAAGAAACAAAAAAGAATTGAACTAGATAAATTTTCCTGAAAATTGATCAACCATAAGATTTGAGTACGATCTATTTGATAAACTAAAGCAATGCAAACCGACTTAAGGTAGATCAGTGTAAAAATTTCAATACTTTGTAATATTGCTGATCAAAAACTTTTTGGCTTAGCTTAGTATTGTCAAACAATAATTTCTGTTAAAAGTAGAGGAAATAGTGAAGATTTGTGTGATGAGGGCAACAGATTTTCTTACTATCACTTAGTCATCATTATTCTCTCATTCACCCCTTTCTGACACCATTAATATGAACCCGTAATCTTACATTGGAAATTGAATAGCTGTAACTTTGTTGATAACGATTTTTATATGGCTTTGTAGGGAATTTCATTACCTTTCAAACTACAATACTTAAAAAAATGTGTAAAAAAAGGAATAAGCTGTATCATCGCTTATACTGGTTCGATTCCGATGATCTTTTTTTTTGTTTTTTTGGAAATTTAATTACCTTTCAAAAGCTTTATTATAAATTTTATCATATAATATATTCTTTTAGGGAGTTAGGCTCCATAAATTTTTTCTTTTCTTTATAATTTTTTCGGGAATTTAGTCTATATCCTAAAATTGAAACGACAGAGGTTAGAACATTATAGGAAAGTTTCATCAAAATCGTAAGAGCCATTTTCGCGCTACAGTCTATAGAAAAACATGTTTTTCATTTATTGCGTGCAAGCTATTGCGCATGGAGCACCGAATTTCTGTCACAGGCATCAGTAGTCAAAACCCTACAAAATAAAAAAAGAAGCAACGAAATCGGTTCAGTAATTCCGAGAAAATTTTGGCACTGACAGACAGACCAATGGCTAAAAATGTGTTTTTTGGACTCAGGGGGCTCTGAAACGTATAGAAACGGAAATTTGGCCCGATTGCAATACTTTCCTTACCTAGTATAGGTAGGAAAGTAACAAGAAATTTTTTATAGACACTTGTATAACCCTTCCCAAGATAAACTCTTCTAGAATGGTAAAATCAGTCAGATCCATAGCTGCCTTTTGTAGAAATATTTTACAATACATAATTAAAGATACGCAATCTTCAATGCTCCTAACTTTGTCACAAATAAAATCATCCATAAAGACCTTAATGCTCCATATGTTTCTGATTTGGTCCAATCCAGATACTTATCCTTCCATAATAAACTGCAGAGCCATCCGAACCCTCCCGTTTCAAACCTTGCTTCCTCCTCGATCCCTGATAACCCCCCCGAGGAGTCTGAAAAGAAGGGTGGTCTCGTGATCTTCTTGTGTAAATTTATTATTTGAGTGCTATTAGTGGGTAGTTTCTCAACAAGAAATTTCATGTTATTATATTCCTGAATGCACATTTACTATTTTTTTTTTTTTCATAATACAGTTGTAAATATCAATGAATAAAAAAAAAAAAAAAAAAAAAAAAAAGGAGATAAGGATTTTTTGTATTTCCTTATGCCTTACTTGTACCATAAGGCACAAAATTAATCGTCAACTAAAGCACATAATATTCAGAAATAGTGTAACTGACTCACGCTGCTTAGGATTATAGCCTTTCTTGACGATAACTTTATCTGGAGCAGGGGGCAGAGGAGGTTGCATCGAAGGTTGGGGTTTCTTGCCATCGGCGGAGGGGTGCTGTTGATTTTGTTGCAACGCTTGCTGTTTCTGGGCAGGTGTTGCCTGTTGTTTTTCTTGAAGAGATTGGTCCCTCTGTTCATCGTCTTCGTCACTGTCACTGGATGATTCTTCTTCCATATCTTGGACCTGTTGAAAAGAAAATTTATGTATGATTATTTAAAAATAGGAAGAATACAGATCATGAAATTAAAATTATTTTTTTTTTTTTTTTTTTTTTTTTTAGTTTACTTAGATTTATAATAAATAAATCTTGTGTTGTGGATCATTACTGTATGATACAGTCTAACCTCTATATAACAAACAATAAATGTCCTTTAAAAACAAATTTATATATAGAAAGATTACAATTTTTCAGGATGAAAAATTCGATGAGCTTAGCAATGAGTTTAAGAACTAGTCATTTTTATTGGAAAGCATTGCAAACACCTGTTTATTTGACTTTTTCTTTTGCTCTAAATGGTACAAATAACAGGCACTCAAGTATGGACATTATTGAAAGAATATATTTTAGCATTAGAAACCTTAAATAAATTTCAAGAAAAAAAGATATGAAAGTAATAAGAAAAGTACCTGAGTATTATCTCCCTTATCGCCAGCTGCTTCTTCTCTTTCGCTATCTTCCTTCTCTCTCTCATCATCGCTACCTGCTCCTTCCGTCAGATCCTCTCCTCCATTTTCTAAGATTCGCTCCTGAAAAAAAAAAAAAAAATAGAACTCATTAGTTTCCAAGTTAGAAAAAATAAAATCACAATAAAATTAAAAACCTGTTATGATGAATCACCTAATTTTCACTAACGACCCCCATTTAATTTCAGTATACTTTTTTTTTTTAGTTAATACGCCTTAAAAATATATTTTTAATTATAAGTGAAAAGTTTAAAACAATTATGACAATTTTGTGCATTATGTATTTTTGGTATAAATTGAAAAAAAAAATTAATTTTCCATATAAACCCCTTTACTTTATTTAGAAATGTTTTCGATTCGATAATGTACAAGTAGAACATTATTAACTACAACAACTAAATGTTATTAGCTTTTTGTCACTCTCCAATGTCTTCAAGGACCTTATATTTTAGATATTCATGGTTCTAAAATCATTAGCTTTTCAACGGTATATCATAAAACTACACCAATCTTAATTCCGGAACTTTGTTTACAATCCATGAAAATATTTCTCCAATTTTCTCTTTAGTTAACGATCAACTACTATAATAGTTCATAATTATCCATTTATTTGTTATTAATAAATATAATTGAAAGGATTTAAGAAAGAGAAATATTGAAAAAATTACATTTAAGTCCAGTTAAGACTATTTCAATGATATTAATACCGACAAGATAATAGCTAGATGAGCTTAATCCAAATTATTAAAACCGTTTTTGAGAAAATTGTTAAAATGTGTAAAATTTAAGATAAAAAGTAAAATTTCCAGTAGGTTGATTTTGACAAAAACATTATGGTAACAGCCCAGGGTCATACCTACCTCAAACACGTAATTTCAGTTTTGTATGACATTTCCGTTTTGAGCTAGATGGTTCACATACAAATAGATCTTTTCTGGTGAGACTTAGTATTTGGACTTGGAGGATTCCCAAAGTATGTATTTCCGTTGACAACTCATATTCAAAATTTTTCACAATTCCGATACTTTCTCTTGATACAAATATAGTTGAATAAAAAAAAAAAAAATTGTACCTGCATCAAGACTCGGGCACCAACTTCGTCTGGAGTAGTAGGTGGAGGAAAGTTGCCTACTTCACCTGGAATATAGTCCACTGTCTCGACAACAACAAAGTCATGCCAATCTATCTGTGCATAAGCCACTGGAAAATGTCAAAATAAAGATTAATACAATTTTTATACATAGTTATAAATGTTAAAATCGTTATCTATGTAAATAAAATAAAGATTTTGTCTGTATATTGAATAGAATCAACCCGTTTTATGATATCTTTCCGTTTCATACATTGCAGACACCAAATCAACTTTTAAAAAATTTTTTGTCTGTCTGTATGTCCGCATTGCAACGAAATTTTTTCAGGGGTAAGCTCAGCAATGGCTTATTGTAAACTTTTGAAATTTTGACATTATATTAATGTTTGCTTGACTTAAAACATAGGCTTTAAATGAAAACAAAATATTGAGTATAACCAATGTTATAAATTCTTGAGTAATTTGACCAGAGATCTCGGTTAATGTTGATAATAAATGTTAATAATAAACGTATGTTTAAAGATTAAAGAACATCTATACAAATAAAATAAAAGTTTCGTCTATACATTGAATAGAATCAACCCGTTTCATGATATCTTTCTTTTTTATACATTACAGACTCCAAATCCACTTTTAAAAAATGTTTTTGTCTGTCTGTATGTCCGCATTGCCCAATGAAATTTTGTCAGGGATAAGTTCGGCAATGGCTAATTGTAGACTTTTGAAATTCTTACATTGCGTTTAGGTTTGCTTGACTTAAAATATAGGCTTTAAATGAAAACAAAATATTGAATAGAACCAAAGGTATGAATTCTTGATTAATTTGTTTAGAGATCCCGAGTATGCAGTTACTTCGATTCTAATCCCAACCTCAAGTTCTAATTTTAAACGGATGTAGGTGACTCAATGTCCAATGTTATTTTGGTTATTTTTCCAGCGATGAACTCAGCAGAGTTTAAAAAAGTGGAGAGACTACAACTCTTTTAGATTAATTAATCGACTCCACAATCTCCTCACTTCATCATAAATGAAAATTAAACACTTAACAAATTTTAATGGATCAGTGGTGGTCGGTTTAGTTGTGTGGTACCTAAACAAATAGCCGAATAACAAAGTTTTTGTTAGGGCTATTACGTAACTTTGACTTCCGTAAGTCTCGTCATAAAAAATTTCAAAACAACCCCCCTCCCTAATATTATGAAATTGAATTTACACCCTCCCGCCTCCATAATACAAAATCCATCTCAAAAAAAAAAAGATTCTCAAATTTTAACTATACACCCGTCAACGATGGGTACATCAGGCTAGTAGATTATAAGAAAATTACAGTTATAATTCAAAGAAGTATATAGGTGATTTTTGTGTCTGATAAACCCACCAGTAAATATATATAAAAATATATTAAAAATATTTACCCCTTTCTTTCTCAAGCGCTTGTTCCTCTTTTCTCTTCTGCAATTCTTGGTAGTGAAGCCAGTCTGCACGATACCTGACTTGCTCCAGAACTCCAGTAGGATTGGAACATTCTTCTTTTAGACGGGACATTAGGTCTTTCGGGGGAATCAACACCTGATAATTAATGAAATGTTAGTTTCTCTTATAAAAAAAAAACTCAGAGCAAAAGTATTGCTAAGCATTACGAAAATAGAATTCTAGTAACAAAGTAAATTAAATCATGGATAAAAATTTGTTTTAATTTAGAAAAAAAAATACATTACAATAATAATTCAATACTTGAATTTATTACAGAATTAAAGTTTTTCACAAACTAATTTGGATAAATACTCAGAAAGTTACAAACTTAATAAATATTTAAATGCATAAAAATCAAGCCACTTCTGATAATTTGTGAAATAACTGATGTGGAGGTTTGAATATTTTAGAAGATATACAATAAATCTTCTTTTGCAAATTAGTCATACACTTATTATTATTATTATTTTATAATATAATATTATTACATTTTTCAATTATTCATGTTGATTTAATGTTTACCTTTGTATACTGCTCGAGTAGTTTGGTGAAATACAGAAAAAGAGAATGTTGTGGCCGAAGAAAATCAAATTGGTAATTTCTTTGTTCCCTGTTCATGAGGTTAGTCAAGAACTGGCGCCCATTTCTAGCAACGAACTGTGCTGTCAACTTTACTATATCCCTAAAATATAAAGATAAATTTAATATTGATGAAAATAAAAATATTAGGAAAGAAGTTGAGGAAACTTACAAATCCAGAGCCGAAATGGAAGGTGGATCAGCCATGAACTCATAATCTGGAGGAGGATCTTTTGGTACAAACGGCTGTTCCGTGACCTGCTTTAGGATTTCTTGCTGTTTCAGTTGTGTCGCAGAAGCTACAGTCTTCTGTTGCACTGGAGGTGGAGGTGGTGGTGGTTCAGTTCCTATTTAAAACCAGTTATTGTTTTTTTATTTAAAAAAAAAAAACTAATAAAGTTATTTTTATAATTTTAAAATTTTAAATTTAACTAAAACTCAACATTTGCATCAAGTAATAAAGGTCAGCAACATTTGAGATCTTATGAACACATTTTTCAAATAATTGATCCAGTTTTCCGCTTGTGATTTTATCAACAGCTGATCTTGGTAGTTTTTCTTAAATGCACTTCTAAGCTTAGTATAAGTTGAATGATTTCTTAAACAACCATTTAATACATATATTCAATATTAATATTTTTAATCAACTTCTAAATGATCTTATTCAAGATGACTACTGTTTTACTAAACAGGATCACAATTAGTATATTTGATATATCAGAAATAGTTGTGGATTTGTATACACCCATAATAATACAATAAATATTTTCATGACAAATTCCGTGAAATAGTTCAAAAATTTTTGGGATTTTCCTTGATTTTTACATGAAATGTAAAATATTCCTTGATACCTATCAACAATCCATAGTTTTCTTATAATATTAACATTTATTATTGAAATTGATCATCCATATGTTGTGATAATATTGATATAGATTTTTTTTTCCTCTCGATATAATCATAATATCGAAACAAAAAACAATATACCAGATTTCGATATTTTCTAATTCACATAATAAACAAAAATCCATGTAATATTTAAAATAAAATAAGCTTATTAACACTACTAATATTTTTTAAACTATTGATATACCAATTCTTAAATATCATCGTATGTTGCTAAATGGAGTTAAAATACTATTAAAGAAAACAGGTCGTGTCGTTTGGTGGTTTATTATAAAAAATCATCAAATACATTTTTTATGGAACTGAAATTAAATTTTTTTCGAAGTTTGAATGAATTTCGATCAAATTATTATTGATGAAAAACAACGTAAATGCACTAAAATGAAACAAATCTTTAAATATAAATTATACACGTGTATCAAATATAATTACAACTAGCTCACAATTTATCAATCTTCTAAGTGATCTAAGGTTATGCGAAATCATTTAGCGACTTTTTTGATTGAGTAGATTAAAACAAAACTTTGAAATTTTAGGATCATTTGGTATCAGTTTTTGTATCATGTTTGAATATTTTATGTTTCTGGACTACAATAAAATAAAGATTAACAAAAATGAAAACTTACCCTTTCCTTCCTTAAATTCTTTAACTTTGTGTTGATAATAGGCATGGTAAGGGTCACCCGTATTGAGAAAGTTGAATTTAGGATTTCCCAATTCATTCTGCCTGATTCTAGATTCAAATTCTGGTCCATTACGGGCGACAAAACTGGCAGTTTTATCAACAATATCTGTTACAAGGTTGAGGAAAATTTATCCTTAAAATTTTTCAATCACATTTATCAATATGACAGACATTATAAAAATGACAAGTCCATAATAAATATTACAGATTTTTTACTATAATATGAATTTATTTATAAAAAATTATGTATTTAAATGGCTATGGACCAAGATCACTAAGACCATACTGTAAACAGAATGTTGGAATTAGGCCACAGACCTCTAGAGTTCTAATAACCTGTAATTTAAATAGCATATTTTCTATTTTTGCCTTCATTTTCTACCTACTAATAAATATAGCTTACAGTGTAAACTGAATAAAATTAAAGATATATTGTGTCCCAATGACTTAATATTGAAATAAACATAATTTTTTATAATTTAGGCTAAAAATACTGATATTCACTATCCTTTGTGCTCTATTTTTAATTTTTAGAACATAAATATGATTAGCAATAATTTCAAAGGCAGGAAGGCAAAAATAATTAAAGTGATCGAATATGAGAAATAACTAATGGAACATAAATTAATAACCAAAATAAACAAGCTTAAAACAAAAACAAGAATTTACAGAGTTTTATACTTTGTATATACTAATTTGTCTCTTACAAATTTTGAATAGAACGAATAAGTGAATAAAATGTAACTTAAACTATTATAAACATTAGCGAACATAGTATCAGCAGACACATTCAGTTACTTATGGAAATCCATATATAAGTGTGATCGAAGTGATCTTGGCCACCACCATTCAGACACAGCAGTTACAAAATAGTCCCCACCTACTTATTTGACTTGAAAATGCACTCTTGAGTTCTGCAATACTTCTAACTAAAAAGCAAACACTAAGTTTCAATCAAAATTTTTCAGATATCTCTATTTGTTTTTTCAATTTTCAAACAATATTTAATCTGTACATCAATTTTGAAGGAATGCTTCCTTTCAGATGTTGACAATAATAATTGCTAATCAATTTACTTCATCTAGACTTAGTTATCAAGAATAAAAATAATGAAACAAAAAATAGGACTGTCATGGCGAAGGGAGCTGGTGTTATTATTTTAAGTAACCCACAAGTTGTCCTTTGATAGTTTTGGAGATATGAATTAAAGAAATGGCTGTAAAATACAGTAATAATTGGTATATAAGAACTGTTTTGTTGTGACATCAAAAAAAAAGGATATCTAATGAGTTCTTTAAAATAAAATAGATTTCAAAGAATATCCTACTACCTGGCTATGTTATCAATAGAATAATAACTTTATAGTTTTTGAAAAACAAAATTAATCGTACAACGCTGTAAAGATATAATAAACTTATAAAAGGATACTTCTTACTTCAGGTGGAGGGTATATAATACCAACAATAGGCTTAGTTGTTGGTTGAAGTAAAGGTTCCTCCTTCTCCAAGGTAGGAGGAGGAGGAGGAGGCTGTATAACATCTATCGAGGGCATTTAAATGATGTTTATTAACAAAATAGTCACTAAAACAATTCAATAACACAACATTGTCAAACAACTACTTTGCTAACTACTTCCACAGCTCTCTAGATAATAATGTGCCATACCTATCGATATATGTATCGATGCATTTCGTTTGGTATACCATACTACAAATTACACAAATTATTTTCCTTCATTATTTATGACTCAAAAATATTAACTAATTACAAAACTAAACTATATCATCTAGAAAAATATAAACAGAGACAAAAATATTGTGGATTTTCATCAAGAAGTGAAAGATAATGTAGTAAATAATAATTATATATAACAAATTACAGTTATATCAAATTTTGAATTGCCTCTCGGCATACGATTTTTATTGAATCAATTAATGTCACTTCTATCCCTTCTTCTCACTAGCGGATCCAGGATTTAATTTTGAGGGGGGCTTCAGCCCGAAAGATTTTTTTTTTCATATATATGACGATAATTAATTTGAAAAAAAAGAAGAAAGAAATGAACTACCTATATGAAATGTTGTTTAAGTGATTCTTGAAGTCCTATTAAATGTAATTACACCAACAAGAATACTTTAAGAGATAGTTTTAATATTTTTTTCTATAAAACATAGTTATATTTTACCGTTTTGGGGAGGGCTTCAGCCCGAAAGCCCCTCCCCCCCGTAAATCCGCCTGTGCTTCTTCTCATGAGTATTTCTTCTTCTTAACTGCTACTCCATTCATTTTCATTGAAAGGGGTCCAAATGATACACCCCAACTAAACCCTTCTATCCATAAACGAAATGTTTATTGTATAAGTAGTTGTCCTCACACTCTCCGATGACACTTTGGCCCGTTAAGAACCCTGGCTTCCATTCTGACTTCGGCCATCCTCCAACTTCCAAATCAAAGCGTCTTCAGGTTCACTTCCACATTTTTCTACCAGCGTAATCTTCACTTTCCTCTCCTTCTGTTTCCACTTCGAATGTTCTTCCATCATTCTTGGAGATTCTATTTTCCATTCTGTGCGCTTGACCCAACCGTCTTAAACTTACTTTCGTAATGATGGAATCATATAAGCGCATTAACTTCTGATTTGTTCTTATCCTCCATTATTATAGCGTGCCGAATCTTTCTTTCCCTTGTACTCAACAGTCGCTCATTTTTTAATGTTAGGATACTTATTAGCCGAAGGAAATCGTCCTACTCAGTGGTTTGGCCCTTATTGTGCCAAAAAAACGGCACAAGTCTTGACGGTGTGGGCAGCAGTTAGGACATAATTAGCTTTGAATCGTGAACAAACGGTAGGGAAGTATTTTCTCAATAGTAGAGCCACTATTTGGCCTACTTAAGCACATGATAACCTCACTAATTAGTAGACGAACGAAGCTACAGCTCTGTAAAATGCTTATCTCACCAGTTCTTACCTACTGTAGCCAAACATGGACCTTATCCAAAAATGACGAAATAGACCTTCTGGTCTTTGAAAGGAAAATTCTTAGAAGAATATTTGGCCCTGTAAAGGAGGGACTGGACTGGAGAATTTGGAAGAATAGAGAGGTCTAGGAATTGTTCAATGAACCTAATGTAATCAGAATAATAAAATTAGGAAGGTTAAGTTGGGCAGGACACATAGCTCGGATGGAGAGGTCTGAAATCCCGATAAGAGTGCTTGAAGAACCATTACACTATATGAAGAGAGCTGGCAAACCGAAATTGAGATGGGAAATGGTGTGGCAGGTGACAGGTCTTGATGGTAGTCACAGGTGACAGGACTTGATGGTAGTCAGGAATTGGAAAGTAGCCGCATAGAATAGAGAAATCTGGCGGAAGCTCATTGAAGAGGCCAGGACCCACTAAGGGTTGTAGAGCCATTAAGATAGATAGAGCCCTTATGAATAAATAGTTCCTCAACGTCGACTTCACTCTTTATTGTCATTATTACTCCCGTATTGTTCTTTTTAATTGTATCTGCTGCAATCATTTCTCATAGATTTTTCAGAAGACGCATACCTCAGGACACCCAGTACTAATCCGTTATAGTTAGTCAAAATCATAGTAAAAAAATAAATATGTACACTAGACTATTATAAAGCTCATGGAAATTTTTAATAACGATACTGAATATTCAGTGGCGTAAATAACGCCATTGTGAGATATTGGAGTGCAGAGACTTTAAGGGAGGGTTAGGGGTGCATTACATTGACATTTCCACTAAAAGAGAAAAAATTGTCATTTGAGTAGTATTTACTTAATTTTGTTATTATTTTCTGATTATTATTTTTGCTATTTTTTTCAGAATGATTTAGAGATAGATTTTTGCGGACTTTTTATTATTTTTTATCAAGGATGATGTATAATCAAGATTTTTAGTCATTTTTTTTATAGTCGTAACAGACGTTTCGGTCCACGTATATAAGTTATCAGGGCTAAAAATTAAAAATCACATAAAAAATATGAGACAAAGATCGAAGTAAATAAATAAGATTCAGGGTAAGAAATGTTTTTACATGTTTCAAGCGTGAGATTAAAAAGAATTACTGTGTTAAATTGTGCATGGTTCCCCAGACCAGTGGTCATTCCCTCCAACGTCGATGGCGCATGAACCTCCCCACCCAATATATTTTATTGCTCTTCTCTTCTTAAAAGCAGTGTAAGGGAAAGTAGGATTTACAAAATAGTTGATTATACACAATTACATTTGCTGGTGTCTGTTCCATGTTTTCCACTTTGGTTTGAAACTTTTCATTAAAATAACTTGTCCTCCTGAAAATTCAAAACTCCATTAAAATATAGCCTCCCAATTAGCGCCATAGAACCCCCTTCTGTTCTTAAGAACTGCTGTTGGTCAAGGAACAGTTCATTTACGTTTTTCAGAAGCAGCAGAAACGCCCGTTTCTACTCATATTTCTAGTCTATCCATCATCTTGTGAAAGGTCAAGGAACAGTTCTTTTACGTTTTTCAGAAGCAGCAGAAACGCCCGTTTCTACTCATATTTCTAGTCTATCCATCATCTTGTGAATGCTCAAAAATATCGATAGTTTTCTTTCGTTTTATCTGTTTTGAAATTTTATTCATGTTCGATGCCTCTTCGCTTTATGAGAGCTTTAATAAACGAAAAACATTAATTCCATTCCAAATTAATCCGAAAAATAATTGTAAAATTTACAATAATAGTCGTGTAACTCTTCTTAATTAATTATTAACTTATCAATCATATAGGCTTTTAAACTGTTCAAAAAGATATTTTTAATCTGATATTTGCAAATAACTATTCAAAAGAAATATAGTGATTATTATAAAAATTTTAATATTTAAAGGATTTAATTACTTTATTTTTGTGATACTTTTTATCTTTATTATATGGTACTATCACACTTGTTCTGTGTTTCTTAACAGCTGGTGTCTGTTATCTAGTTAGACTTGAGTATTTTCGTCTACTGACGGTGATTGTATTTAGCTCTGTACAGTTTTTGCAAATAATTTTCAAGATGATGCAAGGAATGTCATTTGCCAGTCTCAAAAAGCACACAGCGGTAATTTTAAGAATATTGTTATGTTTGCTCCGTATTAACCTTGTTGATAAGCCTTTGCTTATTTGTGTTGACCAAATTATTTCAATTTATCTTTGATCCTGTTATTCATTATATTATGTTTATTACAGTTGATCCCTCTATTCGTATGCGTGGGAATAGGATGTGCAGGATCAATGTTTTACCTTGGAAGGCTTGCCTTCAGAAACCCTGAGGTATCTTGGAACAAGAAGGGAAATCCTGAACCATGGCAAGAATATGAAAAGAAACAGTACAAGGTCTGTAACTAAATTTTTAGAAAAAATTGAATGTTTAGATCTTTGATTTTTAATATTTAAGTTTTATTCCTAAATTAAGTACTTTATCTGCTCAGTACTCAAGTCTTCCCTATACCGTGAATCCTTATTCTTTATGAGCTTAACACCGCACACATCTTAAGATGATCACTTTTAACATTTAACTGTTATCTACTACATTTTTGACAGCTCTCTAATTTGTTTCTAGTTATGATCAGAGAAGTTTCTCTTTGATTAGGAATGTCATTATTATAGTTTATAATAATGGCATATTCTCTACAAATTTAACCATTTTGATGAGCTATGAGGAGCAAGAGGTCATACTTCCACCAACAAATAGTATTTTTTATTATTATATAGATGTATTTCCTTTTAGCATATTGTGGTTTGATACATAGTATCAAAAAACATATGTAATAACTTAGTGACTAATATAAATGTTACATCACTGTTATTAATAGATCAACATTGATATGCCAATACTTGTCAGTAAGAACTTATTAAGTCTTATAATATTTTTATTTGAAAACAAATTAATTGATATAGCCAGTCCCATGCTAGGTTTAAGAGTTTTAATTACTTCTGTTTGAAAATTCTTTGTATTAATTAATTCTGATGCTTGTTTTACATTGCGTAAATATTTATCAACAAAGTATGCTGAAGGTTTATTTGGTTAAATACCATTTAAGTTATCTTGATATTTTTTTAGGAGAGGGAGGGAGGGTTTTTAATTAGAAGTCATACCACAGCAGATGAAATTTTATATCTTATGGATTTTTAGCCTGCATTGGGCGGGGCTACAATATTTCATTGATAGTGTTGATTAATTTTCTTTTTACATTTTATTTTATTTTACGTTTGGTTAGTAAAAATTAAGATGTTTGTTTCGAAGTCCTTCTCCTAAAAGGTGGTTGGGCATTAAATCTCATTGATTATACAGTAGATAATTTTCTGTCTGAAAGGAGATAGAGGCAACTAAACTTCAGACATATTTCATTATCTAGCAACAAAAGTATCATTTATTGGCAATAGTAATGGCTATTAAAATTACTGCTTCTTTAAATAGACCAGTATAAATCAATCTATCTTCTGCTTACTCAAGAGTTAAACAATACCTCTTCGGGTCTTTTTCAGTTGGTGATGAAATACTTTAGTGCAGTATTGCATTTCCACCGACAACGACCCCTGCCTTGTAATGCCTCAACTCAAAAGATTTATTTGAGGTTTGAACAATTCTTGAATGAGTGTAATTAAAAGTCCAATAATTGGAGAATTGATGATTTTTATTATCATTAATAACCTCTAGTAATTCATAAGTTGGGTAATGTAACTATACCTTCACCTTTTGCTTAACATAATTGTCAATACTGAGGTACTTTTTGAATTTAACCTAAAGTGTGATCTCGGCCATCGTATTGGAGAAGCAATAAGGAACTATTGCCTAAGTCCTTTGTTTGTGGTTGCGTGGCATACACTAAATATTATTTATTCCAGAATATAAGTCTGTTGTAGGTTTTAGTTCAAGGACTGAGTGTTGGTTAATTTTTATTGAGCTTTTACGTTAAAAAAGAGTTTTTTATTTAATTTTTTTTTTTAAATGGCCCATGACCCCCCTTTTCTTTCCCATTTCTAGTCATTCTTAGATTAAAGTTTATAGAAGAACATAATATTCCCACTCCATATTTTATTTATAACATTTCAGCATTAGCCATTTTCAAACATTCCATTTTATGTTTATTCCATAATCAACTTCCAAAATACTTATTAATATACTACTCTACTTATATTTTTGGTTAATCGAGGAGTTTAAGGTTCATTTTATTATTTTAATTAGTAATTTTATGTAGTTATATTGGAAAAATATTTTAATCATAAAATATATTTGTTTATTTAATATGATTCTGTCATAAATTAGCTATGACTTGTTATTTTAATGATTGTAAGCAGTTAAAATATGTTTGTTTACTATTACTTTGATAGTTAATGCATTATGTATTTCTTTGTACTGAAGATTGCTTACCTATTTGTAATATGTTGTTTAAACTTTTTTTCCAGTTTTTCTCACCATCTGTGGATTATTCCAAAGTAGAGTCTCCAGCTCCAAAATATTAAGATGCTTTTGCTGATAATAGAAAACATTCGTAAACTATGAATACTACTATGAATAGTTTAATTTTATTTTTAAATTGTTAATATGAAACATCTAGTTTTCATTGTTTTTAATTTGTTTATATGAAGCAAATAATGTCATGTATTATATATTTTTTTCCTGATATGAATAAATATATGTAATAAAATTTCTTACTTTTTCCAAATATCATTACCTGTATATACATATTTTCAGTAACTAATGAGTTCTTAGTTATTGAGAAAATAAAATAATTAAACTTACATAAGGTTATTTTCTCCCTCATTGCTAAAAAATAAGCACAGCCTCCACAAACACGAAAGCAAAAGTTTATGAAGAAAAGGGAACTTGTTTGCACAAGACTCCAAGTACATAAAATTTATGGTTGATTATAAAGATGATAATTTGAAAGGTTTCTAAATCCTCTACATAACTAACTGATGTACTGTCCTGATTATTCGCAGAGGCCAACTAGTAAATTATATTTTTTTAAATATTTATGTATTTATTTATATAAATCTTTAACTTTTAGCATTTCGCTTAACTTAAATTCACTCAGAAAATTTAAGTAAAAATAATTATATCTGTGTTATTGTGTTGATATAGAATTGTTCTGGATAGTAATGAAGCCTTAAAAAGCACTACATAAAAATAGTCCCTCATCAAAATGTTTGTATTCAGACAGTACAAGTACCCGCAAATCTTTATAGAAATGGGATTTATTTTGATACGAAGGCATGATTGAACTTTATAAGGTTTGGATGGAATTATTGCACAAGTATTTCCAACTATTGTAAACAGTTCAACTTAAAGTTCAAAGTTTTGTTTCCATTAAGAATTTCATAGTCCAGCAATCTTATAGTGTTCCATTATTACATCATTAACATAAAAATAAAAAAAAAAGAAGCCGATATTGAATTAAGGGATGAGATGGTCTGGCAGTCAAGAAAGGAACCTTAAGTACTACCAACTATTTATTGAATACCAATGTTTTGATCCATTTTCAGGTCTTCCTGAGGACTAAAATAATGTAGAACTTCTGTTATATAACTATTGTGTTGTATGAAATAAAATATTTAGTAGAAGATTAAAATGAGATATACTGAGTAAATTAGAAAATATAATAAGGAAGTAACTCAATGAGTTTTTTATTTTTTTGTTCTTCCCTTCCTCGCCTTTTAGGCTATACAGAGGTTTTTCCTGATCAGGGGGTGAGGGCGGAGGATTAATGCCAAGTTAAAAGACCCCCATGGCATCGGGATGCGAACTGGCAATTATTTTATCATTTATTACTTCGCTTATCAAGTTGCCGGGCAATGCACTGTGCTGTGCACACACGTTAGCCCGCTTGGCCACCCCACCCCTTTAATTCAGTAAGTCGGGTACTGAGCTGCTAAGCTCAAGGTCCTGGGTTCGCGTGAGGCTGATATCAAATAATTTTTCATCAGCTGTGGATTGACCCTCCTGGGGCACACCCAGCCTCTATAAATTGTGCAACCACTCTCTTAATTAAATAATTAATTAAGGGAGGAAAACCAAGGGGTTGAGCATGAGCCTGACCCGATCACCTCTCTGCACAACAGTTACCCTTGAAACAGAACTTTCCAACAAAGTACTGAACCCAAATCCCTTAATGGGTTTTATTATTATTGATTTTTATTTTTAAGGAAGTTAAAATACCAATTATAATAACTGATATTGAAGTGAATTAATAGTTCATTTTCTATATCTAATATTAATCTTTTATAATAATTCTATTGACAATTGAAGGGAGAACCATTTAGTGTTAACAAGCAATTTACTAATTGACATTCAGCTTCTAAGTTGAAAGAATGAATAAAAAATAAAACCTTACAAAAAAAATTCATCATGTTTTATTTTACAAGGTTGTAATGCATAAGCTTACTCCCTTAAGTTGTTTGTCTATAGAACTATTGTACAAGACTAAAATTACTTATTGAAAATGAATCATTAATTCATATCTATATCAGTTATTCCTATTAGCATTTTCACAATCTTATTATGTTTTCTAATATACTATGTTCGTAGGTAGTCCATGTCATTTTAAAATTCTACATTGTTTTATACCTGGATTATCAAAACCTTGATGAAGACCTGCAAACTGGTTGAAATGAAATTATTCAATAAACAGTTTTTGAGTTATGATGTTATATTACTGTTTGAGGTTCCTTTCTTGACCTCCACTGGGACCGTTTCTTTGCTTATTGGCTATAAGGCCAACTAATATTCATTTTATTAAAATAAATAAAGCACTAAATCTAATCCTCTAATTACTAAGCTTAGATTTCACTTATTAATGTAGATTTCTTCTAGTAATGTAGTTAAAATAATAATTTAAAGATCCATTCTTATTTTAGGAAATTCAATAAATTATAACTCGTTGATTTGAATAATATATTGGTTAGTGAACTAATAGGAATATAATATGAAAATAAGTAAAAGCAATGTATTATGCAATAAAGGAATTAATTTTCTTTTCTTCACTTGACAAAAATGGTCCATTTAAAATAAAAAACCAAAACACTTGTAAAAATTATAAGAGGCAGTATCTTTGCTAATAATTGTCTGATTTCAATTTTTTTTTTTTTTTTTGTAGAGAATTTAGGAACCTTTCATGGGTATAATCGATTTTAAAGTATATACTTTTTGAGTTATTCATAAATAAAGTTTCATTTTTTAACCAACCTGAAGAAGATAATTTTCAATATGATGGCTTACTCTTTAGGTTTGATGAAGTATTAACGAAGATGTAATTATAGCAAATACTATACACGATTATAGTAAGCATATAAAATTATAGCATACTGACAAATAACATCTCTGAGAAATAATATATAAAGATATTACAAATTTTGTGTGAATATTGTTTTCAAACTTTTAGGTCTTTATTCAGAATTCAAGAAATAATTTCTTAGAAATATTATTTATAACACATATATACATCTAAGTATTTAGAATAATAGGTAGTATTTTATTCGAATATAGATCATTCTAAAAATTTATGGAAAATGCAATATCAGATTGTTTCATTTTTTATTTTTCTACTTTACTTTGGGAATATTTTTAAATTTTACAAATAAAAGTTAGAATAAAAATATTGCTAAAATGTTGAATTAACAATTTAAATTGCAGTCCTAAAAATCTGTCATGAGTTTTTTCTGGATAAGAGATTTATGGGAATACTATTTCTATTGGCTGACAAACTTTTGTCATATTCTTAATGTTTTGAACATTCATTGGATTAAGTTTCCAACTGCTAGATTTCCTTATTCAACTATCATATCATAATGGCAGAACTGTTTGTTAGCCATTTATAAAAAGTGCATACAATTCACAAATTATTATTTCATGTGACTTAGCTTAGTCTCTAGTTTCGTAAAGAATGATGCGGCATTAATTAAATTAAGCCTTCTTCTAAATATAGTCTACTATAAAGCCTAAAATGACAGTGACAGAAAATTAAAAAAAAAACTAATCATTTTAATGATAAAACAGCAAAAAAATATGTATCCCAACGGAAGAGCATTCTCCTGTCTAGTATCATTAAAATATTTTAGTTGAAGAGAACGATGGTTGGTGTGATCAGTCAAAATAAATATTTATTTTTGCAATTTTTATTTTGAATGATCACTCCGACCATCCTTCTCTTCAATTATTCACTAGTCAACCTTCAATCCAAAATTAAAATGTTTTAATGTGTTTGAACTAACTTAAGTGTACTGGATTTAAAACTTGTAATTTGGAGAATCAAACTAACATCTAGTAATGCAATATCACCATCATACGTTCTTAATTTATTAAAAAATGTTATGTTATTTGTTCAAAATTATTTATGAACAGGGTAAAATTGTATTCATTTTGAAAATGACTGATGTTATATTGCATTTTTTAATTTTCAAAATAATTGGTTCTAGTTTAACAAGTTGTATAATAACTATCATTTATGTTAGGTAAGTACTTCTACAAGCTAATAGATGGAATGTATATTCAGTTATGTATATTGTTAAATATTTATTTATTTGTTATGTATTGATTAGAAAAGTTGTCTGTTTCCATAGCAGCGGCATAGTAACACACCATCACTCCTCCTGAATGCCTTAATTCTGTTTGCATACAATCTTGTAAAGAATCTAACAATTGATTTATTGTAGCTATTTATTAAAACTACAAACTTGGAAATGGTAAATTTGAAGAAAATACACTAATTTTTAAGCTTTAGTTTTGCTTTTTGAAAAATTAAATGGGATTACATGTATTTTGTTTAATTTGTATTCTATTAAGGAGGATCTTGGTTTGAACGAATATCACGTCAATATCATAAAGAGCTATATGCAATTTGCCAAGTACCAGAGAAGTCAGAATATACAATTTATTGATATGTCTTTTCAGGATCTTATTGATGCAAGGTTGGTAATATTTACAACAAAATTGTAGACTACTTTTTTTTTTTTTTTTTAATGCTTCAAAATTCACGTGACATAAAATAACTAATCATAACTGATATCAAGGGCATGAAAAAACAAATACATATGTAAGGTCAATGTCTGTTTATTATAAATAATGAATCGAACATCTAATCTATAAAACCAAATTTAAAAATTACATGAATATTAACATAACAATGGAGAAAAAGTAAAACACAATTGTTATATTAATATAAAATATGATCTTAATAGAGTAGTTGTTCAGCATGCAACTGGCAGACACTGTTTTAACTGATTTATTGCCATAATGTTATATTCATTTAAAATATTAAATAAAGTAAAATTGGCACAGCAATTTTTTTATATTGATAAATAGCATCATATATACAATCAATTTTTTTTAGATGTTAGAAAGCTACTCTTTTAAAGACTTATGCATTTTTAAAAATTAATATTTCAACTATAAATAACAATTGTTTGAAACAAACATGAACAATCACACATAGCTTCAAATATAATACATATACATAGTCTAAGCTCATGTTATATACATTCAATCAATTCAAAATGTTTTAAAACCAAAAATAATTTCTAACTGGTTCAAATAGATTAACCGACACAACATTCACAAGAGATGAGGTCAAGGATCTTCTTCAGAATTTGAAAGACCTAGTTGAGGGTGAAGTTGAAGCAGACCTCATAGATATTTCTCACACTAATGTCCTACTCTTCAGTCAACTTCTGAAACAAGCTGAGAAATGGCATTTAAGGATGTCAGTTGACCTATCAGAAATACAGAACAGGTAAAAGTTCTTTTTTGTAAACTAAATAACAGTTTACAATAGCGAACTACTTATCTGAATAAAAGATTTGCATGCAGCCAACACAATCATAACATTAATTTCATGATAATATGAACTAATAAAAATGTATGCTTAGCATATAATATAAAAAATCAATCTTCTTTCTTTGTAAAAAGAATTATAAATTAACTACATTATCATTTGAAAATAGGGAACTGCTCGATAAGGTTAAACTGATGGAGGAACATGAAAATAAAATCCAAGTAGAGAAAAAAAAACTTCAACCACTTGTTGAAAGCAATGGAACTTTGGAGTTACTAAGAATTGAAATCGAAAGGATCAAAAAAGAAAACGAAAAATTGGAATCAAATCTACAAACGGCTGAATTGAAGGTCTATCTCTCCAATGTCGCAAGACTAATTTTGCTTTTAGCAATACCATAAGTTAAAATAGAAAAGGCATGCGAATTTAAAACTTTATAATTTTTTTTTTTGTAGATAAAGGAACTACAGAATGAAAAGGAACAGCTTACATCAGACAATAAAGTTGAAGAAACGAGTATTCAAAAGACAGATGAGATCAATTCCCCTCTAAATGATCACAACATTGAAAATAATGTAACTATTTCTAAACATTGGCATACTTATCAATTTTTTTTTTTCTACTTAAGTTTTATTTAACAGAAACAAGATTCTGAGACATTGTTAAAAGAATATGAGAAAATACTGCGCGATCAACTGAGCTTAGAATTAGAATCAATGAAACAAGAAATCATAGCTGTACAATCACAATTATCATTAGCAGAACAGGTAATTTAAATTATTTCTAAACAAACTTAACTGTTTTAACAGCCTGAAAGATAATAATAATGACTTTTTAGGAGCTTGAAAGGAAATTTAACCAAACCACTGCGTATACAAACATGAAAATGATGATAAACAAAAAAAATGAGCAAGTCAAAGAACTCAGAACACAACTCCTTAAATACCAACAAGAAGGCGATAGCCAAGAATAAATCTATTCTATGTATGCTGTAATTACAATTATTAATATATAGTTAATAATACAATAATTGTAAAATTTGTGCTCAATTAATATCACTTCATAACAATTAATGGTCTAACCCTTAAGTTATACTTAACAAATAATTTTCAATTCAACTAGGCATAGTCGAGGTTATCATAAAGGAGACTTAAATGAAGCATAACAAACATAAATTGTTTTATTAAAATATATGTCAAAAATATATATATTTTTCACAGGATAAAAGAAAAAAAAATAAGCTAGTAATAAAGTTTCATGGGTCTCCTAGCAACAAAATTATAAGTAATAACTGTAGTATTACAGTAATTGGAACATAAAACGGATTGTAAACAGAAATAACAAACTAAAAGAAAATATATATATATATAAATAGAAAAGTATAAATATATGTACAATAAAGCAAGTTTATAGTTTGTCTTGATTCTTTTTTAAATCAAAAACATAACCAAGTATATAAAACAAAAGTAAAGACTTACAATACCAGGTAGGGTATGGCTTATAACTCAAAACTTATTTCCTATAAATCATCTTACAACTTTAAAGTGTTTTCCTGTAAAATGATTAGTGTGCTCACTAATGCACATCTTACGAGAAAACTTAAAAGGAAAATATGAGAGAAATGAAAAAAATAAATCATAAGACATGAACTCACACTTCCTTAATATAAAAGTATAAATGAATTAGATATTAATAAGTTAATGAGAGTGGGAAATGATGTATATACATAATGAAGGAAGATAATAAGAGGAGACACCATACATTCCAATTTATATATATTCACTATGGGGAATTATCAACTCTTGGAATTTTCCTAGACGATCCTTCATCTGCTGAATCAACATTCAAATCTCGCTTTTTATGGACATTTTTCTTATCTTTTTGTTGGTGCAGGTACCTAAGGAGTATGTTAGTCTTCTCAGTAACTATGACTTGTTCAGAAGGATGATCCTTCGTTGTGAGGTATACCGAAGGTCTCTTTGAGAAGGCTTTATTACTGTGAGAATCGGCGTGAAATCTTGAGAAATTCTTTTCATCATAAGATGGTAAACCACTAATGAACTCCGATATCACTGACATTACTGATTTTTAGAGGCTACCACCAATGGTCCCAACAATAACTAATGTTTTTTCACCCGATCTAAGGCAGGATAAAGTCTTAAGATTTCACGATAATTAACTTTCGACCTTTAAAATATACAATAACAGACTGGCGATGAATTTGTTTATAGCGACGGGCCATATGGGCTTGTTTCGTCGTTAGTTATCAGCTGTTCACAGCCTTCAATATTCGAACTGCCGCCGATACAGTCGGCCTTGAGGGAGTATCGAGGAAGCTCTTCGTTCACGTTACCGTGTTTCTACAAGGTAGGTCTGTTCACGTCGTAATGTTTTTCTTGTAATATCCCAATCCATCGGTTTTAGTAATTGTTTTCGTTCTTATAAATTCACCTTATAGGTATTATTTTCAATTAATATTGTAATAAAATATTGGTTTTTATTCAAAGGTTAGGTGTTAGGTTTTAACAGACACTCCGGTGCACATTGTAATTTCAAGTAAACGTTTGTATATTTTATGTAAGTTTCCTTTTTTCTGTAGTATTTGACTCGATTTTCTCCGGTTTTAAGTGTTATATGCAGTGATTTTGTTGTTGGCTGAAGTATGGCGTTTCAAAGTTCTATTTGTAACAGCAGTGGTTTTCTTCAATTGCTTGAATTGATTTTTTATGTTCAGTGGTTATTAAACTATAACTTTGAGATGGATTGTCTTTTTGTATTAATTTAGAAGTAGTGTCCCTTGGATATATCTTTGGTTGTAACTATGTTTACATATTTTTAGGTTATGTATTGTGAATAATTTAAATAAATGTTCAGGAGCAATTTGAAATCTTGACCATCCCTCAGTGTTTTTTTAAAATTTTATATATAAAATGTGAAAACTTTCATTTGAGTGTTATTTAATGGCAAATGCCTTCTTTGGAGTTTCAACATTGATTTCAATTCATTAATAACTGTTCTGTTGATTATTTTCATTGAAGTCTCTCAAACAATAATCTCTTTTCTAATAATATTTTTGGTTTAATGAATGTAAATGTGAGTGTTATTTAACACTAGTTAAGTGATGTCAGTCTGTTCTATCATTGTCTAAGTTGAAAATGCTTTAGAAACTATTATCTACTTTTTGTAGGAAGTTGTTTTGAGATTTATTTGATTGATAATTATTTTTTTCTAATTTTGGGTAGAGTATTAATATTAACAAATTAACAATGTTATTAGCTTTTAACATTTAAAGCATGTTATCCTTCATGAAGGCATATTTACTAGTATACAAAAAATAGTTATTGTAAACTGCCCATACAAATCTTTGAAGTACATAAGAAAATGGTCTTTGATTAATTTTTTTTTTGTATGTTTTTGCAATGAGGATTTTGTTGGTTTTCAAAATTGATTCCAGTCCTACTTAATATTTTCTTCATTAGTTTGTTAACTATAACATCGATGATTTAGATGAATCACAGTTAAGTTTATGTAGGAATATATTTAATAGTCAATAGCCAATGTGTTATTTTTGAAATGTTGACTTCTGGATTGTTACTCTTGCTTCACTGTTTCTATTTGTATTTCTTTTTTAAGTGTTCAAAGTTCTGTCATTGTGTTGCTTTATAGTACTTATTTTTAATAAAAATTTTTATTTTAGTTAAAGCATCATTTCAAGGGATTGATTTTTTATTTCTGATTTGTGCTGTATATTCATTTCATTTCAGTCTTAGTAATTTTTTTAATTACATATACAATTATATTTCCAGCTAAAACATTATTATTTGTCTGACCCACAAATAAAGTTAGTCCTATCTGAAACAGTGAATTTGTTTTATATTTTACAATATGTTAGAATTAATTCAGTCCGTTACGTAGAAATTTTAATGTTATTATATGCTTATTTTTAGCCTTCATTCGCAATGGGGGCTTACAAGTACATCCAGGAATTGTACAGAAAAAAGCAGTCAGATGCCATGAGGTATCTGCTGCGAATCAGGGTTTGGCAATACAGACAGATGACCAAGATGCACCGTGTTGTGAAGCCTTCAAGACCCGATAAAGCTAGGAGATTGGGATTTAAGAACAAACAAGGTATTTATTTTACACATTACATTTTGTTATATGAAGTTAATAATATAAGCAGTGTCTTCACTGGACCCGGAAAATTTTGCGAATGTTATGGAAAAAAATAGTAAAAGTCAAGGAATTTCACTGCTAAGAGGAAGGAGCGACTTCAATTTTATATTTATTTTAATTTTTGGTCATAGCAGTAAAATATAGATAGATAGATAGAAAAAAAAAAAAAAAAACTCTATTCTGGGACCAAGTCCCTTTAGAATAACAAAATTGTACAAAAGAATAGAATACTACTGGCCTAAAAGTTTGAAACAATAAATAAAATAAACTAAAAAGTAAAGGAAACCTTAGGTGAACAAGCTATATACAATACGGATAAAACTATGAACAAAACTATACATAAGGGTTGAACAACATAAACATACACTTTAAGAAATGAAGAATGAAAAAGAGATAGAATAAGTTCATTTTATAAAAAAACTTTCCTTGGATATATATAAAAAAAAGTTAGTTATAATTGAATAAAAAAAAAATGTTTAAAAAAAGCCTTTAGCCTTAATTCATTTAAGTTGGCCCAGGCACTAATTTGATTTAAATCTTGTTGAATTTTGGCAAATTCCACCGATAACTCAGCGCGAGAAAAGGATAAATAGATTTGAGAATCGTCGTCATAAAGGTGGTGAGAACAATAGGTGATTAAATCATTTAGGTCATTAATATAAGAGCTGAAAAGAAGAGGAGACATGCTTGAACCCTGTGCAACTCCAGAAGATGAAGGCAGGTAGGCAGATAGTGGTTGATTTGATACAGAAACTGCTTGGGGTTCGTTGTGAGAGGAAAGACTGGAACTATTGGAGAAGGATAATGATATATATAAGGATGCCTGTTAAAAATTGAATTGATATTACTGTACAATTGCTTCTCCACTTTGGTGGGCGGGCCATGATCTCAGGATCATACTACAAATGGAATCCTGAGAACAACTAAAGATTGACAAAATTTAATAACCTTACAATATTTTAAACATCTGCCAAGGCTTAATCGTTCCTGGTTTTTAAAACTTTTAAGCGTAATCATACAAATTTTGTGAATTGATTTAAGTAGAATTTTTCTTTCTCACTTACTGATTTCCATTAAGGAACCGTGTTTATAACAGATACGCCAACATTTTAATTTTTAATTATTTTATGTTATGTTAGAGATTCGGGTAACGTAACTCTTACTCCTGTTATTTCTTCAATTCTTAACCAAGCCATAATGTTACTTTTTGTTTAATATTCAAAATATAGAGATTTTCAATATTAGGAAGTTAGACATACATATGATGTACATACTGAACATATATCGTCAAAACAAATGCTAACTATCGAAAATGAAAATTTTCAATCCTGCTCGCTAGCGAATGTAATTAAATATTTTGAAAGAGTGAATACTAAATCTTCAATCATTCATAAAATAGTTAGAATTTGTGTCAACAATATGTTAAACTTTTCATGACAATCAACTGTTTAATTAATTCAAATAAGTTGACCAGTCTTTTTCAGTAGTTAACTAAGATTTTTTTGTACTTTTTATTTTTTACAAGGCATTTTACAACTCTGGTAGCTATTGTTGGAGAATTAAATGTATATATAATATTAATATAGTAAATTTTTGTCTCAAATTTCCATATTCTTGTTACAGGTTTCTGTGTATTCAGGATCCGTATCAAGCGAGGAGGCAGGAAACGTCCAGTTCCAAAGGGTGCTACCTATGGCAAACCTAAAAGCCATGGAGTAAACCAGTTGAAACCTACAAGAAGTCTCCATGCTATGGCTGAGGTATGGTTTTACGAATAGTTGAGGAAATAAAAAACATAAACAGTTTACCATCCTACTTCAGTTTTTGTTCATTTATAAATAGGGGTTCTATTTTTTCCTGCTTACCATATGAACACAGCATTATTCTGTTCATGACTGTTCACAAGTTCATTAAGATTATATTTAATCAGTATATCATTAGGTTTATAATAAAAAATCTTTTTAATCTCACACCTTTTTATTTTATATTCAATATATCTTTTTAACAAGAGTTATTTGTGTTTCGGCTCTATAAAGTCATTTTCAAAAAAAAAAAATTGTTTCAAAAACAAAACATTAGTATGAAATTATATTATAAAAAATTTAATTATAATTCTATATAGTATACTACTCATGGAGCAGTAATTGATTAAGTAAGTTTACAATTTTGTTTCTTTTTAATCTCCACTAATAGCATTTTTCTTCTCATTTTATCAAACATCATTTAATCTGAAATTTAATAAGTCACTCATAATGTCCTAATTCAAACAAACCATTATAATTAAAAAAAAAAATTCCTAAGCACTATTTCATTAGATCATTTTTAGTGCAAAATATGTTTATCATAAACAAATTAATGTATAAAAAACAAACAATAAAACTGACCTTATTTTCCTCTTTTCAACATCATTTTTATATTATTCTTTCTAAGTTATAGTTAGACTGATTCAAGTACTATGTCTAGATGCATGCTCTCTTTTAAGTTTATGTCTAGATGCTCTCTTTTAAGTTTAATTGTAATTGATTATGTTTATTAGTTTTTAATAATTAACATTTTTTAATCTCTGCATAGCTTTGTTTTATTTTTTTTAATATGATTTAAAGTTTATTGCATTTTCTTGGTTTATTGTATCTGTTACCACTTCTAGGATTTTTCATCTAATAATAAAGGTATTTTTTTTCAATTTATATCATGATGGTTTGAGTCTGTGTGTGAAGATTATTTATTATTAAGAAACTCTTAATTATTTAAATTTCATTATGGAAAGTATGATATAAATAAATAATTTTGTTCTTTATTATAGGAAAAAGTTGGTAGGAAGTGCAGTGGATTGAGAGTATTAAACTCTTATTGGGTAGCCCAAGACGCCAGATACAAATACTACGAAGTCATCTGCGTTGACCCAGCTCACAAGGTGAGTAGCCATTGAGTTACATTATTATTCTTTACATGAATGGTTGCTTGATCTATTAAAGTTATTGGACCAGTTCTAGTATTAACAATAATTTATTTATTTTGTGGTAAGATTTAAAAAATCATGATAGTTGGATGCTGTTAGAAATTATAGTTTACTCTTGGCACGTAAATTTAACCTTTGGTACTGGTACAAATGTACCAGAACCAAATATGTTAGATAGAAATTTGTAACTATTATTATTTGAGTGTACTGTATGGCAGTAAGGCTAGAAAATTATAGTAAAAATTCCTAGTTAGTGTAGAATATGTTAGTCCATCTGTCATCATGCAGTGTTGTTCTAAATTTATCTTTAACTACAATTTTATATATTCTTGTCATTACAAAAGAAAAAAAAAAAGTTATCAAATAATCTTTAACTCATCAGATTTGTTGGCAGGATATTTCAATATTGTATGGGAAATTGTGACTCCATTTTGGAATAACAATTAAATTTTGGTTATTTAAATTTCATTAATTTTCTTTTTTATTGTTATTCCAAATTTTACTTGCTACATCTTTGTAACTTTTTAAATTCTTATTTAAAGAAAAATTTCTACGAGAAATATTACAAAATTTTGGAATTTTTTAATTTTCTTTTGCTTTATTATTTTCAATGATAAATCTTTGTGATCTATTATGAAATAAAAAAGTGTTAACTTTTCTCTCAAAATTTTATGATTTACATTTTTTTTAACAATATTTTTAATTAAATTTATTATTATTAGCCTTAAAATACAACTAGTAAATTTGAATTGATATGCCATAAAACTTAGTAACCATTCATTGATAGCAGTCCAAGATATAAATTTGAAGCTCTTGTGAAAACTTGTAACAGGCACTAGTTCGTATGTTGTACCAGTCTATTTTTGACTAGTAAGAAAAAAAAATTTAAAAAAAAAGGAGAAATCTAAAATTAATAATAAACTAGTAAAAACACTCAAAGAAAAAAATTGTTTACGATGTTTAATAATTTTGCTCCAAAAAAAGTTGGAAAATATATATCATACTTTTGGTTTTTTAGTTTTTTTTTTTTTTCAAAACATGGATCGACATAACTTTTATTTTTAATCAAATTCATTATGATTCAAATCTTGATTATCAATTTTTTTCTTCTGTTATTTTGGAACTAAAACTTATCTTCTTACAACCTTTCTAGTAAAGGTTTTACAGAAATTTTATTTTTAAAAACTATTTAACCCTGTATCTGCTGACGGCTGCTATTTTTTTCCCTTCTTTATTTTCTTTGAAGTGGTTTATTGCAGCGAAAACTGCTAATTTCATTACTACTGCCAAAAGAAACATAATTTAAAAAAATATTCGGCACAAAACAAAGGTAGAATGGTGCAATTGTATGGTTTTCTTAATGTTGGCAATTGTTTTGAAGAATATCCATAAAAAAATGAATTACTAAGTAAATCTTTAAACGTATAAAAAAAAATTTGAGAGGAGGTTCAAGTTTTGCTTAATTTTTTGTTGGTTACAATGGCTCATTATTGAAATATCACAATATCATCAAAAAAGTTTATACTCTTTGATTTATTCGGATTCTAATTTTACCATCCCTTGCAACTTTTTTTTCAGCTAGTTTTCGTCGAAGTATGTTATATAGATAAATTTAAAGGGCATCGAGAAGAAGACTAGTCAAGTTTCTGTCTATAGCAATGCAGGTTTTACGCCCACCATCTTGAAAGGAAAAGGCGGATAGTAATGTCAATGAAGGAGGATCATCCTCGGGTGACCTCTGATTTTAAATCTAAATTTAAAAAAAAAAAATCGGTGTAGTAGTTTCGGATAAAATGTGCGTACGGTGGACAGACAAACAAATTTTTATTCTTTTTTCGAATTCTATGTATCCTTGATGTGGTAATAAAAAGTATTTAGCCGTCTTGCTTAGCACTGTGATTAGACTTGAAGCTCATCACTTGCTGCAGTGCAAAGGATAAAAGTTTTGTTGCCAAAAAGTCAATATTAAAAAATGACCAAAATTTATAAGCTACTCTACAAAGAGGCTCATTAGAATCAAGTAATTCGTTAAAGATGAATTTAGTTAAAACTTCCAACTTAGCCCAGTTATTGTTCATTTCTCACTTCATCCAACTTTTTTTTGTAAAACTTGAATAAATAAGAGTTAAAATTTTACCATTAATCTAGAAGATAGCGTTTTTTAGAACTGTTATTCAAACACTTTTTTTTTTCTAATTTGCCTTATTTTTATATTAATATTTTTTCTGAGACCATTTCTTACGAGTATGCTTACTTTGCTAGTTATATGTATATTAAACATATTTTTTATTTTAAAATGTGAGCTCTCTTTAAATTTGCTAAGTTTTACCTTACATGCTTTTATTTTTTATTTACAGGCAATCAGAAGAGATGCTAAAGCCAACTGGATATGTGACCCAGTGCACAAGCACCGTGAGATGCGTGGTAAGACTAGCGCTGCTAGGAAGTCACGAGGTCTTGGCAAGGGCCACAGATATTCACAGACCAAGGGAGGTTCCAGGAAGGCCGCCTGGGTGAGAAGGAACACCTTACAGCTGCGCAGAAAGCGATAATTTGATCACCCTTTTATATCTAATGATTTATTATATTACCTTATAAAGTACGTTACTTCTGTATGTTTTCATTTATTACCCTTCTTATGTAAACCATCAATTGTGATGCTTATTTTGCACACATAGAGCACAATCTTTTATCTAAATTACTACAAAAAGATTGCAGATTTTGTGTGTATGAGCATTAAGTTCCTGTCGGGAGTCCATTGAGGGGACTTGTTTGTATCTGGATAATAATGTGACAAAGGCTTTATTTTTAAAATTGTAGCTAACAACCAGGAGAGATTACTACAAACATAATTGACCTTTTTACAAGGTTTAGTTTCTAGTGCAAAGTAAGTATCCTAGTGAACATATTTTTTAGTAGGGTTTGCCAAGGAAGTAGGAGTAGGGTGACCGAGAGGGCTAATGTGTGTGCAAAAGTTGTTGCCCGGAGCAACCTGTAATGAACGAAAGTTTTTATGAGTTCAAATCCAGGCACCGGAGAGGGCTTTTACCTCCGGCATTAACCTTACCCCTGGCTTCTGAAAAAATCCCTATAGCCTTGAAAGGGAGATGTCATGATTGTTATAAAGTATGAACATTCACATTCTCTAATATAGTAAAGCCTGGTTCGAATCCCTACTGGGCTGGTTTAAATTTATTTCATGCCTTGCCCTCAGATTGAATCTCTGTCTTCCTACTTGAGTTATAATTGTTTTGGTTCTAAGTTAACGATTTTTTGGGGGAATAAGACATTCAATCAATAATTTTTATCATTAAAAAAACTAATATCTAAAATAAAAAGTACAAAATTGTTTTATTTTTGTGACTAATTTCTTGCAACTTTTGGTATGCTAACTATCCTCTACTATGTCGAATCTAAACTATTAAAGTTAAGCGATGACTTTAGATTGTATATAGTAATTTTGACTTAAACAACATCTTCCAGCTAAATAAGTTGTTCAAATACAAGTCCTACATTCTTATGACTTTCTACTTAACTAGTTATTAACATTAAGAAGTTAATGCTTGGGATTTATTTTTAAAAAAATATTTAAACTGGGAGCCCATAGACTTTATTTAGTTGGAATTAAGTATTTATTCAATTGAGCTGATTAACGATCAGCTGATGCTTCTAATTATTTCATGGAGCCAGTAGAGACTTGTAGAAGTATTAAATTGAATAAAACAAAGAACTAGATGCAGTTAGGAATATAGATTTGGTTTGAAAATTTTCCAATAATAACCTAACAGTACGGGATATATGTGATGTGGACTACCTCCATTTAAATTTTGAAGGGGGCTCATATTTTGACATGGTTGTGGATTTTTGGATTAAAATTATTGTGAGGTTTCAATTAAGAGAAATATAGTATATGAACCATAAGCTTACTCTAGTGTAATGGCTTGCATACTATTCTGATATGGTGAAGGTTCCCAGTTCAATACTGGTTCCTCCATTCTCCTTTTTTTAAACGCCATTATAGTGCAGAATTTTCACGTAATGACATATCCCTGTTCAAAACTACCTTAACCATTTTAGATCTCTCATAGTGTAGTGGCTAGCATCCTATACTCCAATAGTGAACATTTCTGGTTCAAGACTGGTCGACTATGGGAGCAGCCTGATACATAAGATAACTAGACAAAAATAGTCATGTGTTCCCGTCCCAGTGCTGGGAAAACCCTGTATAGCCTAAAGACAAGGAAGGGGAGGACCCAAAAAAAAGTAAATGAACCACAGCGAGTGTAATTGTATATTAACTTTAATTTTTATAATTAAACTTTTGTTACTAGTGAATTTGGGTAAAAGCCCCTCAAAAAAAAAAAAAATTTAATCAGCCCGTAGTGGATCAAGGGTTTAATTTTTTGAGAGGACTGAATATACATTCCATGGCCTGGATCCAAAGATCTAAATTTACAAAGGAATATATCATAAAAAATATCTGAAACCACTAATCAATGAGCTCACCGCTGAGTTTAGGAGCTTGCCTGTGTAGAATGAAAATGAAAAGTTTTTTATTTCTTAATGACATTTACAACTGTATTAAATAAATATACATCTAGTAAATTTGAGCGTAATGAATATAATGACAGGAAAACACTTGCTGAGTAACTACCCAATGGTAGCACTCAAATGATATGTCTACATTAGGAGATCACGAGGACATCTTCTTTTCAGAAGCCTTGTAGGGTTATCAGGAATTGAAGAGGAAGCAAGGTTAGAAACGAAAGGGTTGGGATGATTTTGAAGTTTATTATGGAAGGATAGGTATCTGTATTGGACCAGATCTGAAACAAAAGAAACATTAAGGTCATTATGGATGGTTTTATTTGTATCAAAGTAAGGAGCATTGAGGATTTTAGATTATAAGGATTGGATACGAGAGGAATTCGATGGTTTAGTGGAGCCCCATAGCTCAACTCCAACTCCAAATAGGCCTTATTATAGTTAAGTATATGAATATTTTGTAATTAATTGGAAGTTTAGAGCGTTTGTCTAGTAAGTGCTGAAGTAATTGGAAACGTCGAGCGGTTTCTTGTTGTTTCAGTCTAGTATGAAAAATGAAAAGTAAAAACTGAGGTATAACAACAGAAGTTATATCCAGCGATGGCACTGCTGAGTCATTAGTGGAAGCGGTGAATTCCATTGATGGTTTTAGAAACTTTCTGAAATATTTATATGTTTATGAAAATAATATTTGCTAAATTTCTTACAAATATCTCTGAATTCACCTAAATTCTATTAAACCCGAATTATTTCTAAAGTCAATTGTGACATTGTTAATGTCCCTTTCATTAAATATAAAATTACGGTAGGATTTTTAATTTCTCATATAATTATTAATGAATGATTTACTTTTTTATTAAATACGTATTTAGATGAACTATGTTGTGGGAGGTTTAGTAATGAAGAGAAGATATAGTTTAATATTGCAAAATAGGTCAAAAAAGAATTGTTAAGAATTCTGTTTTCACTTAAACATTAACAAAAAAAAAAAAAAGGAGAAATCCTAAAAATCTGAGCCCTATTAATTACTCTGAAAAAAGAAATGATATTTGAATGACATCTATATAAAATGATTATTGAGTGGTACTTCAAGGCCTCTTAAAAAAAAATGTAATTAAAGAAACAATTATGCTTTATAAGATAATATTTTTTTCTTGAAACGTTTAGTTGATGTTCTTGCATTATAATTTAAAAAACAGTACATGTGATTGTTCAAATATTCAGCTTAGGTCATTCCCATAAAAAATATGGAATAAAGAAAAAAATGTTGAAGCCAAATACAATTACAGTATATGATAATCAATTGTAAGAACCTAAATTATTCTCAAGACAAAATAAACTTGTATTTCTTATATTATGAATTGTAGTTATTGTTCAATTTTTACTAAATGCTGAAGATAAAGGTATATTTTAATATGCAAGACACATTCTAATAAAATTGTACTTGCAGTGTGTTTATCGATATTCTCTTTTTAAATTATAATTCAAGTACTTGAGCTACTAAATCTAAGTTAGTGTCAAGGAAAAAATTAAATTATGAAACTGCTACTGTACCATGTAGTGTAAAGGCTAGAATTAAATGTAGTTCTTTGTCTCAACCCTTCTTTTGGACTGAAGCCTTCCCCAAAAATGGTAAAATATGTTTTATAGAAAAAAAACTATCTCTTAAAGTATTATTGTTTGTGTAATTACATTTAATAGAACTTCAAGAATCACTTTAATACTATTTCATATAGGTAGTTAATTTATTTCCTTAAAAAAAAAACTTATTGTTATCTATATGAAAAAAAAGTTTTGGGGCTAAAGCCCTCTCCTCCCAAATAAAAATTTAATCCTGGATCCACTAGTGGTTTAGGATGATAATTGTCAAGCCATTAAAATTCATGGCATCAGAAATTTTCTGCTTCTACATATTGTCTGTTTTATGGTATTATCAATGGATGAGGTTTAAAAGATTTAAACTACAATTTTAATATAAAATTTTATTAAAATAAAGTATCAAAATGTGAAATAGTTTATTAAGGATATACATTCAACCTTAATCAAAAACCCGCTTTAATCAGAGACAGTTCAGTAAAAAAAAACCTATAATTCTAATGAGACTATTCTACAACATCGGGTTCAACTTCTGCTTCCTCTTCAACTATACCAGAGGGAGCTGCTTCTTGCTGACTCGAAGCGTCACAGGATTCCTTGTTCTGTTGACTTGTGCTATCGGTGCAGCCTGCGACTTCATCTTCAACGACGACTTCTGGCTCAGGAGCCTCGACCACTTCTTCTACTTCTCTTTTGGCCCTCTTCTCTTGTTTCTCCACTTTATTTACAGTCTTTTGCTTTTTTGATTTGTCTTTCTTATTTTCCTGAGACTGGGGTTCGCTTTTCCTCTTGACTTTTTCAGTTTTAGTTTTTGTCTCTTGCTTCTTGTTTTCTACCTTCTCAACCGGTTTTTCGTTTGCTGCCGGCACTTCTGCTTCCTCTACTTTGTTTTTCTTGTCTTGTTTTACTTTCTTCTTTTCAGGACTCTTCTGATTTTTACGTTCTTGTTTCCTTACCTTTTCTTCTTTCTTAGTGCCTTCTTTGTTCTTCCAATTTTCTTTGTTCTCTACACTCTCTTCCTTCTTTCTGAAAAAATAAGCAAAAATTAATATTATTTTATTACATGAAAAAATTTAGATTTTTCAGGATTAATATTCATTTATATGATTACATGAATTATAAAAGAAAATCTAATCTTTCCATCGACAATGTTTTGTAGAATTACTGAAGGGTGGTGTTGGTATAGGTTTTTAGAAAAAAGTGCTAATGGGTCATTTCTTTAAACTGTTCATTTGATGTTCTTATCTTACAGTTCTAAAACTTGATATATCTCAACAGGATAAACTGATCAAAAATATGATAAATGTCTTCATTTCTAATTTAAATTGACTATAAACTTGAAGCAATATAATCATTTTTGTGGCCTGCATGTAATTTTAAAGACAAGTAAATGTTATGCACAAAGCTATATTATCGAATAAAGATTTTTAAAATACCCAAATTTATTTGGAAAAGTGTTTTTGACATTTAATAAAAAAGTCACAAATTTGACAGGACTCTATTTACAGCATACGAACAGGTTTTGTTAATTAGGCTTCTTTTTTTTTTTTTCAAGATGAATAAAACATAAAATACTTATGTTCACAAATACATAAGTATTTATAGCCTCATGAATGTTGCGACTGTTACCCAAATATTTCTTCAAATTGAAAATGCAGTGTTATATCTCCAGTTGGATGTTATATCCGAATTTTTTCATCCATTTTACTCTTCAATTGAAACATTAACAAAGGTATAATAAAGGTAAATATATGAAGTAGAACTAATTATAATAAATTCCTTTTACTTCCTTGATTAATCCAGATCTTTTTTCATAGAATAATATCGGTATAATTATTTTAAAAAAAATCTAATAGCAGTGTTCCACAAAAGAAAAAATGTATGAATCCAAATGATTTAAAATGTTTGGAGATGACTTTCAATTATTGATACAAAGTTCAAGTTGTACCCATTGGTAGTATTTTTACGAGTAACGCGATTCAAATTGAATTTATAATTAGAATCTACTTTTGTATACTCAAGGCTCTTAAATATTTACTGTAACCATGAAGCGTAATCAATGGGTAAACATTATGCAATCCACTGATTTAGTATATTTGTTTCAGCATCCCATTAAGGGATACTTGTGTCTTGGTTTGGTATTTGGTATTTCAACAATAGTTAAATAAAGTAGGGTTTTCCTCTTCATAATATCATAAGCAAATACTGATTACTAAACCTACTGTTCAATAAATGTCAACATGTAAATATGCTATGCTAACATATTAATATGACTTCTAATGGCATGTAAAGGAATTTTCCATTGGTTTTACTGAGATTTGTTGATTAATGAATGACTTTGAATTAATCTATAACTATTCTTTGTGAGTTTGTTGCATTTCCTAGATTGACAAACACAGTGACACAGTTAAATCGCTTAATAAATTAAAATGACGAATTGGAATTTTATTAGGACCGATGATATATAGAAAGACGTCTTTCATCACCACTCGCTACTAATTTGTAAAAACTGTCAAAGATAAAAGAAATTTGATGGATTTGTAGTGTACGAAAGTTAGGCTCATATACAGTAGATTTCTTTACTTTCACTTATTTATTAATGAAATATATAGTAAATAAAAGTATTGCGATCATGAAAAATTTCGAATCCCAATTTTTTACGGAATACACGTTTTGAGGTCCCCTAACTGCAAAGAACCTTGTTTCGCAAAATGATCTGGTATGTGAACATCCAGCACAAAAAATTGTACGAATTTTAAATTATATATTTAATGTTGGTATGCCTGGATGATTAACAGGAAGTGGTACATTATATAATCGAATTTACACAATGCTGTTCCTATACTTATATATTACTAGTTTAAATATTATATTCAATTTAAAAATAATTTCCAAAACTGATTTAAATGCGAACAATTGAGGATCGACTAGTATAGTCTCGTAGCAGAAGTTGAAACTTAATCTGAAGATTAAGCTCAGATTTTTCCAAAAGAATTATTGATATCAGTAAATGTTATTTAAATTCAAAGAATAAAATGGAAAGTAACTAAATTAAATCCGTTTTATAGGGATTAGCGATACATTAATAAAGGAAACTAAGATATTATATAGTATGATTGATACACATTTCGACTGGATCATAAATTCTCGTGATGAAAACTGTCAAACCAAGAGACAAGGGAAAAACTTGCAATAAATCGCAACAAATATATCTATAATCTGTAATAAGTATGCGATCTACGATTTTTAAAATATACTTTAGATTGCACTGATTTTAAGAAGAGAAGAGCAATAAAATATCTTGGGAGGAGGGGAAAGATTTATGCCACCTCGACCTTGAAAGGGGGAGAGCACCCCTGGATTAAACAAAGGTAATATACACGTCGGTTTTATGGATCAGTACTTAATAATACTAATTGTTTACCAACGGTTCTGCTTAAAATAAAGTGGTCAGCATCTAACTTCATCGTCAGATTTCTTCCTAACCCCCCCCCCCCCTCCAACGCATAGAAAGATCAAGTAATCATTTGATTTCTACTATAATTAATGAAACTAAGCGTTTGATCAAGTCAAGTTTTATCATATTGTAAAGTAATTGCTACTCACTGCTTTCCCTCCTTTCCAGACTTCTTCTTGGCCTCTGCACTGTCCAGAACAAGGCTTACTGCCACTAAAAGGACGAAACCCAATAAGAGCGTACTGTGCCTGCAAAATCGAAATACATAATTATCTATTAGCCAATGAAATGACTGAATATAATTAGCCTAGTTTCTGTCAGCCAATAAATTGATTCAATACAGTTGGATCTATTAGTCAATATCTTAAATGCAACAACCCTTAGATCTTAGTTAATAAATTGATTTGATATAATAACCTTATAGCTAAGGCTCGGATTTATGTACAAATGCATATTTTTTTCTTCTAAATATGAGTCTATATCTTTATGAATTAAGATCTGAACTTGCCAAAAAAAAAAAAAAAAAAAAAATTTTCGAAATATGTTAAAACAACTTAATATTGCAACAGTTTTCATTTTGCTCTTCACCATGTTTTACGACCGAGTTAATCAAATATTTAGTTATAAAGTTACATAATTGCTTTTATTTAATAAGATAACTGTCTGGGAATTGTTTTAATAAAGACAAGAATTTTACAAGGGCGGATCTGCGGGGAGGGCTTTCGGGCTGATGCCTCCCCAAAATGGCAAAATTTAACCATGTTTTATGAAAAAAAATATTTAAAAATTATCTCTTAAAGTATTATTGTTCATGTAATCACATTTAAATAACTTTAGGAATAACTTAAACACCATTTCATATAGGCAGATAGTTTATTTCTTTTTTTCCAAAGTAATTATCGTTATTTTTATGAAAAAAAAAGCTATCGGGCTGAAGTCCCTCCCCCCAAAAAATTAAATCCTGGATCCGCTAGTGCAACGATTTATACTTTCAAGCATTATTTTAAAGATTGTATTTATTTTTGTTATTTATAAATTTTTCAAATTATGGTAATCTAGAAAAAAAAATCTAAATATTTCTTTTATCACTCAATATATAAAAAAACTATCGATAATGAATTTGTTTTTCACAATCAAGTTTAATAAGTTTATACAATTTATATGTAAGCAATATCAATAATCTAGCAAAAATTGTTTGTTTTTATTTCACTGAATAATGTACCTATAAAAAAAATCTTTTTAATATTATTACTTCATTTTGAAC